ATTTTCCGTGTCTCTCTTCAATAAAACATATTTATTTTTAAATTTCTATGTTAAAGAAAAATAATGCACACGCTTAGATCACTAGAACACACACATTTTTGAGTTGGGTTTTGTAAGTGTGGAAATATTCTTTTATACACAACGTTTTTAAGAGTTAGTTACGTTTGTCTCCAAACTTTTCAGCCCGAGTACCCCATTAACTATAAAAAAAATCAGTTCGGGGTCCAGAGTTTTTTCCATGCATCTCTTCGGGGTGATAGAAGCCCCCCCCCCCCCCCGGAAATATGTCTACCTCCCAAACCCCCCCCCCCCCCCCCAAGAAATTAATTTATATAGAAATATATACAGATTTCAAGGGTCGTAGTGTCGACCCGCCCCCTCCCCATCGGAGAAAAAAGTCTGAAACACTCTCGGGGTACGACAACACCCTTGATGTCCAAGTTTGTTCTCAAATTGTTTTTCACGTATTTCATTCTTGAAAATGTTTGTTCACACAGGTATGTTGTTCCAAAATTTTAAAGTTGCTTTGATTTGAAAGTTTTTGGAAAGTCTTCCTTGGTCAAAAACGTATTAAAAAACCCACCCGTCCTTCTTTGAACTTATATCTAAGGAGGTCATTTGTTTGCGATTCAATGACATCCAGCTGCAGTTCATCTGGGCAACTGGCCACACCACATTTCCTTTAAATGCGTTTTGAAACAGTCTCACTTCTTCTGCCTTTGAATCCAAGTCAGAAAACCGCTACTGAAAATGCAGCTGGAGGTCTTTGATGATCTTGCATACTTGCATGCAAATGACCTGGGGGGGGGGGGGCAGCTATTGCTTCAGCTATGAAAACCTTGCACTGCTGAAAGTGCGTCAAGTTGTTGGCCTGTACTTCTTCCGAAAACATGACAAGTTTGGATCTGAAGGCCTTTAGGTGGGGGAATAGATCAGAAAATAGATTTCCCTCTCTTGTAGTTTTAGGTTCAGAAAATTTAAATGACGTGTTATGTTTGCAGCAGAGGCCTATTTCTATACTTTTCATCAGACATTAATGGCAGTGGCTTGCTTTATTTTCCAGGAAGTCACCTATTTCTTTTCTTTACTTAAATACCCTGCTCAGAACTTAGCCATCTTACTGGTAAATCTTGCGATTCTGTGTTTGTATCTTTCAACATGTATATGAACTATATATGGTGGAGCCCGTGTGAAAATGCGAATATATATTATTAAATTCACCATATTCAACATAGGATTCACTACACTGCTTATGTCCACATATTAAGCACACAAATCTTGTTGGTGAATAAACAATACAGTGCAGGAACATTGATTGTAGAATGTTTTTCTCATTACAAATCTGCTTCGCTTGTCCAATCAAGCCTTTCTCTATGCCCTTCATGTTTTTTCCTCCACCATCAGCAAGGTAACAGGTTAGTCCGGACTAAGTTATAATCAGTTTTTTTTTTTTTCAACTCATTAAATATATCCTCTCCGGTCACAGTGTCATAAAAGCCTGCTCTATGTTCATGTCTTCATCCACACCTCTAATAAACACAAGAAGTTGAGAGGTGGAACAGCTGTCAAACGATTCATCAATTGCAATTGAAAAATTGCGAAACTTGCTTGCATTTTTCTTTATTTGGGTCACAATGTTTTCACCAATGTCTGCAACACGGTGGACAACGGTAGTTGCACCCAAAGCTACATTTTCAAATTGGTTTGAATTTTCTGGACAAAGTTCCTCAGCCACCTGAAACAAACATTTTGTTTTCCGTGGACAAAAAAATATCCGCGGGCCGAATGAGAGGACCTCGCGGGCTCGCGGACCGTAGTTTAGAGACCCCCCCCCCCCCCCTATGGTCTACGAAGTGAGTCGTGTATTTTATTGAGATTTATTATTATTTTTTTTTTTTTTTATTTTTTTTTTTTTTTTTTTTTTATTTTTTTATTTTTTTTTTTTTTTTTTTTTTTTTTTGATTAAAGATTTCTTTTCTTTAAAAAGAAAAACAAATCGAGATTTATAGATAACGCAGTGGTTTATTGCCATCATGAACATCTAACAAGCTAGTGAAAAGTAAATAACTTTTGCGTGTCTTTAATATGATTATTATGCGACTGTAAAGCTTTTCATTTCGGTTAAATATTGTTTTTAATATTTATTATTTACATGTAAGATTTCCATTAACAGTACAAAAACATAAATTTGTATTAAGATATAATAAATTGTTTTTGTTAGTTTACTTTTTAAATTTATTAATATTGTTAGCTGTGTAAATTATCTTGCGTTGTCTCCCTTGTATTATTACTTAGAACAGAAAAAAAGAAATAATTGTTAAATACTAAATATAACTGATAAAAATGTTTTTCTTGTAACTTACTCTATAATAGCTATGTATTCTACTGTTAATGACTTTTCACAACAAAACCGTTTCTCATACTTATATGGAACATAGCGTTACATGGAACTTGGTTGATTTAAATATCAATACATTAAGTTATATGGGACGGAATGGCCTAGCGGTAGAGAGCTGGACTAAGTCTCGAGTTCGAATCCGGGTCAAAGTCAGTAGACCGTCCCTGAGTCCACCCAACTCTGATGGGTACCTAACTCAGGTTAGGGAAAGTAAAGGCGGCTGGGCATAGTGCTGACTCTTCATATGCCGAGGTCACAGAAACAAGTGAACTCTACTTCACTTGCCCCGTAGACCGTCAGGTTTGAAAGGGAAACTTTACTTTTTTTACATAAAGTTAGAGACTATATTAATATTATGTGTTTCTTTATTTTAAGCATGTAGATGGCGAGTAAGAATCCTTCTCCACCTTCTACTAACATCTCGAGATTTTTTATCCCACAATTGATCAATAAAAGCTACGTTTTCTTTTTGTTTTGTTGCCCCTACCTAACGAGCCTTATCTGTCGAAGATCCGAACTCGGGGGTTTTGGGTTAGCAGTCAGAAGCTCTCTTTCCCGACCATGTCATTCCCAAGTCATTCCCTGACATATGTCTAAAATGGATTAAAATGTCAGACTCCTTACAGATATTAAAAAAAAAATTAGACCAAGACAGGTGTCTAAAATTATTAGACAAAAAAAACCAACAAAACATTGAGCTAGGACTGGGGAGTTTCCAGTTACTTAAATAAACAGACGGGGGTAAATTCACTACCTACATCCCAATGTAAGGGGGCTAACCAGGCCGCTAGAGCATAACAAAGGTAGAAATGGGGTATAGAAAATTAATGAAGCGTTACCCATTGCATGGGATGTGTGACATCCGAGTGTCCTGTTGCGACACTTTGAATAGCTGGGAGAAATTCTCACAGTATTGGGTTGTGGGCCTTTACTTCTACAGTTAGTTGTTATCCATTCTATCAAACATATGTGGGCAGATGCAGTTTGTTGCGCATTAGAAGTTAGTTTTAATTTTGTCACATTTTGTATAGATACCTCAATTATCCTGTAAATAGCATACGTTTAATTTACATAATGGAAAATCGTTACTGCGGTGTTATTTTTCAAATATGTAAAAAGCAAACACATTAGTAATTGCAATTTTACGGCGTGGCCTAGCAGTAGTGAGCTGGACTGTTCGAGCTCGAATCCGGGTTCAAATCAGTAGAATGTCCCTGAGTCAATCCAGGTCTAAAGGGTACCTAACTCACGTTAGAGAAAACAAAGGCAGTGGGGCCTAGTGCTCACCACACTATCCCTTCACATGCCAAGGTCTTTCAAATAGATGAACTCTATTTTGTCTGCCCCATATGCCTTGGGCACGAACGGGAATTGATTTTATATATATATATATATATATATATATATATATATATATATATATTTATTTATTTATTTATTTATTTATATATAGGCTTATATTTGTATACCTATCCATAAAAGTTTGAGAACCACCAAATGTTGACGGGGTGTCCTCCACCTTGTTTCACCGTATGGAGCACATACTCCTGAAACTTGGTCTAGCATGACTAAAGATATCACATGACATAAAGGGGGGGGGGGGTACCCGGGTTAAGGAGCCTGATCTCTTTCAAGAGTTGACATATCACGTGATTTTGTTATACATCAGTAGGGTCGTCATTACAACCTCCCACGACCCCCTCTAGTATTCAAATTTTTGCTAACTCTATTACTGTAAACAGTTTAGGAATTTCTGAGTTACCGTTCTTGGACTACGGTTCTTTCGATACAGTAATATTCAGCAGTGCAGTGGGAAAGGAGAATCAGTTGCAGAGTGGAATCAAAAAGTTGTATAGGAAGTCGACACAACCCCGTTGAGTCTATATTTAGAGATGAATAAACGTAACAACTTCGTGCTAAAGAATGGAGACGCGGTGTGGGAATTAAAGAGTTAGCGATGTCAGGTTATCTGATGCAAGCAGTAAGATCTCAAAGAAAAAAAAATTCTTGTTAATGATTTTTTTGGCGCTCAATATTACAAAAGACACTACTAAAGCAGTACATGATTTACTAACTATGTATTCCTGTATTCAGTGTTACTGCCTAAAACAACATTTACACTTCACTAAGATTTGTTTTGTTACCATTTTTGACCTAGCGACCCATATAGCCTATGAAGAAGAATTCACCTATTTCTGTGACCCCGGCATATAAAAGGATAATGTCGTTAGTTCCATGCCCACATGCTTTCATATACCCTAATATGAGTCAGGTGCCCATCGGAGCTTTGTGGACTTGGAAATGTCCTGCGGAAGCTATTCCGAATTCCGAACTCGATATTTTCAGGTTAGAAGTCAGATTTTTATACCTGCAAAGGTTGTGCTCAAGGATGTTGTTTTTTTTTTTGTTATCTCAGTTATAACACGGCTCATGGGTGTAAAATCATTTATTCAACACAAAACAATACTTAAAATGTGAATATAAATAATTTTGAAAGAACAAATATCTATTTCTGAATACAGAAGAATATAGTCGATCAATATAATAAGCAAAAGTAAAAGTTAACAAAAAATGTTTAGTAGCTAATTGTTGACTGAATTTATCTACATTTACAGATATTTACAAAGGATGGTTGTGTTATATAAGTTTAAATATAATATGCACACTTTATTTTACTCTCACTAAATAATTTTAAAAGCAACAAACACGCGTGAAAATAAATAGCGTTTACTTTGGGATAATTTTCCAAAAAAAAATATGTGATTGGGATACTTATTGAACGGTGTGATTGTAACTCATATTCCCTATCGAACTATGTGAGTGTGTCTCTGATTTTAAAAACGATTTCCTATGGAACTGTGTAATTATAGCGAAGATTGAATACAGAACTCAGTAATTGTAATTGCAGCTTATATTCCCCATTAAACTAATTGTAGCATTGGTTTTCTATCGACTTGTGTAATTATAGCGAAAATTGCCTCTTTAATGATGTAATTCTACCGAAAATTGCCTGTTTAATGATGTAGTTCTACCGGATATTGCCTGTTTAATGATATAATTCTACCGAAAATTGAACGATGTAATTATAGCGAAGATTGTCTTTTGAACTGTGTAATTGTAGCGAAGATTGCTTATTGAACTGTGTAATTGTAGCGACTATTGCCTATTAAACGATGTAATTATAGCGAAGATTGCCTGTTTAATTGTCTAATTGTAGCGAATATTTCCTATTAAACGATGTAATTATAGCGAAGATTGCCTATTGAACTCTCTAGCTGTAACTGTGATTCCCATATCGAACAGTGATTAACATCTAGTAATAACTACTGGACCGTACTGCTCTGAAACTCTGTAGCCCATTGATCAGCCCATCGGTTGTAATCAACCAACGGAGCTATCTGATGCTTAGCTTCATGCTTGACCCGTGGGGACAGTGCGTGCTCCCACTGGGGTCGGATCGTGTCCAGAAGGTCCATGGCCGTCTCCATCCGCTGGCTCAGCACTCGCCTTCTCTCGTGCGGCAGCGGCAGAACGGATGTTGCCGCCATGGAATGGCGTCTAAGACCTGGGTCGTCCAGGTCATCTATGTCGAGATTTCGAACCGCGTTGTCTTTTTCTTTCTCGGCGTTGGACGAAAAACTAAGAGACAGCCGTCTTAGGTTTTCTAGACAGGTCTGAGTGTCGTGTTTAGGAGCTGGTGAGTTTTTGTTTAAGATGTTTTTCTCTATTACTTTACTTTCAAATAAATCTGGTTCTTTTTGTTTAATCTGTGATTCGAAATTCGAACCTGTTGCTAAATTTGAAACCAAATGCGGCTTTGAGTTTAGATGATTAACATTTTTATCATCGGAATGGTTGTGTTGGTCTATGTCTGAAGATAGTTCTAACCCCTGTTCTAATATAGTTATCCCGTATGGGGTTTTGTTTCTTTTCAGCATCCCGTTATACTCCGGGAACTTGCTAGTCAGCTTGTCGGCTATGATGTCCTCGTAGCCTTTCATCAGGGCATACTGGGCCTCGGGTGAGAGGAAGGACGAGAATCTCGGAGTCGTGGGCAGGTCAGCCTCGTCTTCGGCTACAGAACTCATCTGTGGATGTTTGAATGGAATCATTAGAACAGGTATGTGGGCTGATGTAAGGAGTCATTTATACAAATACGTGGTCGTAATTAAGGTGTAATTAATACAGGTATGTGAGCGTAATTAAGGTGTCGTTTATACAGGCATGTGGACGTAATTAAGTGTCATTAATATAGGAATTTGGTCATGTGAAATGTGTCATGAATACATCTATCTGGGTTTATGTAAGGTTTCATTTATACAGGTTTGTGGACAGTGAGGTGTCACTTATACAGGTTTGTGATTATGTAAGGTGTCAGTTATATCGATGTGGGGATATAGTAAGGTGTTATTTATGTGGCTTTATGTAAGGTGTTATTTATGTGGTTTTATGTAAGGTGTCATTACAGGTGTGTGTAGACGATTGTAACATGCACAGCTACGTGTCCAAAGTTATAAGATTTACATTAAACAGGTATCTTGGCATTTATAAGGGGACATTAGGATAGTTACATGCAGGCATTTAAATGGGACATTAATAGATGTGAGCTTATTTTTTTACATTGACTTAAAGCCACCCGCGTCTATGTCAGTCTACAGGAAGTCAAGTGACCCAATGACTCACCGGTCGTATAGTACCTGCACCGACACTAAGCTTCCTGGCGGCCTTGACCTTCAGCAGGTTGCTCACCTTGGCTGTTGCCGCTTGAAAGCTGACCTTGTGAACGGGCACCTCTGAACCGTTCGACAATTTACGCGTCCGTTTACCCGCGTTCCCCTCTTCCAAAACGCCGAGTCTTCTGCTATATGGGGGGTCAAGGTCTATCGATGACCTTTTTGGACCGAGCATCTCTTCAGAGACAGATTTAGACCAGGAGAATGTGACGCCGCGGTTGGTGTTCTGGTGACGCGGTCTCAGGGGCGCGGAGCTCTTCACCGCGGAGTCGCGACGGGAAGTGACGTCATCGACGGTGCCGATCGTGTTGTGTCTTTTCAGTTTTGTTTTAGTAAACGAACGGAATCCTCCTGGTTCCAGAACGTGGTTTGAATCTGAGTTCTTAGAGTCTTGAAACTTAGATTTTAAATCTCCAGGATAAAGTTTTCTGCTGAGCATATTATTATCGTTCAAATCAGCAGAAGGATGTTTTATCGAAGATTTTCTGCTTGTCGAATATGAATCTCTCTTTTTATTGGCTAATGTTTGTTTTAATTTGTCCTCAGAGAGATACGTCACATTAGTATGGTGCTCCGTTGTGGTCATTTTAAATATTGCAGTATTCCGGTAGGTAGCAGTTTGGAGTCATCACATCTAAAACAAAAAGAGAAAAAAAAAAGACAAAATGTAACAGCTTCAAGCCGAGGTAATAAAAAAACATATATTTCTCTTCAATGATATGTATCATAATTGAAGCATTTTTTTTTTGTTTTACTTCGGTCGTTGAATATTAAATGCGGCTAAAGAAGGCGACCCCTCTTTAATATTTGAACCAGTCATTAGTATCAGGTCTAACCAGGATACGCCTATGACGTAGACCAACACCATATTTCCCACCCTCTTTAATATTTGAACCAGCCATTCCAATATTTATCTCCCCTTTCTCGCTCCGCCGTCCATGAAAAGAAATCAACCATGCGTGTTCAAAACAAAAACAACGTTGATTAGTCCTAACAGCAAAGATTGTCACCATCTAAACACAGGCAAAATAATTTAACCAGTGGTATAAAATATTAAAATTCTAATTAGCCCGAGTCGGTAATGACGTGCTAATTACGCTATTTGTCAAAGAGGAAGCAAGGCGTGGCACCAGACAACACGCAATTAAAAAACATGTTTTCGTTTTACTTTCGTTTCCTGTGCGCAATAGATATAGAATCTACGACTGTTTCGTCCGATCCAGTGTTTCTTCCAGACTTTTTTCTCCGGGGGGGCACTTGAAATCTTCGGGGGGGCGGTAAACTTTCTTCGGGGGGGCGGACACTGTTAAAAGTATATATTTTCTATATAAATTATATAAATTTCATTTCGTTCGGGGGGGGCGGTAAAAATTTTTCGGGGGGGCTTCGCCCCCCCCCCGAAGAGATGCCTGGAATAAACTCTGGTCCGATCCCGGCATGTACTTGGTCAATGTATTGTAAACTAGTTGCATTGTGGAGCTAGTGGCATTGTGAATTAAACTGGGTCTAATCTTAGAGGTTGAAACGGGACACGGGGCAGGTGAAGTAGAGTTTTAATTGCTTGTAGCGATTTCGCTATATAGATAAAGCTTTTAGTGCAGGGACTAGCTGCTTCTACTACACTTTTGCTTGGGTATGGTACTTGACGGAGCTGTGTGCTCTTTAGGTACTAACGACTAGCGTCAGGTACAGAGTTTCTTCTAGGCATCTCTTCGGGGGGGCAAAGCCCCCCCCCCCGAAAAATTTTTACCGCCCCCCCCCCCCCCCCCCCCCCCCCCCGAACGAAATGAAATTTATATAATTTATATAGAAAATATATACTTTTAACAGTGTACGCCCCCCCCCCCCGAAGAAAGTTTACCGCCCCCCCCCCCCCCCCCCCGAAGATTTCAAGTGCCCCCCCCCCCCCCCCCCCCGGAGAAAAAAGTCTGGAAGAAACACTGGTCAGGTACTAGTTAGATCCTGGTGGACTCACTGACGTCATACGAAATACACATCTTTGGTGACAGCCAACTTCACACATTGTTACAGAGTTTCTTCCAGGCCATCTCTTCAAGTCCCACCCCCCACCCCCACCCCCTCCACCCCCCGAGAAAAAAGTCTGGGAGAAACATAGTCTCTGGACACCCAAAGAAGACAGATCTAAACATTGCAAGGGCATCAATTTTTTGTAAGTAAAAACTGATTTCAATGCCAATTTGTGTGCCCTATGTTAACAACTAGATTCGTTTCCCTCTAAACTATTGGTTCTTAACCTATTGGATGTACCTAACCCCACCAGTTGTACATTCACTGATCCCTTCTGAACAGCTCTTTCGAAGTAGTTGTACCCTCTACCACTTAACCCACACCGCGTGGCTAATTATCAAATCAACTATCTTTTAATGGCTAATGAGTAAACTACAAGAAACTGTGACTATATCATAGCTTATATTTTACAGTAATAAGACAATATGGACATTGAACCCTGCTCAACAGATTTCATTTAACACTTGACCTAATCCCCCCCCCCCCAATTTTGTATTGTTCGAAATTGTCACGTGGTTGTGGATGCTAGGGTCATTGAAATATTGTATATTATGACGGCGGTGGGCGATTAAAATGAAAATATAACATGACGGATGGCTGAAACGAACAGTCCAAGCTCAAATCCCCGTGCATATTAGGTTCGATAGCTGGAGACAGCAACACATCTAGGAGAAAAAAAAATCAAACAACTGCAGCCTTGCAGTTTGTTTTTGAATGGATAAAGGCTATGGAATCAAATTCAAAAAGAAAAGTCAACGGTTTATTTGGCGCATAACAAGTTGACACGTAATACTTAATTGTGTTTGAGGGTATTCCGTCTAACAGTATCACTAAGAAAAAAGAAGATATGGCGGAAGGTGGATCGTGGACATGTTAAAAATAAACGTTGAATGAAGTTGAGATGAGTCAGATGCGTAGCGAGGGGGGGGGGGGGGTCGGGGGTGCGGACCGCACCGGGTGACACCATTTAGGGGGTGACACCAAGGCAAAAAATAGCAAAATATATAGACAAAAACTTGAGGTGGTGCAAATCGAAAGTTTGAGGGGGGCTGCAAATCGGAAGTTCGTGGGGGTGCAAATAAAAAAGTTTGTCCCCGGGAAGGGTCGCTACGCCTCTGGGGGGGGGGGGGGAGGGGGGTGACACCATTAAGTGCCGCACCAGGTGACACCCGACCTTGATACGCCACTGAGATGAGTGACAATGTCTGTGTTTGTCGTCTTACTTGAAAGACCTTATTAGACTCGCTCGCTATTCTAGCAGTCAATGACATATCTATGAAATGGTAGCAGTTATTTTGTTTGACAATTTAAATACATTTCAGACTTGCAAAATACACTATCTTTATTATTCAAAAATAGGAATATATGCACATTAAAATTAACAACGCAAAATCGTTCAAACAAATAATCTGCTCCGTACCATAAACAGCTGACAGAAATCAGCTGTCTGTTTGGCCTAGCCGGGTCGATCGTAAATCAAAACAAATCTCAGACCTTAATCCCTGACAAGCGTACCTAGTCCACCTAAAGCCGGTACAGCGTTGAGATATTTACAGCCCCAAGGTGTCGCTCTCTGCTTGTTGTCAAAAGTGTCAGATCGATAGAGTTTTGTTGGTGTGAAGTTGGCTGTCACAACAACAAAAAAATGAATGGGCGACACGGGCGGATTTAAATTACGTGGGGCTTATTTCAGGCAAACACCGACAGTGACAACGGTGCTGCTAGTATTTTCTGGAATATTTTTATAAATGTCTCAGCAAATATTTTGCCTTCTAAACTAAGTAATTGCAATCTCACATGTATTTCGCCACTGAATGCTGAATAGAACAATAATAAAAACCATTATAATAACAAGCTTTAAATGTTGAGAAAACAAGCAAGTACAACAACATTGCTGTCTTTAATAAAAGCTTTGATGGTTCATGAGATCTCTTGCATATTTGGAATATTGAAAACGATAATGAATGGGACGGAGTGGTCTAGCGGTAGAGAGCTAGACTGCTAACCCGTTAGTCTCGAGTTCGAATCCGGGTTCAAGTCAGTAGACCGTCCCTGAGTCCCACCCAACTCTGATGGGTACCTAACTCACGTTAGGGAAAGTAAAGGCGGCTGGGCATAGTGCTGACCACACTATCTCTTCATATGCCGAGGTCACAGAAACAAGTGAACTCTACTTCACTTGCCCCATAGACCGTCATGTTTGAAAGGGAAACTTTTTACTTTACTTTAATGAATCACTAAAAGAAAGTAAGATGTCGAAAATTCATTCCTTTTTTCGTTTAATTCATGTATTTTTTCTTGCAATTATTTTGATTTAAAATACAATAAATAAAATTAAAATAAGGGAGCCCATGAATTACGAGGCCCTTATGTTGCAGCCCGCTCAACCTCCTTGTGTGATCCGCCGCCGACAAGCGGTGGGAGGGGACAGTAAAACAAGAAGGGTAAACATAAATGTACAATGGCCTCATTGACACCCAGTTTGTGACATTTATTCCTTTACAAATGGTGTAGTATTTTCATTACTTTCGTTGTTTTGTTGGGTTTTTTTTTTTTTAGTTTTTGTATTCATGTAGACAAGGTCTGGCGTAGAAACGGTTTTAACAATCAGACTTGAATGCCTGTATTGACTGTATTGGCTAATAAAATAATAATCCGCTATTTCAGTGACTTCTTTGTGTAAGCATTATCAGCTGTTGAGAAAACTTGCTTAGCGATCTGTATTTGCCCCAAATTAGGTATGGTACCTAATAAGGCTAAGTACAACAGAGAAATTTTTTTTTTTTAGATGTTTGGTTATGAATTGAAATACCGACATCTTCAGCTTATTGGTGATTCTGATGTTATAATTATAGTGTTAGGGTCAGTGTTTGTATGATGTTAGAGTTCGGTTAAGTTTGGAGTAGATATGATGGGTTAAAGACATGGTAATTTATGGGAGCAAAGTTATGGGAGCAAAGTTATGGGAGGAAAGTTATGGGAGGAAAGTTATGGGAGGAAAGTTATGGGAGGAAAGTTATGGGAGGAAAGTTATGGGAGGAAATAAATAGGAGCAAAGCCGTGTACAAAGCTATTTGTGTACAAATAGTGAGCGAAGAAACCGTGAAATAATAGGAGAAATCGTAGCCATGAAATGGGATCCGATTATACCAGGGGTCTCCAAACTACGGCCCGCGGGCCCGCGATGTCCTCTCATCCGGCCCGCGGAGATCTTTTTGTCCACGGAAAAAACGTTTATTGGTGATGGCTGAGGATCTTTGTCCAGAAAAATCAAAGACATTCCTGGAAGAAACGGCCCTCGAAGTGAAATTTGATAGTTAATGCGGCCCTCGGACTGAAAAGTTTGGAGACCCCTGGATTATACGGAGCAACGGGTAAAAAAAAAAAACAAGCAACGGAATCTGAACGATAAGAGCTCAGCTATTGTATCCAAACAATGGAAGCTACCGACTCGGACCGCGAACGTTTATAGCTGGGTAAATAAAAAGGTTTTAATGGAGAATTCAGTGGCTTATAGTGGCAGAAACTCGTGAAGGAGCTTGGTGCTTGAGTATACATTGTGCTGTAAAAATGTTACCCAAGCATCGAGTGTCACAAATCTTTGAGATAATAATCAATGAATATCAACCAATCGAACTTGGGGTCGTGTATTGTTAATATTAAAATGTATGTTGAATTGTTTTTAAGTTGGTTTTTTTTTTGTTTTTGGTTTTTAATAAGGAGCGATCTTCACATTACAAACAAGTGTCGTTCATCTAGAGCCTTCCAAAGCCACCCCCCCTCCCTCCTCAAGCCCCTTTTGTGTGGTCAATGTAATGAAGTTTTAGACCAAGTTAATGTCTTTACCTACCAAGCATACATAACAAACCGAGTTTGTTTTTAAAGTTAATGTTAAATGTCAATAATAAATTGAAATAAATTTAAACGGTCCATCTATGGGACTGATGAAGTAGAGTTCACTTATTTCTGTGATCTCGGCATTATGAAGAGGTAGTGTGGTCAACACTATGACCAGCCGGCTTTACTTTCCCTAACGTGAATCTGGTACCCTAAGGTGGAATCGTGTATTATCTAAGGACTCACCCGGGATTCGAACTTGAGACTTTCATGTTAGCAGCCGAGCGGTCTATTACCCGACCAGACTGTCCATTCAATATGAAATTACGATTGCCCTCTATACATGTGTAATGGAACAATGTAGATAATATTTATCGTTTCGTTATAATCGATATTTTGTTACATTGAAAAAAGGAGTAAAGTGATACATTCTATATTTTGTCAAAATTCTAAAACTTGAAAAGATTGGATGAATAAATTGACAAATAAGTTGGTGAGTGAGTTGACAATGCTGTGTTATGGAGTTCTTTAAACGTTTCATATAAGGATTGGACTTTGTTTCTAATTAAAAGGCGGCACCAGGTTTTCTCTTTCAGTGTTTCTTCCAGACTTTTTTCTCCGGGGGGGCACTTGAAATCTTCGGGGGGGCGGTAAACTTTCTTCGGGGGGGGCGGACACTGTTAAAAGTATATATTTTCTATATAAATTATATAAATTTCATTTCGTTCGGGGGGGCGGTAAAAATTTTTCGGGGGGGGGCAAAGCCCCCCCGAAGAGATGCCTGGAAGAAACTCTGTTCTCTTTAATGACGAGGAGTCAATGTTATGATATGATGTCGGTGCAGACGACTTTATTGATATTGGAGGAGTGGGGTGTATGGAGGGTTGGGTAAAGGTTATAGTAATGTTTCATACTAAGTTGGGTGACCAGCCATGGTAATAGTAAATAATTTTATATGAGGCTAGGGATATGTCAATACAGCCTACTTTTGTATCCTACATTATGTGCATGATCGATTATAATATAATCTTCACCGAATTAGAATTACATAGAAAATCATATATAATCATATATAATCTAGACTTTAATTTCGCAAGATTTTTTTAAAAGTGATTTTAAAAAGTATATATAAATCTAATAATATTTTTATAAAATAATGTTACAATTTTTTAAATTAAATAATATTTCAAACGTTCGAACGCCTACCTTAGCACAAGGAAAACCCTGGAACAACACACAGAGTGGCAGAGGCTTAAGGTATGCCAGTGTGTGCCAGACAGCCCTAGAGTGGCGCATTAAAATGGATATCTGAGCATTGTTGTTGACACGAGCTCGTAAGGGAATACTTTATTGGAAGGTGGCTATTTATAGCCCCCGCACTACGTCACGTGACAGAGGCTCGCGCACAATGTTTGTCAATAAGACTGGGGGGGGGGGGTGGGGAGGCGCGGAGAGTTTTTAAAGTTGTAGAGTAATGCAGGGGGTTCGCTTTGAATCTTAAGTGTAGGATTAAGATGGGAGAGCAGTGTTTCTTCCAGACTTTTTTCTCCGGGGGGGGGGGGGGGGGGGGGCACTTGAAATTTTCGGGGGGGGGAGGGGGGGTAGACTTTCTGGGGGGGGGGGGCGGACACTGTTAAATGTATATATTTTCAATATAAATTCCATTTCGTTCGGGGGGGGGGGGGGGCGGTAGACTTCCTTAGGGGGGGTTCTGTCCCCCCTCCCTCTCGAAGAGATGTCTGGAAGAAACTCTGCGGGTGAGAAGGGGGGGGGGTGAGACGGGCTTCACTGATACCCCAGCCCTTCTCCCCATTCCCCCCTAATAAAGGCCAATTGCTTAATATATAAATGGTCATTATGGTATATGATGTAAATTGTTCTCAGATCGACTACAATTAATTCTTAATCATTATCTTCACATTAATTCTTAAACATTATCTTCACATTAATTCGTAAATATTATCTTCAAATTAATTCTTAAAAATTATCTTCAAGTATTAAAACAATAGTTCTGATAAACTTTCAATAGATTCGAACCTAGTAAACTTAGTTTTGTAGGCATTACAAATAACAGAAAGCTTCACACATAGCAATGTAAGCAGTACGCGTATAACCTTACACGCCTTACCGTCTCACCTATATATGTTTAACCATGCAATTGTAGACACGAGAGTAGTAGTGCGAAAGTGTAAAATTCAGTATCTTAATACTGGATTTCCTTGTGTGCATTATGACTGAATTTGGTGTCATTACGAACGTAATTAGCTGAGATTTACGGCTGGGGACAGGAGAGCGGATTTGAGTGCTTAAGTGCCAGATATTTTGTGCAGACGTTGAGTAAATATTCCTGTTCCCTGGGCACGTGATTAATGGTTATTTAATTAGGACATGAGGATTTGTACTCGAGAAATCAATAGGGAGTACGGGAATGGGGTTTTCGGTGGGGACGGAAAGTAGTTCAAAGGATAGTGGAAGGTGGGGGGGGGGGGGGGGTATCACGCATGCAAGAAGACTGTCAACAATAGTTTGAATGTGTTTTATTTATAAACCAGATTAAGATTTAAACAAAAAAAAGTCAAGGTGTAAGCATTGTGTAAGCTGGTTACCCTGGGTGTAAGAATTGTGTAAGGTAGTTTACATCTGCTTGGTTTGGCCGATTCCGCCGGCCGATTATGATAATGAGAAGGGAGAGAACCTGCATTGAAAGTGTTTATTGTAACGGAAAGAACGGGAGGTAATCGTGAAGTTTTTTTATTATTTTTTTTTGATAAACTGGCTAACCAAGTCTGAATGTTTTGTGTTTTGTAGGTTGTAATATCCACAAGTACTTGACTTCATTTTATAATTAAGTTCAGCTGTAGTTTGTTGGCTTGGGCTCAAACAAACTATTTTTTAAATTCCAAAACTGGATCTTTTGAAAGTGGTATTAGTAAAAAGGTACAACTGAACTTAATAAAATAAAATAAAATATGGCTATTTGGTGCGTTGTTACGAATGGGCGTTTACATCCACATATATATCCCCCACCCCTATTTTTAAGGAGCAGAAAATGGCATTAAAAGATGCTGGGCATAATGTGCTTTGCTACTAACAAGAGCACATTTTAATTATTTTTTTAAAGAACAAAGCATGCCTAATAGTCTTCATAAATTATTAAGGTGGGGGAGGAGAAGAGTGGGGGTTATGTTAGGAGTCGGTGTGTGGTTATAACACAGAGTTGGGATTTATCATATGTTTATGTCAGCGGTTATAACACAGAGTTGGGATTTATCATATGTTTATGTCAGCGGTTATAACACAGAGTTGGAATTTATCATATGTTTATGTCAGCGGACAACATGTGATTCCCCATATTGCCGGTTGACTCCAACTTCAGCCTTTTTCTTTCTGGGTTAGCTCCCTTAGTCTTTGTCCATCTAAGAACAATCAACAAGGGAGGAGTTGTCTCTCCTAGATAGGTTGCTGTCCCCAGCTAATAGACCTCGTCCGCCCCGAGGTTTGAACTCGAGACTGCTGAAGTTGGCAATAAAACACCCTCATACCATACTAACTCGTTTCTTAATGTGTTCTTCCAAATGTCTTAAGGATTTTTTTATCTAAGTTTTTTTTTTTTTTTTTTTTTTTTTTTTTTTTTTTTTAAACTCGACTGTTACGACTTGTTAAGGTAGGGAATGATGAGGGGTTAGTTGGGAATTGAATTGTTATCAGAACATATTTACTCTACGTACTTTTGCCAGAAAAAAATTATTCTTGTAGTATCAAATTTTTAATTTTTTAATTTTTAAAAAAAATTTTGACCTAGATTTTATGATTGATCTGCTTTAAATTTAAATACAGTTATGCTAACTAAAACTAAACCTTAAAGGGCAGTAACGATGTAAAAACATTAATTAAAGTCAGTTTCATATTCCTTTTCAATAGCAAGAAATAACAGGCCGATACTACATTTGTAACGGAACTTTTCCAAATCTTCTTATAATCTTTCTATTTTTCTTCTGCCTCGTAAGCTCCATTGTAATGCAGATCTAGTGGCTTTGGTATTCTAAAAATAGGCATTGTTCGTCTCTCTGTTGATCCCCGAATTCAAATATCTCTATAAATACACGCATGTGTTATGATTGCACTTGGTTCGTGCGTGTGTGCTAGTAATGTGTAAATAGTTACTGGAACTTATACGTTGATGCATGCTTCACAATTTTAATTTCAACAAATATTAGCACTAAACTATTCTTAATTAACAGTACATTTAAATTTACTTCTAGTTACATCAAGAAACGGATCAATAGTCTAACAAAACAAATGCACTGTATGCTGAAAAATATATCCAATATCAACACACAAGAAAACATATTAAAACACAGTAAAGATAAGTAGAATTAAACGTATCGATAAATCTCTAATAGAGAGGACTTTCCATTATGGTAATAGAATATTTATATGAAAATTGTATTTGTTAATGTACATAAACGTACAACGGCGCCGTGATATTCAAACCGCAAGTTATATTCTTGTATGCTGGATTCATTGTGATTAATATAATCCTTTAATCCCACAGATTACAAACAACGATAAGGCTATTGGCTCAAGCTGCACATACTACTTTAGCTAACAGAGTGTTCGATTTACAAAATCTTGATTTCGAAAACTGAGAAGATCCAAATCAAAAGCAGGACGAATTTTATTACTTGATGAAAATCTGATTCCAGATGATTGATTATGTGTTTGAATGAATAGTACGGACGCACAAAAGAGAAGTGGTGGGGTGGGGTGGTGTGAATTAATAAAACGGGAAAGTTGGGCCGTAGTTAGTGGGTAGAATGGGTGATTTTTTTTTCTAGTAGATCTGCATGATGTGAAGATTAGAAAGGTAGAACAGTGCAGAAAGTTGTATGTGATGTGGAGATAGTGTACGAGTACGTGTGCGTGTGCGTGCGTCTGACTTGTGTTTAAAAAGCCAACAAGCAAAACATTATTACTATTTGCCTTGTGAGCGAATATATTGGTCAGTGTCGTATTATTCCCGACATTTTGTTTGGGTTATTTCCTGAACCAATTGGCACTAAAGTGGCGACCACTTACATGTATTTGTGGTGGCTTTTGAAAATTTATATTTGATTGACATCTTTTTTACTTTCTCGTATATACGAAGTATAGAGTATATTGTAATCGTGCAAAAAAAATCGAGATTTTTACAAATCTCGACGTTTTACACCTCACTGATACGGAAAAACATAATTTTGCAATCTTGTCCGTATGTCTGTGTGTCTGTGTGTGTGTCTGTGTGTGTGTCTGTGTGTAAAAACGATTACTTGAGTACCGTTACAGCTAGGTTGATGAAATTTCATATATAAGTATTTTATCAAAATCGTAGATCCGTATCAACTTTTGAGTGATTTCCGATAACCGGAAGTGGTACTTTTTCTACTTTGAATTTTTCAAAAGCCTATAACTTGAGTACTATTTCAGATAGATAAATGACATTTCACATTTAAGTAAAAGATCTAATTCTCTGCCTTCTGTTAAATTTTGAGTAATTTCCGTTGACCGGAAGTAGTAATTTACGCTACTTCCGATTTCTCAAAAAACGAATGTACATTTTTAAAGTACAAATAATATTCCGCACTATTATGCACTTTTTTATTTGGCGTTCACTTGGTGTGCAATTCTTTTGTCTACGAGATGTTATTCTATTTTTAAAACTTTAAGTATTTAAAATGGATTAAAAATCATGTCTATAGCCCGAGTTCCCATCCCCTGTTATTTTATATAAGAATATTCGACTAAATGTTTAGGGGAGATCACTCCCGGTTTATTTTTGTGTGTAATGGGTTTGCTTTGCATGTTTCTATATGTATCTCTAATGTCTACTGCATTGTGTTCCCTGGCCTACTAATTCTTGTGTATAAGGGTGTTGTTTGTTTGTCATAATATTTTTTCTATACAAATTCCATTTCGTTCGGGAGAGGGTGGTAGATTTTCTTCACCCCCATCCCTCCAAGAGATGCCTGAAAGAAACTCTGCTTCCAATGCAGCATTCATAACCCGTGCAGCTGCCATCCGGTGTTAGAGCCTTGTCGTGGCTTGGCAGCTTGTGTATCCTCACCAGTGGCGTAGGCAGGGGGGGGGGGGGTTAGGGGGGGGTCATAACCCCCGCCATAGACCCCTCGGTATATATATATATATATATATATATATATATATATATATATATATATATATATATATATATATATATATATAAAGTATGAGGGGGAGTGCAAATCGAAAGTTTGAGGGGGGGGGGTGCAAATCGAAAGTTTGAGGGGGGGTGCAAATCTAAATTTGTCCCCGGATAAAAATTGGAACCCTCCCCCCCCCCTGAGACGATCCTGGCTACGCCACTGATCCTGACCACCCCAGAGCTATACCAGCGGGAGTGTAAACTAGTAGGTTCAACCAAACTGGTAAGATCTGCGCGGGTAGGGATCAGTCAGACCAAAGCTAACATCCTGGTCCCTCAGGTTGGGGGTTGAAACATAAGGCTAGCAACCTTATCTCATAAAAAAATATACCGCTACAGAAACTGCAAGTACACAAATCCAACACCAACTTGGTCGAGGATGTTCCTCTCTATAGGGAACAGCCCAAAACCGAGTCCGCTGGAAATGTGTGTTTGCAGCCCTTTGCTCCACAGGGGCCACAAAGAAATGATGATGATGATGATGTAGCTGTGGAAAAGGAGGGACGGGGGAGGGGGGGGGGAGAGAGCAGGCAGCCTTGTCTGATGTCACCCCTCGTTCTAAATCATTTAGCTATACTGTTGAAGATCTCTGAGCTGGTTTCTCTCTTAGATTCTTAGTGAATGTATATGAGGTTTACACTGTTGTTGTATTTGTGCATGGTGGCTCACAATGCAGGCTGTCACTATCTGTCGAACGTTTTTTTTTAAATCTATAAAGAGTGTGTAAAACCTCTTTGTTGCTGTAGGTTTTTTTTTACTGTTTGATTTTATTAGTATGATACAGATAGTTCTGGCATAGCTGAAGGTAAATGGAGTCTTGGTCACTTTTTTTTTTTAAATTGAACAGTTGTCCCCCTTTGTGTTCTCGCTTTTGTAAGTTTGGAATAATATTTTCTTTTATTTCTCTGTGAGATCCCTCCCCTCTCATATTACTGCCAAGTTTTGAGTATGGTTTTTGCAAGTTTCTAGCCTCATAAAAATAGACAGAGCCGTAAAAATAGAATTTCGACAGCAATAAAATAAACAAACAAAAAATGTATAGTAGACTGATATGTCAACGTGGAGCCACGTCGTTTATGATGCTGTTTATGCAGGAATTCACATTTCCTTTTATAAACTAGTTGTTCGATGTAGGACTAGATCATATTTGTCAAAATAACACTTATCTTTGTATCTTTGTCTTTGTTTGAGCTTGACACACACCCCCTTCCCTTCCCAAGGTTTTTAAAAAATCTCAGACAGACTTGACATTATTAAGCAACACACTCCACACATATATTTAACACCTAGATACAATATTTAGGCATACATTACACATATCTTTTCCATATATATGTGTGTATATATGTCGGTGTGTGCGCACAACATGAACTCACATTTTTTATATAAATTCGTAAGCATTTTTATTTTTTCAAAGGAGGAGAAGGTTGACCCAACATGTGGACACCAAACCTCCCCCCTTCCCCCCCACACACATAACCCCGCAAGCAGCCAGGGGAGTCCTGTCGTTGACCGGTTAATGTGCTTTCAATCACTGCACTGATGTCAACCGAGTGTCACGGCGACCGTAGACACGACATAACTCGTGTCTTCTGTTTTGAAAGGGAGACAACCCTGCTCCTCAAACAATAGTAATCCGGAGAGAAAGATTTCTGTCCCTCTAAAAACTGTCTGGTATTTAAGGGCAGCGTTCTAAATAAATAACCCACCGGGAGCGTAAATAGCTAGTTGTCTTTAAAACAAAAATGCTCCAGAAATACTTTGGAACCCATAATTTTAAACTGCCTCCCCGTGAACGACAAAATAAATATTTTAACATGTTAAATCATGTGTAGTTTATCTCCAACCCCTCCCCATAAAATAAATAATTAGTATTTTATTTTGTAATTTTCGATTTAAAAAAAAAGTACCTACTTTCAATTTAGTAACCGCTACGTAACAAGTCAACATGTAAATCGCAGCAGTTTTTCACGTACCCTCACTGTGATATATACTACTTACACTAGACGTCTAGTAAATAGTTCCACTGCCTCAAATTTTTGACTTACCGAAAATTCGAAACAAGACATTTTTAAGCTTGACCAACATGTACACCCAATGCAGCAGATTTAAATATACTTACAAGTCTATATTTTATAACCGTAAGTTATTAAAATTTTTAAGTTTCCAATTAAGACTTCATTATCAATGCATAAGAATAAGTCGTTAGAACTTGTATAGACCTAAATAATATTATAGTTTAAGCTTCTTATGGGCGTAGTGCTTACTGCAATCAACAATAGAGAAAATCTACAAGATGCTTAAATTCTCCTCATATGCTGTCGAGGAAATTAACACTGCTTTTATCATTTCATTCAAGGTTTAGGGAAAATTAGCCTATTGTTAATTTCCTTAAAAAAAAAAGTGTAAAAAAACTGCTACTAAACCAAGTAGATACTAAAAAGATATTTTGCTAAGTTTAAATTCTTAGCCCATTTGCTCTGATTTAAATCATTAACACTATTTTCTTAGACTAACCCCAGCTCTTATCACAAAGATAAATTTTAAACAGTTAAGTCATTTGCAATATACTATATAATAAAACACCATAGCTCTACACTGCTATGAACCCAAATGTAGCATTTTATGAAATGAACTCTTCTGATAAAAATATATATGTGAGCCTATAAATAGAAGCTCAATGTAGATAACTGTCAATGTTGTACGCAAATTGCTAACCATTTTACAGTACAAGCACTATGTCAAATGGGATTTGTGCTGACCACACCATTTACCTTCAGGTAGGAAAGGATGCCATATATTTATACATGTATTTGAATATAACTCCAGTCCATTGTATGATTGCGCATTGGCAAGGCGAGCACAACGATTGGACAGCACAATAGGAATAGCCAGATGTATTTTTATTTAAACCTTTAGTTAGTATTCCTATTCCCTAAGATTACCATTTGTTAGATTTTGCTCTACTAGATGGGCTGTTGTCCCAGTTGCACAAGGGTTCAAACTTTGAACTGGTCCCAGGATACTTTTACAATACATTAACAGTAGTATCCCTTGAATTATGGCAGGTGGAAAAGGTAATGTCTATAGTTACAGCTCATAAAATAAAATCAAGACAATTTAAACAGAAAATTGCACCCCTTGTTTATTAGTGTTACATTTCAATGAAAATTTAAATAAAGGTTTACATGTTTGTTAAAAACGTGACAAATACTAAGTACTTTTAAAAACTTGGTCAGTTGGTATACAATAAATTGAGCAAAAATATCTCTATAAACACCTAGGGCACATAGACACCAAAAAAATGTACCTTACTTTACACAAAAGAATAGGGAACAAAAATTATGTAGGGCACCTACTACAAAAAAAGAATCCATAAATAGTTTTAAAATGTGGAGTTAAAGTCTATTCATAAATCCAAGTTTTGTTTGCAAACTCATAGTCACTGAGTTCTTCTGGCTTGAACCATAAGGCAATCTCTCTCATTGCAGTTTCAACAGCATCACTTCCATGGCAAATGTTGCTGAAAAACAATAAAAAGATACAGATGAGTTTTGAATTAAATTTACCCATTTCAGTCCCCTGTCACCCTGGAATCATTTAATGCTTAATTAACAGCCTTAAGTGTACAAATTTGTTCTGCAAAGTAATGAAAGGCTCTTGGTTAATGATGTAGGGAGCCATGAGGAAGTTCAAATTTATGTGTCCATTTTTTGGTCCACCTAAAGCTATTTGTACAACTTTTTAAAAACTTAAGACAGTCTTTTTAAATAAAAATTTAAAAAATATGAAAAAATTAAAGGTTTAGGCTAAATGCTCATGACAATGAATTCAGACATAAAAAATGCTAAAGGGAAATAACTAATTTACCACACTGTTTTCAATTTTTATTATATTTTAGTTGGACTTTTTTTTTTACTATATACTGTAACATGCTTCAAAGGAAGCTAAATTAGACATTTAGCGGAACAAGTCTCCTATTGCTAGACAGTAGGCATGTATGTGAATTAGGCACTACTTTTTTTGTTGAAACCATTTAGACATAACAAAAAATGTCATTACTACCATGAGCTTTACCTGCCTGACAGTGCAGACCCCCCCCCCTCCCCATTTATATTTTTAATAACTAAAAATGTGTATGTACAGCAAACAGTTTAACTCACCGTCCAACATCAATTGCAAAATCACCACGAATGGTACCAGGTTCAGATGCCAAGGGGTTAGTTGCACCAAGCATTTTCCTGCCCATTTTCACAACTTCTTTACCTTCCCAAACCTGATAATTTGAAAGGGTTTTTTAAAAATATTTTCTGTCGTAGTTTTATAATAATATTAAAATTCTTAGTTTAAAAATGTATGGTAAGTTATAGTAGTGAACTCCTTTCAACAAGGGTGTATATGAAAGAACTAATCTTTATAAAGTGACAAAACTTACCATGGCAAAGACTGGCCCTGAGCTCATGTATTCAACCAATCCATTAAAGAATGGTTTGTCAGACAAATCTTTGTAGTGACTCCTCAGAAGATCTTTAGAAGCCTGAAATTGAGAATAAAAGTTGTAAGGATTAGGATGATAGATTTATAGTTATAAAATATTAGGAATTTAAACAATAGTACTTGAATCTTATGATAATCTCTTTATTATATTTTCTTAGGTGTCACAGCCAGCTAAATCAGCTGATATCAAATATCCTGATGTAGAACCTACTTCTAAAAATTATAATTAGAAAAATTTGATATCCTTTTTTCAATAGATTGAATAATTGATTAGACTGGGAATAAAACAAAATGTTTGGAATTTGTCAATACGCCTAACATTTTGATTTAGCAAATAGGTCTATCTTGCATAATTAAAATGATTGGTTATAATCTGTTCTTTTCTATCACAATCTGTAGTATTTTTGTAACTATAACTATAAGCTCACGATCATGTAACCTTGTTTAGTTGTTACTCTTCCCATTGCCATTTGTGATCAATAAAAAATTAAATCACCCTAAACTGTGTGGAAATTACAATGATTTTGTAATTTGAGGCTGAATGGGATTTTGTGTACACCTATAAAATATATTGGTGTAATACAGGCCAACTGTTTATAATATAAATGTCTAGTTTTCAGAAAATAGGGCCTAACTGAAACTGGTGTGAAAGTAAAACTGACATACTTTTAAAATTTCAAATAGAATTTTTATAGAACATTAAAAAAATTGTAGCTTAGCTTAAATAGTACTAAACTAATAGTCTTAGCTTAGATTCTTCCATAAAATAGGTGTGTTGGGTTGTTAGTAGTAATGTAATCTCGACTAATTTCATGGTTAGAAATTAGGGTTAGGGCAGTTAGGCATATGGTAGGACTAGGGTTGGGGTTAGCATTGACATTAGCCAGCCATGTGTGTCTTTAGTAGCTAACTACCAGTAACCAAGTAACCTATCACCCCCTTTTTAAAGATTATATTAAAGGGACAAAAAATCCCCCCTTTGCTTTTAAAAATTTAGGCCTACTAAATATAATAATAAATTTTAAATAAGAGTCTAGTTTAATATAGTTAGCTAGTAGATCTAGAGTAAAGTGGCGTCTGCGGACAGACGTAGCAAAAAAAACGGAAGTGCCGATTTCCATTGAGCGCCATTCAGTAACCGCTTCACATAGAAACAAACCGAAAGTACCGTCTCACTCCGCATTCTTTCTAGTTTAATCACGTCTGATTCATTTTGTATTCATACGCATAGCATTGAATGTATTAACATTTTCAGTGGTGAGACTCTGTGCGGACAGTAAGTGCACTTTTTTTTTACATTTTATTTTCTGTGCGCACACTTGCTCCTTATGCGGACAAGGCATATTTTGTTCATTTTATTTCTATTTAAATGATTGAAATAGACACGTTTGATGATCAAAAATATTTTTAAAACCTAAAAACATTACTAAAAACTTATAGATATAGATTTAGACTTAAATTTAAATATAAATCTGGAGTATCAAGATTAGTTCAAAGCTCCTTTTTACTTAAAGTGTAAGAAATATATTCTACTCTGATTTTTCATTAGTGTCCGCAAAAGGTTAACCCTCAAAAAAGATGCGGACACCCCAATTTTTCCTCTAAGATGGCTTAAACAACCTTAACTATGATATTTATAGCTTTCTATATATATGTATAAGCTATTTATAGTTAACCCAGTTAACTAAGCTATGATTGGTTCGATTTATTCCTCTAATCCGGAGACTAGTGCTCTTCATCCGGGTGAGGTTCCCTTTCATAAAACGTCATACATCGCAACTTTGAAAAATTCCAATTAATCTCCCTATTGAGTGAATTAGAAGAAATGGACTCAGATGTGTTTAAAAATGGACATGCTTTGTGTTGTTTGCGTTAGTTTCCTATAAAACATTCATACAATTATTGTTTAAGCGAAAAACAGCAAGGTGTCCGCACAGAGGCAACTGTCCGCATACGCCACTTTACTCTAGATCTAGTCTGGTAGTAACTTGACTTTATTTAACTTCACTTTCTAGACAGCTGGACTTAGTCAAGTTACTAGCTTTTCTAGATTAATAAATCTAGAAGTTAGCTTTAGGCCTAATAATAATATTTATTATTTAAATCTAGATTCTAGATCTAGATTCTAGATCTCTAGATTAAGAATAGACTTTAGGGTATACCGACTTTAGTAGTATCTAAGTTTGACTAGACCTAGATTTAGGCCTAATGTCAAATGTTCGAGGTCGTGTTAAAAGTCATTGAAAGGTTAGATTCCAAGCAAAACTAGAGCAGAGGTTCGGATTGTTTTTCGCCAAATTAGTTTTCTCACGTGTTTTACAATGCTCGATGATACGTACCCAAATAAGTTTTCCAGCTACCAGTTTGTAACCACGAGCTTCAAATCGTTTAACGATTTCACCAATAAGTCCCCTCTGGACACCATCGGGCTTGACTGCGATAAAAGTACGTTCTTGCTTAGGATCTGCCATTTTCTTTGTAAAAAGTGAGAGAACGGTAAGAAGCGTTGCAGTCATACAAGTAGCACTGAGTGCGAAAGGAAGAACCGATGAAGTCACGTGACTATCCACGACGAGATTTCCGAGGCGTAGGCTAGGCCTGGGGTCGGCAACCTGCGGCTCGCGAGCCGCATACGGCTCTTTTGATGTTAAGATGCGGCTCTCCAGCTCCATGTTCACATATTATAATAGTTACATTATTTCATTTTCAAAACTAATAACAAATATTATACTGTAAAGAATCACAAATTTAAACATAATAAGAACACTCATCAGAGAACAATGAAAATAGGTGAATCAGAGAGTACACGGACAGCTGACAGCCGCTTGGGCACAAGGCCCAGTGCCACAGCCGTGCCGTGGACAGCCAAGTGGCGAAAGCTCTATTCTTGCCACTACCCAGTGGGCTTGAAGATAAGTAGCCTATGGTGAGAACCAAAGGACAAAAGCGACCGGTACACTGTAATCAAGCCGATATCCAAGCCAGTTAGTCGTGTTAAGGCCTGTCTGGCTTATGGGAGACACCTCACGAACAGGTCATGTCTATAAAGAAAGAAAAAGAAAAGTTATCAGCTTCTAATAGGGATTGTTTTTATATGAATAAATATTATTTCATGTTTAAAGCTATTTATTTTAAATAAATTAAAATTTTTGTATTATAACATATTATTTCTTTATTCCAAGTCTTTGAATACCATTACTAATCCATTGCTTTTTATTACAGTGCTGGTATTATTACAATACGTATTAGAGGACCCCCCCCCCCCCCCCCCCCCCCGATTGTATGAAAAAAAAGTCACAGGAAAAGAAAACACAGGACAAAAAAAAACAGAAAAAAGTCACAGGAAAATAAGTCACAGGAAAAAAAGTCACAGGAAAAAAGTCACAGGAAAAAAAGTCACAGGAAAAAAAGTCACAAATATATATTTGCATGGAATTATATTTATGAATTATATATTCAGAGACTGCAAATTAGCTTAGGATTAATTAAATGTATTGTAATGTGGATTTTTTTTTTTCCTGTGACTTCCCCCCCCCCCCCCTCCCCCTTTCCCCGGAAGATATGCTGAAAGAAAATCTGCACACGTTTGAGCTAAATATTCTGTTTTTATTTTTTGCCAGTACATTCAAAATCCCCATCAAGCACCCCTCCCCCGTAGACAATGTCTGAAAGAAACCCTGCTGTTATGTTTGCCAACACATAATTAAGTTTCAAATTATTGTTATAGACTAGATCTAATAACTTTTATTAGAATAAGAAATTGTTAACCCAGAACCTAACTAAAAAAATATATTGATTCGTTTCTATAAGACATTCTAAAATGACTTTAAAACACATCGTACAACCAGGACCAGATTAGTATAATTTAAAAAAAAAAACGTTGCAAAATGAAAAAGTCTTAATAAATATTAGATACTATTGCGAAGCAGCGATTTAAAAAAAATCTTCAAGATTGTGATTACGCGTAGATTTATTAGGATTTCGAATTTTAGATCTACCGAATAACAAAAATAATTTCATCTTAAAATTTGATTCACAATTTAAGATCGCGCATGTATTCTTAATCACGTGATCGCAAGATATACTATTTTTAAATACATAACAATGTTCTTTCAAATCACAAGTGTATACGTTTTGCTGAACTGTTTCATTAGACACAACGAGGCTGTTTTACCAATTGTGGTCAATACATGGCCTTTTGTAAATGCAACCACAGCAGGTAGTATACTCTAGTCGTATTAACATAACATAATAGATTGTCCCGAGCTAAAACTTACCGCCCAGTAATAATATTAATACCCAGCGCTCCGAGATTCCTACTCTCAAACTCGAGTCAAACTCTGGTTTTCAGTCCATTCACAAACATAGTTTTTTTTTTTTTTGTTTTAGTATTTAGTAAACAGTAAGGTTACTTCAACTGTCTGCCAGTGTCTAGCGTCTGGGCTACCTAGCTACTTTTAGCTAGACAGGTAACGGCTAACTCTTACTTTGTAACTGACTGGGTGTAGAATAGTGTGGTAGATCTACTCATTCATACTTCATACTGTGTGAGTGTAGTCTAGCTAGTGTAGTAATGTTTGTAGTAGTAGTTTGTAGAAAAATATTTAATGTTTAAATGTAGGGTAAAGCTCCATTTTAGCGTATTTTATAATAAAATATGCCCAACCAGCGGTGTACGCGAAGTGGCGAATAAAATACGCTAAAATTGTGTAAAATGGAGTTTTACTGAAATGTAGTGTGTGTGACACTCACATTGAGGTACTCAGTAAGGCCCAGGTTATTTACTAATTTAGGAAAATATTAAATAATTTTAATTAAATAAAGTGAGTCAGCTGACTACATTTAATGACTTATGCATCATGCTGAGGTCACAGAAACAGGTAGTCTCTAAACTCTAGAAACTACTAAAAAACTACTTAATTTGCCCCATGGAGTGCCATATTGAACTGGTGTAAGGCATAAAGAGAAAACTCCAAAATCAAAGAAATGCTAGTTTGGAGATTGTTATTGGATGGGCAAAAGCTATTGAAGCAAATCCAGAAAGAAAAGCAGGCTGAACTCAATAGACCCTAAAGTGCTTAACATTAGATGTAGACACGTAATTGGCCTACTTAATTATGTAGGAGAAATTAAAATTACAAACAGGAAAGAAATAAGGGGTTAGCATTTGTGCCCTCTGTCCAGCCACATGTCATTTGTGCTATATTAGTATTCCCTGCTCAGGAACTAATTTTTATTATGGTTAGATCTTATAAACTGACAAAGGTTATTTTATTAGAAATTATTTGAATGAGTGAAGAGAAAGAAAACACCTGTTTCTAATTCTATTTTTAAGCATGGAATGCCCTAGCCAAAGGTCTCAGTGCTGAAGAAAGCCTAGTTATTGGCTGCACAGCATGTGAAGTTCTGCAATGTGATGGTACAGTAGGGTATGGAGGAAGCCCAGATGAATCAGGGGAGACAACTCTTGATGCTATGATAATGGATGGGTAATCTTATATAGACTTTTTTTTTAAGTCATTAATCATTATGGTGAGTCATACAAATGAAGAAAAATTATGCAAAATATTTTAATTTGAATTAACAAGGGCTACATATGCTGTTGGTGCAGTTGGGGATTTAAGGCGTGTAAAAAATGCTATTGGCGTAGCACAAGCTGTAATGCATTATACGGAACATACTTTCCTGGCGGGAGAATCAGGTAAGTGCATATCCTTTTTAAGGTTTTGTAGCTGAGGTTTAGTTACATTTTGTCTAGGTATTAAGTTTATAGAATGTCTGAAATATCACAATCTGTTACACTTTCAGTTTGAAATATAAGAACTAATAAACTTTTTTGTGTGCATGTACTGTAAACAAAACTTAATTAAATCATTTTAAATAATTCCTCTATTGATTCACATTTTTTGTAACCTAGATCTACAAATATCCACTTATTTTATTTGTGTATTTAGCTACAAAATTTGCCATTGAGATGGGGTTTAAAGAAGAATCTCTGGCAACAAACAAATCACAATCAATGTATACTTCATGGAAGCTGAATAAATGTCAACCAAATTTTAGGCAGGTAATAATAATTAGTAAACTTTATAGCCAAAAAATTTAAGGTGAAAATATAGTTAGAATAATATGGCATATTGAAGCTTTCTTAATTTAGTTGATTACTTTATATAAAAACCCATATTTAATATTACAACTTGTTTTTACTAATGGCAAAAGTTCTGTCATCATTCAGCTTTTGCATTATGTATAATGCCACCTAATAATGCAATTAATAATGCCAACATTATTCATATTGTTTAAACTCTAAGTGTTGTATATTTTCCTGTCCTTTCAGAATGTCATGCCCGATCCCAAATCTAGCTGTGGACCATATTCTCCTATACGATACAGAACATCACCAAAAGAAAAATACCAGTACTCTAGAAAGCCACATAAAGAAATAGATACAAATAACCATGACACAATTGGAATGGTAGTGATTGACAAACACGGGCATGTGTGGGCTGGAACATCAACCAATGGAGCCAATCATAAAATTCCTGGGTCAGTGTGCTCTATTTTTATCTACCTACTTTGTTAACATTCCAAAAAACACATCAGTAATAGAAATCAAAAGAAGTTAAACATATAATTCAATGGTTAAAACAAATCTGTATAATGATAGCAGTTCTCCATGTCTTTTAATATGTAGTACCATAGTTGATTAGCATCCATCTAATCTGGGGGAACTTTGGAACATACTTGTACACTCTACTGTTAAACTAAATATTTGTATAATTTATTTTGTGATTAGAACAATTTAGTTGGAAAATCAGTTTCATCACTTTTATTCAACTATATAATCTTTTAAATTTATTTAATTTTATGAATATAAAAATAACATGTATAGATTTTTCCAATAAAAAGAGGGTGGTGTTAAAAATATTTGATTATCAAAATAAAGTCAACCAGTTTTCATGGTAAATAATAAATTGTATTATACAATTTTTTTAACCAAAGTTTATTTAAAATGACATTCAAATTATTTTTTTTCTTAGAAGGATAGGTGATTCCCCCATAATGGGATCTGGAGCTTATGCCAGCAATCTGGGTGGAGGTGCAGCTGGGACTGGTGATGGAGACATTATGATGAGATTTTTACCAAGGTATTTCATTTTGTTTGTTTATTTAATCACATTAGTACTTATATTCAATATACTGTTATGAATGCCTGGTAATTGGCCTAGGTTGACCAGAATGGGAGAGGAAACAAAGACCTTCTACCTGGTTACTAATTTGGTCAGATAAGCTAATGAAGGTCCAAGGACTATGGCAATATTGAAACTAGGCTAGATTGGTAGGAGAATACAAACAGGCTTGTTAGAGCTCTGCAAGTGAACAGTGAGAGTGTGGGTATAGGCGGAGGCCAATATAGCAGGATGGGAATTAAGGTCTGATAGTGCTAGAGTGATAGGCAATGAAAGTGCATGACTTAACTATCGCTAGTGCATATTTCTTATTCTATTTTACTATTTATTTGGTGTAGGGTATTTTGATGGTGTGATTTTTTAAAAAATGTAATCAAATCTTTAAAAATAGCATGTTTTTAAATTCTTTTCTCTCCATGTTTATGACCATCATTTGATCTATACACCAATACCAACATTGTACATACAATGTATTGCATTTTAAGAAATCTGTATTTCTTTTATTGCTGAACTTTTCAGCTTCCGAGCTGTGATAGAAATGGAAAGAGGATTGTCTCCTGAAGAGGCAGCAAGGGTTGCTATGGCTCCTATTATACAGTTTTACCCAAGCTTTAGTGGGGCTCTTGTTGCTGTTAATACTTCAGGAAACCATGGTATGTGATTGATTGAGCCTAGTTTCAGTCAGTGTTATGGTACTTAATGATACTCATTTTGGTTTAATTAATTTTAAATTGACTCACTTTTTTCTTCTTTTTATTTTGCAAGGTGCCTTTTGTCATGGGTTCCAAAACTTTGGTTACAGCATTGCTTCGCCAGAATTTAGTACTGTTCAAGTTATAAATATTGATTGTACACATTCATGATTAGAATATTTATTATTCATAAACTAAAAATTTTATATTGTACTTGTAATTTGCCTTTGAAAAGAGTTGTTATTAAATATATTTTTTTAATGCTTTCTGTTGTTGTTTTATTTTTGGATTTTATACATACTTCAGGGTTGGGGATCAGATGCCTGAAATAAACTGCTGAAGTCTACACAGATAAGAAAACACACAAATAATTATTGGAAAAATAGGCCAAATATAATTTATTAGTTTAAATAATAATTGTAGGCTTTGTTGTTTAAAAAAAAATTTTTTGACACACTTCTGTATTGCAATAGTTGTTTGGTGATATTGTGGGTAAGGAACAAACAGTTGAATAGACACACATCTCTATCTTCATAACAAACCACTATTTGAAAACAATTGGTCTAAACATAGTCCAGAAGACACTTTTACATTTAAAATAATGTTGGAAATTAAGTTTTCCCCCATAAATTTCACATTTTGAAAAAAGTCCTTATCTTCCTAAATTGCAATAAAAAAATTGACCAACATAGTTGACAGATCTCAGCTATTATTTTAAATGCTGTTTACGAAAGACACATTTACCTACTTTTTCTTTAGACATGGTTCTCATCATAAGTTGAATTGTATTAGAGTCCTGCATCTTTGGTAGTCTATTAGATTTTTAAAAAATTAAGATAACCACTTGAACTCTTTAAACATCTTTTTGATTAGACTACACTCTTGACGCCACATTCGTAAGGGGTAGAAGGGTCAAATGGTGTGATGTCACACTTTTGTATTATAAAAAAGCAATGTTATTTAGAAAAATTTAAATAAATTGTTATAGAAATTGATTAAAATACTCTACGTTGACAGAGGTCAGAAAAGATTTTAAAAGAATATCGATGTTTTAAGAAAAAAAACAGCATTTTTGAAGTGGGGGGGGGGGGGGCGCTGTGGTGCGACGTCATTTGGGTGGGGGGGGGGGGGGGTGAGCGGGCTAGCTTTTGTGGGGGAGGGGAGGGGGGGGAGGTAAAATTCACAAAAGAAGCCTAACGTAATTTATGGATAACACCTTAGAACATTTGCCTTTTATTTTCTTAATTAAATATCATTTTTCAAATGGTTGGAAGAGTAAATTAATAGTTAATTTCGTAGTTGCGTCTCTAACGAATGATTTTCGAGTCATAGATGGATGTTGTTTTTGTTTTTTAATTTTAGTTCACATAATATGAAGGTTGGTTGTTTATGGAATTAATGTAATATGGCTTGAACTATAGGTAAAATCCGTTCAATGTAATTAAATGAAATGTTCGGTAAATAAATAGAATTTATTTAATAGTTTCTCCCTGTGTTTTACTTCTTACATTTTGAAGACAGAAATAGCCCATCGGAAGTGAACGATTAAGCGTCCCTAGTAATCCAAGGGAGATAATAATTGCTTTAGAATTTAGATTTGCACAACAACTAGAGTGTCAGTTGTAAAATATGTTGTCTGCACTGTATTTACATTGTAAAAAAATATCAACGCAATGAGTTTTTAATTTTAAACTAACCGTACAGACATAAATGGCATCCCCTTTTGAATCGGCACCCCATACCGATCATCAACATGATAGTGATTTGGCGTCCTCGAGCTCTGTGACCGTAACAAGTAAAAATGGCGGTCAACATACCGATTTACAGAGTGATTTATCGCAAAACCCTAGTCACTCATATGACAGGAGAACACCCTCTTCTGATGAAATAAAAAGACCATCATCTGTAGACTTTGCAGAGCAAATTCGGCGCCTTGAAATAGAAGGTAACAAGCTTCGTGCAGCCACCATTTCTAATTTAGGTAAGTCAAGAAAGAATGAGAATGTCCAGACAATTTTTTTTTTTATTTTAGGTTTTTGGTTTAGATTTTATAGATCTAGTATTTAGCCTATATTAGAGTTGATTAGAAGATAATAAACCGTCTAGGCCTAATACTTTTTAGTTAGGCTTCTAAGTCGGCCTAAGGCCCTAAGGGAAGATTAAATGTTCAATTTTTTTTTGTTGTAAGCATCTGGCTTTTAAGGCCTAACTAATTTAAACATTTTTATTGAATTAGGCTAAATTATTTATTTAAATTGACCAATTTATATCTATTCATCAATAACTAACTTTAACATCACTGACATTAGTTATTTTTTAATTTGAAACAAAATAAAGCTTACACATAATACTCTCTCTTCAAGTCTTTTAAAATAAATCTGTTTAGATATAAGGTTAACATGTCAATAGATAATCTTATTAATTTTTTGTATTTATAGGTTCACATAATGGATTCAGCATGGACAACAGTTTTGAGGTATTTATTAGTATTTAACCATGCAAAACAAATAATGTGGTCTCCACTTTAACCCCTACTCAGTATATAGGCTTCTACTTAGTGCAATATTGAATTCAGAAACAAATTATAGGTCTGACTCCTGTTTAATCCACTACACAAAAAAGTATTTTAAAAATATATTTCCCTCTACAGAGAGAGCTAACATGGCTATGCTTAAATCTGAAAAAGATAAAATCCAATTAATCCCTTAAACCCTTAATCCTTGATAGGGTCATTGGGATCCCACAGATTGGTTGGTGTACCTAGGGCTAATTGTGGCATGGTAGTGCCTTGCTTAAAAAGAATCTATTAAGTTTCACCTTTTATTTTTAATATATAGGCCTTATACACTTTGTCTTCATGTCTAATCTATAGGTACCAAAGGTAAATTCTTACAGTTATGGTAATCTATCTGCCCTAGTGGATTTCTCAGCTGATCAGAAGTGTATTGCAGATCTTAGGTGAGTTTAGATGGTTTTTATCAATTAAATATTATTGGCATTGCATATATAACCATTAGTATTATGGCTCAGATGATTGTTAGTTTTAACATTTGTTATCGATACAAGCCATATGAATAAGTTGGTATGATTAACCAACAGATAATGTCAAAGCTTGGTTTTTTTTTTATTTTAAGAAAGATAAGGTATCTATATTTAAAATAAAGATCCTTTACTAACATTGTCATTGAGTTATTATACTTTATCACTAATTTCATCATTTCCTTGTGGAAAGTCACGCAAGTACTGTTTTCCATTGTGTAAGCCTGGTCCATTTTTCCTACAGCTGCTTTTGCTTCACTTACAACTGATCCTACTTCTTTCATATACTGTATTGTGAATAATAACTGGCTGTAAAGTTATAAAAAACAATTGTATAGGATACAGCTAGAAAACCAAAGAAAAGAAACAGAGAGACTCCAAAGACAACTGTTAGGGGATAACTCTGGCTTCCGTCCCATGACTGCTCCTGTCTACTCTAATACTGCCAATGGAACATTAACAAGCCACTTCAGCCAATTTTCTAACAGCCCTGGAAAGTCAGCATTTTCAACAATACCCAGTGGTGAACTGGTCCAGGCTCTTACCAGGAGGAATTTTGACAGTCAGCCTCCGTGAGAAATTTAAAAATTTAGTATTGTTGTAAATCGTGTTTTGTTAAATAACATATTTTAAGTCTTTTATTTTAACAAATTAATAAATACACAGTCAACAGATTATTTTTATTAATACTTGTCACATTTTAATTTGAGTGTTAACAATTTGAATAACAGATGTTAGTTTCATCAAGGAAATTTTAAAATATGCACTCGTACATTAACACTTATTGTTATAAAATCTGGTAGTTGTTTTCTTTGGTAAATTTTTAACAACTGATGACAAACAAAAATAATTGTCTCATTGCCAGGCCACACCTTGAGAGTTTATTAAAAGATTCTCAGAGCCAAGTAAATGAACTAAAGAAGAAACTACAGGAGGTATGCATAAAAAATTTCCTACTAAATTTTTCCATGTAAAATAGGGAATTGCTAACAGATTTAATCATTTAAATAAAGTAGGTCTTTATTTAAGACTGCGTCAATTTGTTTGTTGAGCTGCTTCATAGCATGTACTTTTCTTGCAGGTGACTGACTCATCAGATCAGGAAAAGAGACATTTCCGTACCACACTGGAAGAGCTTAAAACAAAATTGCATGATACCATTGTCAACAGAGATGCTGTGCTTGATTTAAGGTCAGCCATCAAGTATAGAGTTTAAAAAATCATGATTTTTTTCTAGGATTAAGAACAAATATAAATGATTCTTTACAGTTGTAACTATATTTATTTTCAATGATTAGATTAGATCAATAAAAATAACAGTAGAATTTTTTTATCTATTATTCTTTTTTGGCAAAAACAAATTGAAAATAAGTTAAATACATAAGATTTTTGTGCTCTAACTTGACGCTATATATCTAACAGAAGCTCTACTGATGTTATTGTTTAGATCAACATCTTTATCAGGCCAAATAAAACTCCCCTTGTTGTTCTTGCAGACAAAAAGAATCCAACACACAGGAGATGTTGATCCATAAACTTCAGGCTGCCGTAACTCAGCTGCAGGATCAATGTCGCACACATGAAGAGGTTTTGTTTCTTATTAGGATTAGGATTAGGATTAATTAGTTACAATTTTTACTTTTTTCATTAATCTGCAAAGAAAATTATTAACTACAACTTTCAAGGTTGAATTCTTTATGCTTGCACCACATGTAAATTTTAGAAATGAAAAAAAAAATTATTTTTATAATAATTTTTTTTTGTATAGTTTATTATTATTTTATAAATATTCTTTATTCTGTATTGTTTAACAACCAAACTTGAAGTCTCTATAGCTGAACTACACCAACATATTAAATTTAATGTTGAGGTCTTCAATAAAGAATTTTCTGATAATAAACTTAATAGTACTGGACCATGCATTCGACAGATTAGATGACCTGTACTATGAAAGATATAACAATTATTTGTAAATTCTGTCTACAGGCTCTTTCATCAGCCTCTAAGAAGTTTGAGTCTTGCCATCAATCCAACTACATCAATGAAACTGCTTTAACACAAATTCGGAGTATCCTGATGGACAGAGAGAAAAGACAGGGGCGCTTGTATTTTGAAGCTGATCCAGTCAGTGGACAGAGCATCAACATGTTGGTCCACACACTGGAGAGATGTTTGCAGGATCTGGACCATGATATTACCCTCAAGTCTTTTAAAATAACTGAGGTACTTTATACTGATTATAGTGTATGTATTGTATTAGACCAGGGGTCTCCAAACTGCGGGCCAGATGTGGCCCGCGAAGTCCTCTCATCTGGCCCACAGAGATCTTTTTGTCCAAGGAAAAATTGTTTGTTGGTGATGGCTGAGGATTTTGCCCAGAAAAATCAAAGACATGCCTGGAAGAAACTAGCCCCCGAACTGAAATTTGAGAGTTAATGCGGCCCTCGGACTGAAAAGTTTGGAGACCCCTGTATTAGACCATAAAGTCTGTTAAAATACTGAGGTGTCCTATGCTGTTTGAGTCAGCATATTGAGTTTTTTTAAAAGTGAATCTGTATCGTGATGCAATATTTTCAAAATTCACACATAAGATTTAATGGCTTGATAAATTCAACCTTTTTTCATTAGAAATTAATTACAAGAATTAAACTCAAAGAAATGTATGTGTTAAAAATATTTAAAACAATGTCACACTTATACTAATTAAACTTTTTACAATTTTTCTACTTTTCTAGCTAGAAGATGACTTGTCAGATATTAAAAAAAGTTTTTCTGAAAAAGAAAGAGCTCTAACTAAAGATGGGCAAGAAATGTAAGTAGCTCTTCACAGAGCTAAGTTTAAATTTGTGGAACCAAATTGTTCTCCCCATCTGTATCTTCATTATTTTATTATATTCTGTCTTAACTTGTAAATAAAATTGGTACTAAATGCCCTTGTAATAAAATTTTTAAATTGTGTCATCCAGCCTTGCAAGAATTTATCATACTGTTGTTTTAATACTTTAACATCCCCTAAATAGTTCAATGCTTTTCAAAATTTATCAGAAAGTTGCCACAACATAAAACAATAGGTCTATAACTTAAAATGGATGCTGTTTAATGTTTAAAACCTGGCTAAGAATCTACATTTTCCTTCTAAATTTGTCAAATGTTTATTTACAATGCACATTCAGGGTTGCCATGGTGACCAAAGAACAGGAGAGAAATTTAGCCATAGCAAATGAGAAAGCTGTTAATGCCATGCGCCAGATTGGAACACTGCAAGCCCAATTAGAAAACACTGAGTAAGCAGCTTGTTTTCAAAACCCAGAAATTAATTATTTAGGTTTTTGTTTTCTTGAAATAAAAATTGATCATATTTTTACCATGTATTTAAATGTAATGTATGTAAAGTATGTAGTAAACTGGATATGTCTTTTATATTGTCCAGATCAACCTACAAATATGAGATAAAAACTAAAGAGAGAGAAATCAAGGAGCTAGAAGAACAGCTGATTGATATGAAAACAGAGACGATGAAAACAGCAGCAATCTGGCAAGAGAAAGTAAGTCATACATTTGAGTAAATATTTAGGTAATAATTTCTTTTAAAAATAATATTTGGTTAATAGTAGACTAATCATGGAATAACACTTTGAACTCAAAGGTAAATGATGAAATAATAATTTATGCTAATTGCTTTTTGACTTGATGTTCTTCTGCTTTTTCTAAATAATTTCAGCTTATTCAGTCAAAACAAAATGAAGTGTATATTGAAACAATGGTAATTAAAAACATGCCTCGTTTGTTACATTCCTTTGTTAAAACAAGCTGTAAACCTTTCTTTATTCAAAGAAAAGTTTTAAAAATTAATTCATTTCTAATCAGTTTTCTAATTGATGTTTGATCCTGTTTTTTTATCTCTACAAAATGCAAAAACCTGCAGACACATGTTTTTTTTAAAAATAATTACAAAATGCAGTTTAGTTATAAGTTGAAATTTATTTGTTGCATAAAGTATTGTTGATATTAAAAAAACTGGAGAGAAATGTTAAGACAAAAAAATTGAGTTCAATAAGTTCCTTGTTTTAACTGATACTGCTTGACTCATACCATACATTACTCATTATTTAATGCCTTGTAACATATTACCCATATCTTATCTATATGTGTAAAAATACTTTTGTAAAGCATTTCTTACTCATAAGACCTTTGTTTTATTTATAAACCATTAATTTATCGGTGCTGTAATAACATGTTTAATTTGCTTAAAGAAATTAAAATCAGGCAAGTATGAGTTTATCAATTATTTTGTCACATTTTGGAGACTGTAGTCAGTGGGGAGGGGGTGGTGCAGTAATAAGCTTAAAGCATGACATTTGACTAACCAGTGCTCAAGACTGACCTGAAAAGATGAGATCAGCTTTAGGCTTGAGATATGTGTTGGCACTTAGTATTGTGGGTATCCTAGACTTGTGGGTACCTAGTCTTGTGGGTACCTAGAATTGTGGGTACCTAGACTTGTGGGTACCTAGACTTGTGAGTACCTAGTTTTGTGGGTACTTAGTTTTGTGGGTACCGAGACTTGTGGGTACCTAGTCTTGTGGGTACCTAGACTTGTGGGTACCTAGACTTGTGGGTACCTAGTCTTGTGGGTACATAGTCTTGTGGGTACCTAGTCTTGTGGGTACCTAGACTTGTGGGTACCTAGACTTGTGGGTACCTAGTCTTCTCAGTACCTAGTCTTGTTGGTACTTAGTCTTGTGGGTACCTAGTCTTGTGGGTACCTAGTCTTGTGGGTACCTAGTCTTGTGGGTACCTAGTCTTGTGGGTACCAAGACTTGTGGGTACCTAGACTTGTGGGTACCTAGTCTTGTGGGTACATAGTCTTGTGGGTACCTAGTCTTGTGGGTACCTAGACTTGTGGGTACCTAGACTTGTAGGTACCTAGACTTGTGGGTACCTAGACTTGTGGGTACCTAGTCTTCTCGGTACCTAGTCTTGTTGGTACTTAGTCTTGTGGGTACCTAGTCTTGTGGGTACCTAGACTTGTGGGTACCTAGACTTGTGGGTACCTAGTCTTGTGGGTACATAGTCTTGTGGGTACCTAGTCTTGTGGGTACCTAGACTTGTGGGTACCTAGACTTGTGGGTACCTAGTCTTCTCGGTACCTAGTCTTGTTGGTACTTAGTCTTGTGGGTACCTAATCTTATAAGCACCTATTTATGTGGGTAGCCATCTAGGTACCTAGTCTTATGGTTACTAGGTGCCTAGTCATGTTATGTGTTAAGGCAGCTGGGTTATTACATTCCCTAATACACCTTGACCAAAGAAACAGAAGAAGAACTCATTTAGCACAAGTTCATAAAGGGTTGCCTTACTTGTTCACATTTCAAAATACATAGTTACTCACTGATTCATTGTGCATCCAAATCTGGGCTGTTCTTTGCATGTTTTGTTTCACAACTAAGTTGTGTAAATGTGTTTTATAACCTACCTCATGCATTCCCCAAACAATAACAGTCCCTCCCCTATTTAAAAATACATAATGGGATTCAATGCTGTTGAGCCATGCAATTTTTTTTCCAATTAATAAAACAAAAAAAACAAACACAGATTAAATGTTTTGCAATGTTTAGAAATATATTTTTCTTAACATGCGTAATAATTTTCAATAAACTGAAATCTAACTTTGTAGTCTTTTGGCTGTCTCATCATAGTGTCATTATAGCAGATTTAAAATAAAAACTCTGCCTTATAATAGAAAGGAAAGATGTTTATAGATGTTTATTAACTGTCTTGTCAGTTTTAATAGCTATGAGAAGAGTGTTTAATTTTAGTATTTAAAGATATTAGATTTGGTGCATGTTAAATTAACTGTACTGGTGTGTATGAAATATGTGTGTGTATTCAAATAACAGTGCTTGAGCACAATTCACAATTTCTGTTTCTAATAAAGAGTGAAAAACCAGTTAAGTGTAAAATCCATAATTTTTAATGTAAGTTTCACAACAAATCACCATGTTACTTTTATACTAATTTACTATGTGACAGTCAAAAATACCTGATACAATTTTTTTTTACAAAAAGTTGCTGTCAAATCTTTTATTTAAAACTTTTGGAATAATAAAACTTTAATATATTTTTTTTTATTTTTAAATTTTCTTTAAAAAAAATTAAAGGATTAAGTGTTATGATTGATTTAATTATCAATATTAGTATTAAAATAATTATAAACATAATTTTGTTTAATTCTGAATATAACTTTCATTAGTTATTTTTGTTTTCTATTTACAGAGGCAAGCTTTAGAGGCTTCACTAGATGAGGTGCAAAGGGAGTTAATAGAAACTAAAGCTGAGAAAAATGAGCTTTTGAGGTCTTTGACCACAATGGAGAAGAGAGCAGATAGTTTACAGGTTAGTTAGTCCTCCACATCAACCATGTAACCACAGAACCCTTAGTTGTAAGGTCAAAGGTGAGTGATGGACCTGGTGAACAATCCTTATTTTAGCTGTCTAGTCTCAGGTTTGGTAACTTTGCTATAGAGTCCTTGCAAACACGTGACCTAAATCACGTGATACCTACGCTCGCCGCCACAGTGGTGTACATCAGACGTAAACACAATCAGCTGTTCGCCAGCGCTGGACGTGTTCACCAGCGCTGGACGTGTTCACCGTATGTAAAGAATCGCGCCGCGGAAAAGGAAAAATACGTTAAAAAACTTGAACTCTTAGGAATTGAAGATCCTTATACAGTTATTGACAGTTTCGTGGATAAAATAGATCTTAATATGTGGCCGAAATTTCTAAATAAAAATACTGTCAGTAATACCGTTTGCGTTTAGAGTTTAAGTAGACGAATCTGATCAAATGCAGTAATATATTATAGGTTATCTACTGTAGCAAACGTGAGACCACTTAACTCCTACAAAACCCACACTACAACGACTAATATAATCCATGGGTAATAACCAATCTGGGTAGCATGTTATACAATTTAAGACCCTTATAATCCAGCAGGGAAGTGATCAGACACATTAATACTGATGTGCAACCCTCATGATTTCCAGCCGCCACCTGTATCTAGCCCACAATAAAACCAAAGAGGAGTCTGCCCTGCCCTCCCCTGAAAATGTCTCACCTCCGTGATACCCAGCCCCACAGAGATAGTATTTCTTACTTATATAATTTTGACCCTCAGGGCCCAGCAGGGAGAACAAAGGGGAAAATCCCACTGGTCTCCCCTCAACATTTCTCACCTCGGTGTCATGTTATGTCATTTATAGCACACATGGCTTATCAGGGGAAAGCATTAAGGCATTAAGAATCTTAACTCTGGACAGCTACACACTAGTATACTAGCTACACACTAGGTGCCTACTGTAAACTACTAGACTGTAGGCCCTATGTACACCTGCAATTGTATCAATTGTAGACTGGGTCCATTGTTATTATTCTAAACCATCTCGCTTATAATGTTTCTAGCTTGATTTGTTTCTTTTATAAACAGTGGATTTAAAAAAAAAATTAGCCTAACCAAATAATAATAATGTGGTTATTTGTTGTTGGCTGGTATGATCTAGATTGTACTACTAGGCTACAAAAACTTAGTAGATTAATTACTAGATATGAATTTGAATTTAATTAAACTCAGTCCAGTATCAGATACATATTGCTGTAAAAAGACAACAAAGTAGGTAGGCCTTAGTATTTTATTAAAGCCTTCTACTACAATAATATCAACTACATGCTTGTATAAAGTTTTTACAATTTAATTTAAGTAGCAGATTCTAGATCTAAGTCTAGTCATACAATCTATTTCAATTTCAGAAAATATCGTTTGCTAAAAAAAATGATTAGATTATAGAGCGAGATTTTAGGTCTTAGAGACAATTAAATGCTTTATTAGGCCTATTATGACTACTTTTGATTTATTATGGGTGTATTTTTAATCGAATGTAGATCTAAATTTTGTAATTAAATTTAAGTAAAGAAGTAGATTCTATATTCTATGTCTACCCAGCGGAGCCAGTCATCCTAAATCCAGAATCTAGATCTGTGGTCCGAATTTTGTTTACGCCATGTTTAGAGCTAGATTTTAGATCTAGATATTAAAACACTATTATTAGGCCTACATATTTATATTATCCACGAAACTGTCAATAACTGTATAAGGATCTTCAATTCCTAAGAGTTCAAGTTTTTTAACGTATTTTTCCTTTTCCGCGGCGCGATTCTTTACATACGGTGAACACGTCCAGCGCTGGTGAACGCGTCCAGCGCTGGCGAACAGCTGATTGTGTTTACGTCTGGTGTACACCACTGTGGCGGCGGACGTAGGTATCACGAACGGACGTGACGTCATATGAAAGGACTCTATTACAGCGTCATGGGAGAGAACTCTAGGTTGCTGCATATTTTTAAAATAATTAATTGTTTGGACTTAAGATGACGTTTTAGTGTGAGTTTTAACCACTGAGGCTGCTACACTTGCTAAGTTGGGAATCAAATAAATGTACCTTTAAAATAATTTATCCATTTGCTTAAAGCTATTTTTAGAATTTAGATTTTTTGATGACTTGCCATTAAGATATTCACATACATACAATTTTATTGTGTCCATACCCTGGATTTAATTACCTTATTTTTTTATACTCTGGCAATTAAACCAAACACATTTATTTTCAGATGAGTCTATTCTGGCCTGCAGTTCAAAATTAATCTGGATTTAAATACCTTCTACGAATGTTTCAGATTTTTGTCTCCCAACTGGAGACTGACTTGGAGACAGAGAAAGAGCATGTTAAGAGCCAGCGCCAGAGAGAGGAAGAGTTGAGGTCAGAGGTCATGAACCTTGAGGTTCAAGTGTCCAATAAACAAAATGATGTGGAGAGATTAGAGAGAATGTTAAGCTTGGTGAAACAAGAGTGCAGCTTACAAGTCAAGGAACAGGTACGACACACTTTAAAAAAAATCGCAATGTGATTATTTGATTTTTTTTTGTACAGAGAAGTAGAGAAGTCACGATTTGTATTTTGATGGTGTAAATAGTAGAAGAACGTAAAAATAAACATGACACAGGATTCATTATTTTTATTGCAATGTGATCATTTGAAGTGATTTTTTCTGAGAAGTATAGGTCACCTTTAAAATAGATTTGTATTTTGATGATGTAAATGGTAAAGAACATGAAAACATAAGTAAACACATCACAGGATTTATTTGTCCCTTGATCAGAATTATTGTTTTACAAAAGATTTATATGTGCTTTAAAACATAAGTTGAATAAGTTTAAATTGAAAACCTCTGAACTTTGCATATTTGTTTTGTATAGTGCCGATTTTTTTTATCTATCAACCTTGGATGCCCTTTTTTAAAATCAGTATTTAATTGTAAAATTAAATTCAGTAACCCAACTTTATTAAATATTTAAGGGGGTGGCATTTTAACCAAATCATGTAACAAAGGTGTGCTTATTTGGAACATATGGTTTATTTTATCCATTATACAGTACACAAGGTATTTTGTTTCCAAAATTTATATCAAATTAAATATTGTGGGGTTTTTTTTAAGCAAAGAAATTATACAGGTGTGTTATCATCTACGAAATAAAACATGAAATCAACTTCACTTCTTCAATAATTTAATGCCAGAAGGCTTTTGTTAAGTGGATTTACTTTTGCAAAAAATTAAGAAAATATAGGTGTGACCGTACATTCTTCAATACATAATACAGGTGGCGGGGGCTGAGAAGGTGGAGAGAGAACATTTTGTTGACCAGATAAAACATCTGTCTGCCCAGCTGGCAACCATGACTGAAAAGTGCAGTCGTCTGACTGTTGAGTTACAGATGGCCAAAAGTGAGAGGGAGAGTAACAGGAGCCAGGTGCAGGACTTGAGCAGTAGATTAGAGACCACAAGGTCAGTTCTAGGGTCAGTTCTAGGGTCAGTTCTAGGGTCAGTTCTAGGGTCAGTTCTAGGGTCAGTTCTAGGGTCAGTTCTAGGGTCAGTTCTAGGGTCAGTTCTAGGGTCAGTTCTAGGGTCAGTTCTAGGGTCAGTTCTAGGGTCAGTTCTAGGGTCAGTTCTAGAGTCAGTTGTAGGGTCAGTTCTTGGGTCAGTTCTAGGGTCAGTTCTAGGGTCAGTTCTAGGGTCAGTTCTAGGGTCAGTTCTAGGGTCAGTTCTAGGGTCAGTTCTAGGGTCAGTTCTAGGGTCAGTTGTAGGGTCAAGGTTCTAAAAACCACAAGGTCAGTTCTATGGTCAGTTCTAGGGTCAGTTCTAGGGTCAGTTTTATGGTCAATTCTAGGGTCAGTTGTAGGGTCAGTTCTATGGTCAATTCTATGGTCAGTTCTAGGGTCAGTTCTAGGGTCAGTTCTAGGGTCAGTTCTAAGGTCAGTTCTAGGGTCAGTTCTAGGGTCAGTTCTAGGGTCAGTTCTAAGGTCAGTTCTAGGGTCAGTTCTAAGGTCAGTTCTAGGGTCAGGATTCTAGAAATCTCAAGGTCAGTTCTAGGGTTAGTTCTGGGGTCAGGATTCTAGAAATCTCAAGGTCAGTTCTAGGGTCAGTTTTAGGGTCAGGATTCTAGAAACAACAAGGTTAGTTGTAAGGTCAGTTTTAGGGTCAACATTTAGAAACCACATGGTCAGTTCTAGGGTCAGTTCTAGGGTCAGTTCTAGGGTCAGTTCTAGGGTCAGTTTTAGGGTCAGGATTCTAGAAACCACAAGGTTAGTTGTAAGGTCAGTTTTAGGGTCAACATTTAAAAACCACATGGTCAGTTCTATGGTCAGTTCTAGGGTCAGTTTTAGGGTCAGGATTCTAAAAACCACAAGGTTAGTTGTAAGGTCAGTTTTAGGGTCAACATTTAGAAACCACATGGTCAGTTCTAGGGTCAGTTTTAGGGTCAGGATTCTAGAAACCACAAGGTTAGTTGTAAGGTCAGTTTTAGGGTCAACATTTAGAAACCACAAGGTCAGTTCTAGGGTCAGTTCTAGGGTCAGTTGTGGGGTCAGTTCTAGGGTCAGTTCCAAGGTCAGTTCTAGGGTCAGTTCTAGGGTCAGGATTCTAGAAACCACAAGGTTAGTTGTAAGGTCAGTTTTAGGGTCAACATTTAGAAACCACAAGGTTAGTTGTAAGGTCAGTTTTAGGGTCAACATTTAAAAACCACATGGTCAGTTCTATGGTCAGTTCTAGGGTCAGTTTTAGGGTCAGGATTCTAAAAACCACAAGGTTAGTTGTAAGGTCAGTTTTAGGGTCAACATTTAGAAACCACAAGGTTAGTTGTAAGGTCAGTTTTAGGGTCAACATTTAAAAACCACATGGTCAGTTCTATGGTCAGTTCTAGGGTCAGTTTTAGGGTCAGGATTCTAAAAACCACAAGGTTAGTTGTAAGGTCAGTTTTAGGGTCAACATTTAGAAACCACAAGGTTAGTTGTAAGGTCAGTTTTAGGGTCAACATTTAGAAACCACATGGTCAGTTCTAGGGTCAGTTTTAGGGTCAGGATTCTAGAAACCACAAGGTTAGTTGTAAGGTCAGTTTTAGGGTCAACATTTAGAAACCACAAGGTCAGTTCTTGGGTCAGTTCTAGGGTCAGTTCTTGGGTCAGGTTTCTAGAAACCTCAAGGTTAGTTTTAAGGTCAGTATTCCTGTAAAAAACCACAACGTAATCTTTCATGTTTTTAATTTTTTGACTATACAAATATAGGACAATTTTGATAAAATTTGTAATAGAAAAGAAAGAGGTTTAGGGATGTTTAATTAAAAAATAATTGTGCTAACTTAGCTTCTATGAAATAGTTTCTTTTGACTAAATCAACTTGTTTAATTTTTTAATAGAAAAATCAAACAATGCATCTAGTTAAAATGTTCTTTTTGTAGGTCACAGATAGAAAGCTCCTTAGCAGAGAAAACAGACCTGACCAACATGTTAGCAGACAGACTGAGTGAACTAGACAGACTTTACAAAGACAAGGAGCACTACCTCAAGTTGTCTGAGCAGAAAAATAATGAGGTCATGGAGCTAAAAATAGCACTGGAGTCCCTGAAAACACAAGTGGAGGAGAAGGAGAAAGTCTTGTGTACATTTAGGGAGCAGTCTAGCAGTATCAGCCATTTGATGGAGGTATGAAGATTTCATTATTTGTAACCTTTCTACAGCTGGTGAAGCTTTTTGGATGGATAGTAGACTCCAGTAGTTTCTATAGGCACAGCTTTTATGGCAATTAAATGGTCTGAATAAAATAGGAAACAATATCTGACCTTGATAAGTATTACTTTCACCAAATATTAAGGCAGCAATAGTAGTGTGGCTATACAACACTAATTCAGTTCCCTTACAAGAAAACTTTGCACAATTTTTTTTTCCTCAAACAAAACAGATAAAGCTTGAAAGGATACAAAATATCTATATATATAATTCTCTTCTGGGAGACGCTAGAAAACAAGCTGTAAGCGCGCCTAGCAGTCCCCTCCCTTCCTCTATCTATAGGCATATCTCTATTAACCCCCCCTCCCCCCATACCCACATGGTCTGGTGAGCTGTGGTTCACGCTACATGTTTATAAGCGTAGAGACGGGTTTAGTGACGGCTATTAGGGGGAGATAATTTAGTTTGAAACTATTTTAAACTTAGGGGAGGTAACTAAGAGGAGGCTGCTTTCACGAGGGGGGGGGGGGTTGGGGGAAAGGAGGGTTTTAGTGTTTTAAAGCAAATATATTTTCAGCGGCAGCAATAGTACTGTCGAATTCACAAATTATGAATTACTGAAAAGTAGAAAAAACAACAACTAAATAGCGGTGTATAATACGCCGCGGTTCGGCTCATACTCTTTAATCCAGTCTTACTAATTTGAACACTCTTCTAGGAGAGACAACTCCAAATTAAAACAACTGCTGCCTTGTAGTTTGTCCTTGGTTGGACAAAGGCTATGGAAGCAAATCCAAAAAGAAAAGCAGGCTGAAATTGGAGTCAATGGCCTCAATGGCGCATAACCGGCTGACACATATCCTTAATTGTGATGGAGGCGTGGTCGAGTCAGCAATAGCTCATGCTTGATAAATTTTAAAAAGTCTCGAGTTCAAACCCTCTGGCAGATTAAGGCTTGATCCCTTCCACCACTAAAAATTAAGAACAAAGAAGAAGGAAGAAGAAGAACTAATTTGAATTTTTTTACATTGATTTATTTTCATGAAATTGCTTTGAATATTGGCAATAATATACATACATACTAATTACCGCCATTTGAAAAATAGGTGAATACAAAGGCCAGTGACAATATAAGAGAAGAGAGGGACAAGATGGCTGCTGCTCTGACTGAGAAGGAAGCCATATTGGTGGAGATGAAGGCATCCCATGATTCCTTGCTGAAAAAATTAAAAGCTAAGGAGAAGAAGCAGAAAGATGCTGAGGAGGAAGTGTTGAAAACCACTGATGCTTTGGCTAAAAAGGTGAAGTTTTGTTGTACATGTTTCAAAAAAATAAAGTTGCAAAATTTTATTGAGTAAACTGAGCTGTATCAGAAACAGACAAAATTTTGTTGAGTCAGCTGAAGCTGTATATCAGAAAAAACAAAATTTCAGGTAACCAAGTTATAGTAAACACAACTAGAATGCTATTTTGAAGATATGTATTGAAATTTAGAGCAGTGTTTATATTTTTTATATATTTTTTTTTAATTCACAAAAAAAAAAAACCAAAGTATTGTAACCCTAATCTTTATGCCAGGTTTTCACAGGACAAATAACATTAAGACACAATTCATATGTTCTTTTTTTGTTTTAGGTAAACATTTCTCAAATATAAATTGACATATATTTTCTTTTTTTTTTGGTTGATTCATTTTTATTGTGATGTGAAAGGTTAACTTCCCTTACTCAGTTCTCTGAAAATTAAAACCCAATTCTTTAATTAATTTTCTTTGATTATATCTCAATCAGATTAGACATACTTAGCTGGGTCCTCTATAAATAAAAATCCAACTTTTTAATTTTTTTTTAATCAGACCCAAGAGTTGGAGGCTGTGGAGAAAGAACGAGATCATCTGGCCAGTGAGTTGAAGGATGCCAGCCTCAAGGTGTCCACACTGACCTCATCAAAGGACGCCATCAAGAAGGAGCTGGTCAGGGTGAGAGGCGCTCATGCTAAGGAAATCTCTAAACTACAGACCAAACTTAAAGGTGAAGAGAATTTCATGGTTTGGATTTTCAGTAATTGCTTTTTGAACAAAGGTTGTTCTTGAATCGGCTATGCATAGTAAAAATAAATCATTAAAAAAAATCTTTTTCATTAACTACTTTTTAAAAATTTGTCCTTGTTTACATTAGGCTACTTGATGAACAATTTTTGTCATTAGAAAATTTATTAATTATGTTTTTAAATAAAATTTTTGTCCTTGTTTAGGCTACAAAGTGAAAAATTCCTTTTATTTGACCTTTTTATATTTACTTTTTATACAAAATTTGTACGCTTTGGCCTAAGAACCATCTCAAACAGAAGACCTGCCTAACACTAGCTTTCAAATAATTCTCAATGTTTTGTTTTATCAACAGTTTTCATTAGTTTCTGTTGACATTTGTTTTCAGACTCTGACCAAGAAAAGAAATTGTCCATGAAAGCTCTTAGAAGTAAGGACATAATGGACAATAAAGGTGGGTTTTATCACTAGTCTTCTTGTTCTGTTTTGTGTGGATTTCATCATAAAGCGAGCTTTATCAGTTGAAATATTTTTGTTTACACAGCCATAAAGCTAGCTGACAAAATTCAGTAGAAATATTTTTTTGTTCACAGCCATAAAACTAGCTGACAAAATTCAGTAGAAATATTTCTGTTCACAGCCATAAAGCTAGCTGACAAAAGTTCAGTATAAATATTTCTGTTCACAGCCATAAAGCTAGCTGGCAAAAGTTCAGTAGAAATATTTCTCTTCACAGCCATAAAGCTAGCTGACAAAATTCAGTAGAAATATTTCTGTTCACAGCCATAAAGCTAGCTGACAAAATTCAGTAGAAATATTTCTGTTCACACAGCCATAAAGCTAGCTGACAAAGTGCAGAAAGAAATCACAGACAAAAGAAGTGAGATTGATCAGCTGATGACCAAGGTCCACAGGCTGGAAGAAAAGTTAGAAGCAGCCCACAAAGTAATTAAAATAGTTTGTTGCATATTTTATTTACTGGTGCTTATTACACAACTTTTTTTCTTCAACAATTAGGTGGAAAAAAAAATAAACAATAAAATTCAAAAAAAAAAATAGAGTGAATAAAAATCAAGAAATTTTGTCTTGGACAAAACAAATTGAGTGAATGAAAATCAATAAATTTTGTCTTGGATAAAATAAATTGAGTGAAAGAAAATCAGTAAATTTTGTCTTGGACAAAACGAATTGAGTGAATGAAAAATCAATAAATTTTGTCTTGGATAAAACAAATTGAGTGAATGAAAATAAATCCGTTTTATCTAGAAGAAACAAAAATTGAATGAAATATAATGTATTCCAGGAGAAGCAAATGGTAGAGAAGGACAAGTCCAGTCTGAAGAGAGGCCTGGCTAAATCTCTACAACAAAACCAGGAGCTGTCCAACCAGCTGCAGGCATTGGAGGAGCAGAACAACAACCTCATGGCCCAGCTCTCACAGCTGGAAGAGCTGATTGAGCAGGTGGTGAGATGTTTTTTTTAAATGCTAAAACTGTTTAATAGCTGGGAGATTTTTATTAGAGCAGTTTGTTTTGTTTATTTTATTCATGTAAGTTATAATCAGTTTGTGAAAGGTTTTTAGCATCATCACTATAACTGAATAAATATATTGGTACAAGAAGCATACATACTTATCAAATTAAGTATTAAAAATAAATGGTTTTCATAAGAAAGTTAATTTTAAGCATTCATAAACAGTAATTAATTTTCACAATAGAGGACAAACACAGAATATTTTAGAAAAATGAGTTTTTTTAAATCTCATATATTATAATGCAACATTGCTAAATGTTAGCATTCCATTTTTAAAAATTATTTTACATTTGTGCTTTGTTAGCTTATACTATTGCCAACATAATTGTAAATACACATTGATTTCACTTTTATACAGTCAAAATCTAAAACATGACAAGTAAAATTTTCTGTTGTTTTGTTTTATAGAAATCTTCAGCTTTTCATTCAAAGACTGAAAAACATGAACAGGAACTGGCTACTCTAAAAATAAAACATCAGCTTGATTTGAAGGTCTGATTATTTTAAATAATGACTATTTTTGTTTCACTATTCAACTCTAGAAACTTAACTTTTCCACGTTTTTATGAAAATCTTTCAGATCTTGTGAGTTTGAACTTGTACTATTACAGCCAGGATATTAACTTGGGTTAAAAAAAACACTGAGATTGATTTCAGTTTGAAGATATTATGTAAAGCTTTCATTTATATAGCCAAAACATTGTTTGCTATTTCTTTACAACTGAATGAGTACCTAAATAAATTTTGTTTTTTGTTTAAAAAAAGAATTACTAATCATCTATTATAGTTAACGAGTAAGCCTTAGTAATGACTTTCTCTTCCCAGGAAATGGAGAGAACTGCTAGAAACAAGGGAAGAAACCTGCTATCAGCAGGCAATGGGTTACCTACCCTATCTGGGAAATCTTCTGCGCAAGTTGTACAGAAAAAGCCTACTACTAGTTTGGGCTCTGGTGAATCTGTAGAGTACAGCAATGGAACTGATCTTCTCACATCCAAACACAATAATGTAAGTCTTGTTCATTTTTTCAAACCTTTGTACAGGGACTAACAACATAGTTTCAGTCACTTTAAATAAAAGTATAAATATTAATACAATTTTCAATAGTTGAAATAGTTGATTATATTTAGCTAATATTTTTACTTGTTTACTTAAAAAATGTCATAAAAAGAGAGTAATGTGTCTAATGAAGCATTGGTGTCGAAATCTGTACCTGAAATAAATATTCACATATCTAAAACTGATATTTTCTACTGAGACTAAAAGAAATTGTTAACATTTTTAAAAATCTGGCATTTTCTATTGAAACTAAAATAATTTGTACATACATAAATCTGATATTTTTTTTTTACTTAGGCTAAAATAATTCATAACATTGATAAAACTAATATACTCTACTGAGGTTAAAATAATTATTAAATAAATCTGATATGTTTTTTTTTTTTACTTAAGGTAAGCTAATGCTTTAAATTAATAAAACTAATATACTCTACTGAGGCTAAAATAATTATTAACAGAAATAAAACTGATATATTCTACTGAGGCTAAAATAATTTTTGCCATAAATAAATCTGAAATTTTCTACTGAGACTGACATAATTTTTGACATTTCTCCAACAAATCTCTAGAGACAGCTCAAGATGTCTACGGAGGTGGGAAAAGATCTGAAACTTCTCCTGGGGGAAATGAAGAACCTGATATCAGGCCACCGGGAGGATAATGAATATTTTGATGAGAAATTTAAAGCACAGACTGAAAGGAAACCTGCCCTGAAGGATGCACATAAACCCAAACCTGCTGCATTAGATCTTGAGGACTTGAGGTTTGTAAACCTAAATGTAACCCATGTTGCATGTGAACTTCTCCTGATACCACATTTGTGTAAACAGGGACAAGAAATTTTATTTGTTAAAAACATTTTTTTTTTGGTAAACTTCCAATAAAAAATGTATTGATTGTTTTTTTAAAAAATCAAGCAAACTTTTTGTTCATGCCTGTATTAAGAAAAATCTATCATTTTATGTATGTGTAGGGACTATGTGGTACAGTGATAGAGCAGTTGACCACCAACCTTCAATTCTTGAGCTTGTATTTTGAGTTTGAGTCCAAATTATAATTTTTTTATCCAATCCCCACCCCCTTCTAATGAGTGCCTGATTTAATTAGGGAAAATAAAGTCTGCTTGGATATAGTGTGACTACTTTATCAGTATATTTGCTGAGGTTAAAAAACAGATAAACGCTACTTTATCTGCCGCTTGGACATTCTGATCCAAAAAGTTGCTTTTTATTTATGTTTGGGTGTTTTACAAGGTTTATGTTTTATTCACTGTTCTACTGGTACTTTTATTTTTTTAAATATGTTTTAATATTAAATGCTATATTTTAACTAGACTATTAAATGTACTATTGTGTAATTTTTTTCTTTTAAAACAATAGAGTTACAGGGGAGACAAAACATGCAGATCATCTTTCATCAGGAAAGCAAGGGGATGTTACAGATGGATTTCCTTACACAGGTTTAGTCTCATGATTTATATAAAAATAATTTAAATAATTCTATGTGAATATTGATGTATATAATGGCAGCTTAAAATGATACAGTTTTTAAACAAAATTTAGACTCATTATCTATATTAGGAACCAATATCAATATGTAAGTATTTTGAAAACATTTAACTCAAGGCTCTTAAAGTTTTACAAGATTTGTTTTGTATAGAACAGTGGATGCTGTGCTTACTTTTTATTTTAACCCTCTACAGTCCAGATTTGTTTTTAGCATAACCTCATTGAATGATGGAACAAAGATACAAAACTTTGTTCTAGATCAAGAATATTTTTGTTAAGAAAATGTTGAAAATTCCACACAAACAAAAATTGTAATGTAAATTTTGCTGTGTAGAACATTTCAGTATATTTTCAATTTTCATAAGCAAACATAAATCACAAGTGTTTTTATTTAATGTTCTAGCATCAAATTTATTTATTTTTAAAATGTCAATGTATAAAAAGATTGTATGAAATCAAACACACCCCTCCCATGCTAGAGATATCAAAATAAATATAAAATAATGCATTAAATCCATATTTAAAATTAATTATTTAAAATTAATAATAAATACGTTATGCCGACATCATTTTTCATTATCATTGCCTTCAAAATTTATGCCATTTCTCCCAAATTGGACCTTACTAGTAAAAGAATAAACTGGAAGTTTATTATTATTCTGTAAAGGGTTAACTTGAACTAAAATTAATTTTGTAAATAAAATATTGAGTGTTGTATTATCTCTAACAGAATGGCGACCCAGGTCATACTCCTTGACTAGACCGAGCAGTTCCCCAGCTTATGACCCCAGCCACACTCTGGGCAGCACCTTCCATTCTAAAGACAACTACTCAGATATCTCAAGGCTAAGTCAGTCCCTGGGCAGCCCAAAGAAACAAAGTCAGTGAATTTTTATACATTTATTGTGTCCACGTTTATACCTCACACATTTCTGTTCCTTTGATATTATTGGTAGAGATGTACTAGTAAAGTAAGTCACCCTTTTGGGCCTGATTATACGCAGGCAAGTGAAGCCGTTTCTATGAAGGGACACCTTACTTTACCTAACTTTAGTTAGGTATCTATAAGAGCTGGGTGAACTCAGGGACATCCCACAAACTCAAGCCTAGAATCCATCCTCCAGACTTGTGAAGTCGCAGTCTTTATTCTTTGGTCTGACTATAGTGTCTCAAAGAGTTGAACAGTATTTAAAATTGATTTCTTTTTGTGTGAGTTAGCTCTCAAAGTCAGCAGCCTGCCTCAGCTTCACGCATGTTCTGCTACTGGTGTCAGGATCAGGGTTAAAGTAAAGATTCTTTGCTAGACCTAGCGATCATTTGAAATGATAAAGTGGAATTGATATGTTTCTTGATCTCGGCATATGAAGGGGAGGTGTGGTCAGCACTATGCCCAGCCACCTTTACTTTCCCTAAGGTGAGTTGGGTAACCATCAGAATTAGGTGGACTCAGGGACGTTCCACTGACTTGAACCTCAAATCAAACTCAAGACTTTTGGGTTAGCAGTCTAGTGCTCCATCACTAGACCACACCATTCCACAGGTTCACAGTTAGAGTCATGCCAAGGTTGTTGAACCAGGGTTAGGGAGGGGTAGCAGTATGGGGGAAAGCTATGAAGTAAGAGGCTTATGGCAATCCCAGAAGTTGAGAAAATATTTTATAACGTTATTTTAAACTTTCCGTTATAAATATCTATAATTTTTTAAAATACATAATTATAGTAACTTAAAAACATGTTTGATTAAACTGTGTTTTATGACAGATGGCAGCATAAATTTGGTGCCAGACACACAGGAACTGTGTCGCAGACTAGAAGAGAAAATTGAAAGCCTGACACGTATGGGAGGCAACCTGATTAAAGAAAACAAAGGTAACTGGTCTTTGTTTCCTAGTTAATTAAGCATCAGATTATTAAATATAGTTACTTTCCTTGACTTTAATTTTATTACCTAAAATAACAAAGCCTCAGTTTGAAAAAGTACCAACTGCCTACATTTAAACAAATAACAAATAATTATTTATCTTATGATCTATTTTATTTAAACGTTAGTTATTTTCACAACTAAATAAGATTTTAGAATACTTTCAATATTATTTTATGATCCACAAGGAAATAGTTGTGAATAAATTTAAGTCACTGATTTTAAAAAATAAATTAAGTGTCTGTTAGATTGGTCAGAGTAAAATTTCCTTTAAAAAACTGGCAATGAATACTACTCAAGGATTTTCATCACCCTTGAGCCTCTGTCTATAATAAAAAATATATTTTCAATAAATTTCTTACAGATAAACGTCTATCAATTTTCAGTCTCTTCATTCAGTTCTTAATTTATTTAACAGATATGGAAGACTTAATCAACTTACAAGGGAGAAAACTGGACAATGTCAGGCAAATTGAGAAACTAGCCTGGGAGAAAAGATGATTAAAGGCCTGATTACATCCCTTCCCTGAATGTATTTGTTTTAAGTCTAGTGTTTAACCTCAAGTGTGCCGGTTTTTTGTGGTTGGAATATTTTAGTGATAAAATATACAAGCTAATTCAAATGATGATGGGTTATTATCATTAAATTTGTTTGCACTTAAAGTCTGCATATTTAAAAAATATCAGTAATTCATTTTATATGTACATTGTAACTATGACTGCCTATGGATATTTCACTTTTAAAAGATAAAGATAGCTATGAGTGCCAAAAATATTTTAGTTTTAAGCTTAAGAATGATTTATACCTAAGCGACAAGGTTATTGGTCATTGATGGACTACTTTCTTTAACACATTCCAGATTTAAGAATAGATATATACAATATATTGCATTTTACTTTAACTTATTTCTTTTATGGAATTAAATTTTGATTTTTTTTTTTTTTTAAAGCGTTATATTTTTAGTAACAACCAAGTATGAGAAACATTAATGTAACCATTCAATTAAATATCCCTGTATGTGTTCATTAGTTGAAGTTGCAAGTTTTTTTTGTGAGTGTTACACTATGTATTTGAACTTTGTATAGTTCAGCTATTACCTACCTAAATCAGTGTTCTAGACCTTAATTCCGCCTGTTTGTAATCTTAGCTCTGTGAACTCAGTGACAAAACAAAAGACTTAACATTGCAAATTATCACCTACGAGCCGACCCGCGGCACGCCGCTATTTAGTTGTTTTATTTTCTATTTTTCACTAATTCATAATTTGTGAATTTAACAGTACCAATGCTGCCACTCAAAATATCTATATATATAATTCTCTTCTGGGAGACGTTAGAAAACAAGCTGCAAGCGCGCCTTGCAGTCCCCTCTCTTCCTCTCTATTGCTACCACCCCCACCCCCCTAACATGGTCTGGTGAGCTGTGGTTCACACTAAATGTTTACATTTTACAATCGCAGAGGCGGGTTTGGTGACGGCTATTAGGGGCAGATAATTTAGTTTGAAACGATTTTAAAGTTAGAGGAGGCAACTAAGGGGGGGGGGGGGGGGGGGGAGGGGGGTTTAGTGATTTAAAGCACATATTTTCAGTGGCAGCATTGGTACTGTCGAATTAACAAATTATGAATTACTGAAAAGTAGAAAAAACAACAGCTAAATAACGGCGTATGATACACCGCGGGGCGGCTCGTTTGCTTTAAAACACTAAAACCCTCCTTTCCCCCAATCCCTGCCCCACCCCCTCGTGAAAGCAGCCTCCTCTTAGTTACCTCCCCTAAGTTTAAAATCGTTTCAAACTAAATTATCTGCCCCTAATAGCCATCGCTAGACTCGTCTCTATGGTTTGTAAACATTTAGCGTGAACCACAGCTCACCAGACCATGTGAGAGGGGGGGGTGGTGGTAGCGATAGAGAGGAAGAGAGGGGACTGCAAGGCGCGCTTTGCAGCTTGTTTTCTAACGTCTCCCAGAAGATTGCTTTATTAAAGGGGAAACCACTCTTTTTCTTAGCTTCAAAGTAAACATTTGTTTAAATTCTGTTTTAACTAGGGCTTCCATTGCTTTTTAGGGAACATTCTGCTTTAATTATATAATTATGATAATTGTCAAGTAATCAAATACTAATTATTATTACTCTCAATACTCACCTATACTTACATGAGTGCAAACAGTAATTAAAGATTTTTTGCAGTAAATCTATAGTAACCTCTGAACTAATGGCATTTTAATTATAAATATATTTTTCTTGTATATATACACACGTATCTTATGTTTGGAATGATTATATAGCTAATAGTTTTGATCAAAATAAAACCTGATTTAGTCTGTAATCAAATTCACTGCATTTTTACTTGCCACATATTTACTTGCTGGTTTTTTTAATACTCTATTAACATAAATTTGTATATTTAATTATTTTTATATTTTATGTAATATTGTGCCACATAAAATGTATAAACTATGCAAATGGAAATAAAAAAAAATTTTCTGCATATCATTTTTTATCCATATCTAAATTATTTAGTATTTTCAGAAAATCTATTTAGTTCTAAAGTGAATTTTAATTTATATTAGTTACTTCCCATATTAAACCAGGGAAGACAACCCATAACAATGTTCACTAAATTCTTAAAACTTAAAAATTCAGCAGTCCTTAAAAGAAATGGTAATCAATTTTATCTATTTTAATAACTATGAGTTTAAGAAACTTTCAGTAAATCCTTTGCTATGTTATATACACCTTAGGTATTATTAGATTAGCACTAGTTTAAATATAAAAACATTGCTTTTAATTAACTGTAAAGTTTTAAATCAACATAATTATTTTTATTAAATCACTCTTGAGTTCATCAATCTTTCAACAAACTTTTATTTAACTCAATAACTCTGTCATCAGTCTGTCTGGATCAGGGGTCGGCAACCCGCGGCTCGCGAGCCGCATGCGGCACTTTTGATGTCAACATGCTGCTCTCCAGCTCTTTGCACACATTACTTTAATGGTTATATAATTTCTTTCGCACTGGGCGGTGGGGTACAAGTTTACCCTGCGTTCAGGTAGGGAGGAATATAAGCCTGCGAGAACCTAAGAACAGAAGCGACCGACACACAGTAATCAAACCGACATCCAAGCCAGTTAGTCGGGCTTGCCGTGTTGAGGCCTGCCTGGCTAATGGGAGACACCTCCTGAGCCGGTGTTATCCGTAAAAAAAATAAGAGCTTCTAAAGTGGATTGGGATAGTATGTTATTTGATTAATAATTTTATTTTTCTGGTGAAAAATGTGTATGTTTTTCAATGAATTAAAATTATTTTATATTTAACGCTATTTATTTTAAACAACAAATCAAATTTATTTAACTAATCCTAATTAAATACAAAATGTTGAAAAATAATTGTTGGTGGCTCTTTAAAAACTGGGAAATTTTGTAAATTGTAACTTTTGGATCTTCCCCCTCGAAAGGTTGCCGACCCCTGGTCTAGATCGAAACGCCCGAGCGAAATTGCAGGCACTTCTACAGTTCGTAATTGGTACGTTGGTCAAGACATGAAGACAATGCATCATGACATTCAATTTGACTTAATTGGTTGCCTGATTAATTTTTTATGAATTAATTAAAATTAAGACCAAATTAGTAGGCAGTCCTATCATCACGTTCAACAGGTGCGCAATGGTTTTTAGTCATGTAGTTCTATTGTAAATAAAACATGTAAAGTACTAAGAAATTTTTTTAATAAAAAACGTTTTAATAACAAGCTTTTATGTAATAATGCACTAAAAAGTAGAAAATAAATAATAGACTATTATTTAAATAACTATAAAAAAAGCGTGGTTCTCTTCCTAAATATTACTAAAGGTATCCAATAGATACTAAAGAACTAAAGTGACCCACGCTTTTATTTAAATAGTAGTGTATAATGTATGTTCTCCTTTTTAAGTGCATTATTGCATAACAGCTTGCTATTAAAACGTTTTTTATTAAATTATTTCGTTAATTTGCTCTCCGGCCAGCCAATTTTAAATAACGGTAATGTATTTAGACCAGAGGTCGGCAACCTAATGAGATGGAAGAGTCAAAAGTAACAATTTACAAAATGTACCAGTTTTTAAAGAGCCACTAACATTCTTCATTTCAATTCTTGTTATTTGATGAGGATTATATTATATATATATATATATATATATATATATATATATATATATATATATATATATATATATATATATATATATATATATATATATATATATATATGTATGTATGTATGTATGTTTGTTTGTATGTATAAAATTATATATTTACATTGGTTACATCAATCGAAGCTTTGGCCTTATATGCCTTTTGAAAGTTTGTTTAAATCTGGCTCGTAACTTGTTGTTTTCAATTTCAAGCACGCCTCTAGATTTTTATTAGTTAGTTGGCTTCTTACTTAAGTTTTTGTTAATAATGATGTAAGAGAACTCTTGCTAGCACGAATATCTTGACCTAAAGATCGTCCGCACTCCAGATGTCAACTTCTTCACCTTACTGTAGCATTCTGGAAAACTGTTCCATGCGTCAAATATTCGTGACTCAACTCACGGCATTTCTTTTAGAGCTGTGTACTTATAAAGTGTAACGTGCATGCTTTTCTTAACCTCCAACTCTTGCAACTTGCTCTTGTGTTCTGTGAATTTACTACTCCACAAATGTTTGGTTTTCAAATCCAGCAATTGCATTTGAAGCGAACCAACATCAATTCCAAATGGCTCAAAGTTGATCTCATTTGTTTTTGTGTTGAGAGGATCTACTATGAACGCCATCTGTTTTCAATCGCTCAAATCTCTCAGCGGAGACATCCTTCTTTGTGCTGATAGTAATGCTGGAGTGATTCATGTTAACGGTTTCATCACGATATTTTTAAAAAGATTTTTCCGTGTCTTCAACAAAAACAAGTAATTTTTTTTTCGAAACAATCTTTTTTTTTTTCAAGCAAATTATATGACGCTGAATTTTTTTGTTTTCAATTTGGGATGGCACTTCAATAGAAAGTCCATTGAAATAGGGAGACTTACTGACAGCTGTTTTAAAGCATATATTTTCAGTGACAGCAGTGGTACTGTCGAATTCACAAATTATGAATTACTGAAAAGTAGAAAAACAACAAAATAGCGGCGTATGATACGCAACGGGCCGGCTCGTTATTAATATTTGCACATGGAACTCGAGAGCCGCATCTTGACATCAAAAGAGCCGCATGCGGCTCACGAGTCGCAGGTTGCCGACCCCAGATTTAGTCATTTAGACCCAGCTCTCCGTCGTTAGCACTCAAGAACAGACTTTTTGTCACACACGACAAGCAAAACTTCACAGAAGAGCTGTATCAAGTTACTTTCTCCTTTTTTAATTTTTTTTATTCTCCCCACAGCCTCCCTTTAATTCTACTTTTTAGCGCAATTTCCATACGGACAATTGCGATTATTAACTCGTCATTTCTGGATGGATGTGTGTCCGATGTGTGTCCGCAGCTTTAAGTCGTATCTCCTCCTCAACGAAGCGATATCGAGGACTAGTTCCAAAGCAAATATGTCAAGCAAGTTCCGAGGATGATTGTGGGCCAAAAAGATTCCCGGAATTCCTTCCTGGATTTCCCGGAAAAGCCAAAAAACCTCGAAAAAATGCAGTTGTTGGCCCATATCTCAGCAACCAGACCACTTAGCGACTTGAAACATTTACCAATCGAATCCTGCCATAATTTAGAACAATATTGCCGAAGAAAGTTTTCAAAAATATCCTTTCGTTCGGTCACAAAAAATTAATTAAGGAAATTGCGCTTAAATTGTCACTAGACTTTTTATTAACTTGTTTACCCTTCTTTTCGTCCAATAATCTGCCTGTTTGTGTACGCGCGTGTGTGTGTGTGGGGGGGGGGGGGGGGGGTAAGCACATAAGTGACTTCATACACCTTGTTAGGTGAGGGGATGAAACCTCTGTGACGAGATACACGTTCTTTGATGTAGCACTTACTTTGTACTTTGTTGACGAACAAGAAAAAAAAAACACCTTAAAGTTTAATTTTAAGGGTGCTACTGAATGTTGGGATGTCACTTTTTTTTTAAAGAGCGGTGGTTGGATGTGATGTTATGGGGGTAGTAGAGGGGGGTGGGAGGGGTTTCAAAGACTGCAAAAGTGACCTGATGTGTATCTATGGACGACCCATCATCTCGGTCTACACATTTTTACTGTACCCACTAATTTTAAACATTTTTTCTAGTGTGTGTGGAAGGTGTGTGTGTGTGGGGGGGGGGGTCTGTAAAATGAAGGATTTATGGTTGGAAATTCGCGAAAAAAAATTGCTGTACAAGCACATAGGACAACGTTTAAAAAACCCAACAGAACTGACTTTAAAAAAGAAATAGCTGTTTATTTATTTTTTTAAATTACAAACTAGTTTGGAGGCAAATAAACGAAACCTTCACAGCTATAGTGCTGACTACTCCTGCTACAGCCATAGCCTCTAGTGATGGAACGACACACATTGTTTCTAAGCGTGCCGAGGCTGGGGTCATCTATTTCTGAGACAGGCTCACCGAGACCGTCTTCTTGGAAATATTGCTCATGATGCTCCGCTCGGAGTAGGCCTTGCTCAGGTTGATGGAAGACCTTGAGATGGGGGAGGGCGCAATCTCTATTTTTGGCTCCGGGCAGACGTTACGTTTGAGCATGTCGGCTAGCGGTTTGGTGTATTTATAGCTGCCCATGTCTTTCAGAAGGCGGAGTCTGTCATTGGCTAGGCAGCGAGCTTTGAGTGCGGGGAAGTCTTTCAGACGTGCTGGGCAGAAAATGGCAGTTTAAAATTTCGTACAGGAAGGGATTTTTGTTGTTGTAAACACGGGGATAATTTACCCAGGGATATTTTACACTGGGATATTTTACACAGGGATATTTTACACTGGGATATTTTACACAGGGATATTTTACACAGGGATATTTTACACAGGGATATTTTATACAGTGACACGTTTCACACCAGGACACTATTTACACAGTAGCATGATATACAGAGGGACACTATTTACAGGGATACACTATTTACAGGGATACACTATTTACAGGGATACACAATTTACAGAGGGACACTATTTACAGCGAGACACTATTTACAGGGATAACCATTTACATGGGACACTATTTACAATACCATTTACAGAGAGACACTAATTACTTGGAGACACTATACACACATGGGCAATAATTACAAAGGAAAACAATACACAGTTACAAGGTTTTAACGGGGATACCATTTACTCAGTTAAACAAGAAAAGATCAGCATCTTTTAAAAACCATGGTTGCTAAACCGAAAAGTCTCGAGTTCGAACCCTCGGGCAGATGAGGCTCGTTAGCTGGGGACAGCCACTCTTCTAAGAGAGACAGCTCCAACATCAAACAACTGCTGCCATGCAGTTTGTTCTTGGTTGGACAAAGGCTATGGAAGCAAATCCAAAAAGAAAAGCAGGCTGAAATCGGAGTCAATGGTCTCAATGGCGCATAACCAGTTGACAGGTAATCCTTAATTGTGTTGGAGGCGTGGTCGAGTCGGCAAAGCTCATGGTTGATAAATTCGAAAAAAGTCTCGAGTTCAAACCCTCTGGCAGATAAGGCTCGATCCCTACCAACACTAAAAATTAAGAACGAAGAAGAAGAAGAAGACAAGGTTTAAACGGGGATACCATTTACACAGTTAAACAACAAAAGATCAACATCTTTTAAAAAGAAAACTCCCAAACAAGAAAATAAAGACAGATTATCGTACGATAACACTGTAACTCTACTGTACCTGCATTGAGTACCTACCAGGTGGCAAAAGCTGGCGAGAGATATGCACCGGCTGGCTCGGCCTTTTGGATGATGGACTGGCGAAGGATCGTCTCGGTGATTTCTCCCTTTCTCGGCAACTGGTCTCGACAGCTTCAGCCGGCGCGGGCTGCGGGGTGTCCAGAGTGTAATTCTTCGAGGCGACGGTCTGGGGCCTGACGAGGTAGTCGGCGTTCGATATGGCCACGGTGGACGGAGTGATCTCCCTCGTGAAGAAGGTCAAGGAAGACTTAGTATAAAGGTCGGCGTGGGTAAGCCACCGGTGTCGGTCCAGGAAGTGCTTGACGGTGTAGTACGTCGCCACGGGGTACTGCCGAGGTCCGGTTTTGGGTTCTGGCGCCGGCGCGTCTGCGAAGTAGATTTCCGGTTCCGGCGAAATGAAGTCCTTATCCTTCTTTATTTCAATGACTTCCGAGGGGTGGTGCCCTTTGAAATGTATCTTGTTTTTCTTAGACATGTCGCTTATTTTCACACCGAATGAGCTGACTCTTCTGTATCCCTGCCGGGGTTTTGAGACGTTACTGTCGCTTAAGATAAACTCCAAACTCGGACTGGGTGTCAACTTATTATTCGTATTGTGAGACAGTTTTCCCGAATTATTCCGGCTTCGAATTTGAGATTTGTTTCGGTTTCCCAACTCGTATTTTTCTGCTTTAAGTATCTCCGCCATTTTGTTTAAATTCACCATCCTCGCAGTTTTAAAATCGCGTTTCTTTGCGGATAAAGGGCGGCTGGCGTGCGCTCTTTGCTCAAGACTTTCAACCGCGACTGCAATGTCGGTTCCCAGAGGTTTGACGTCACTGCCGTGAAGGGAGACCACGCTAGCGAGTTTGGGTAATTGTACAGGTTCAGCTGACGTAATGCTCATCCGATTTACGGCGTCTGCAGTTCCGGAAATGCCAGGCGAGTTTAAAGAAGTTTGTGAATCGTTCTTCATGTTTCTGTTTACGTTGCCTCTAGCGTATTCTTCCCAGAACATGTCCATATTCTCGGGATCGTTTTCGTTGAAATTTTGCCGGCAGTTTAAAAAGCAGTCGATTAGTTCATCCAGTTCATCAGCGATGTGGCTGTTGTTCCTGTCTTGACCTAGTTCACCAGCGATGTGACAGTTGTTCCTGTCTTGATCTAGTTCATCCAGTTCATCAGCGATGTGGCTGTTGTTCCTGTCTTGACCTAGTTCACCAGCGATGTGACAGTTGTTCCTGTCTTGATCTAGTTCATCCAGTTCATCAGCGATGTGGCAGTTGTTCCTGTCTTGACCTTGAAGGTAAGAGATGCTTCTAACCAACGTCCATGCCCCATGCTCCTGGCCAAGGCTGTCTGATTTACAACTCAGTATTTCTGTTGAGCTAATCGAGGCTTCAAAGAAGTAGATATATATTTGTTTTGCAAGTGAATCGCTATATTTAAAAAAAAAACTAAATGACTAAGCTTTATTAAGTTAATTTAAGAAATAGACTGTTTAACTAATAATAGTAACTATGCAACAAGCTGATTATGTGTCTTCACACACGAATGTCTGGTATTAAGTAAAACAGTACATTATTAATACATGATTGATAACGTAACATAAAAATTCAAACGCTTTTTATCCCAGAATCAGAGACAGAAGCAGTAGGGTTGCTAAGGTTAAAGCGACGCCTTTTTCGTAAACTGATTGTAATTAAAAAATTATTTAAAAATACTCAGTTAAAAATACTCGTCGTTCATCTGCCCCACCACCACCCCCCCCCCTGCTCCTGCCTCGACTAGAATTTTCCTTGACGGTAGTGAATCACTTTGCTACACAATGTAGCCTGCTGATGTTTTGAATTCTGTACTGCCCAACCCTCCCATATAGGATTTAATTAATGTTACATAGATAATCCTAAATTTAGGTAACTTTTAAAAATAGAAATTCACTCCCCCCCCCCTCCCCACAACAGATATACAAATAATTTGGAAGAACACACTCCTTATAATGTCTGCCAAGTGTTAGTTTGGAGAGAAGATCAAAGTTGACATATTTAAGACAGAATGAGACAGTTAGTTACAAATAGAATGTGTACACTTGTTGCATTATAGGCCTGAAACACATTTTGCCCTACATCAAGGGAAACAGCTTTGAGTTCGTTTCCCAGAATAAAACAAAAATAGAATTTGAGTGTAGAACAATTCTTGCAAATGTAGGCCTACATTTTTATTTTTAGTTAAATAAAACAATAAATAAAACTACTACGTTTACATTTAAATAAGTGAGAGTCACTATTACTTAGATAAATAGTATAGCCGTTTATTTCTATTTGGATTTTCTCCTAATGTAGAATCTAGGATCTGTTTCCAGACAATCCTCACCAAAAAAAAAAAAAGAGTATAGAAAAATATATAAAACATGTATTTTGTTTTTTTATTGAACAGGTCTAACTTTGTAAATGTCGTTATAATTGTGCATGAAAAAGTCTGTATTAAGTTATCTATAACACTTAATCTCAAGTTTGCTTGCTTGTATTGAACTATAGATGTCAAAAAGTGGCGGGATTCAACATTTCGCGCGCGCACCTTTTTGCATCAGTGACTGGGCTTATGTGGAAAAGCCCCGATATTTAACCGTGCTCTTCTCTCTCTCTCTCTCTCTCTCCCATCCCCCCCCCCCCCCCCCCCCCACACAGATCTATTAAGTGATGCCACTGTCCAACCTCGTTAAGGACATTTGATCATGTGTTTGTTACAATTAAAAAGGGTGTGAAAAAGACATCGGATTGGATGCTGTGCCACAATAATTTGGTTGAGATGGGTGGGGTGGGGGGGGGGGGGGGGAGGGTGTGTGTGAATATATGGGGTAGTTGGTAGGGTCAACATTACTATTTTTTATATAATATATTTGTGTGATAGCTTATTTATACGAAAAATAATTGTGTAGTACTCATATCGCTCCAACTTTATGCACACTCTATCTTCATTCGTCCAGCTGTCCATACTCCATTTTACCTGGCTGACTGATACAACAAACAGGAAATAATCTTGGAAAAAAAAAGTTTAATTCTAAAAATCATTCAACTTACTAAGGCGGCCTTCGGTGTTGGAAATTACATCATCAGATACGAATTTCCGAACCCGGTTGTGGGGTTTCCCCTTTTTAGCCCGAGGGGGGCGCTTGGCGTACAAATTGACGTGCATGTCTTCGCTGGGTATTCCAAGAAATCTCTCGCCCTCCATAGACGGGCTGGGTCTCCAGTTGGCTGTGAAGTTCCTCTGGCTTAAGGCACTTCCGCTTCTCTTACGTGATGCAATGACGGAGAGGGGGGCTCGATACCTTGGTTCGTGGGATGAAGAGATACAACTTGATTACATATGTTAATTAATTAAAGACAGGCTGAGTGAGAGGTTGGGAGGGGGGGGGGTGGACTCGATACCTTGGTTCGTGGGATAAAGAGATAATACTTGATTACATAATATTTATGTTAACTAAAGGCAGGTTTGAGATGTTGGGAGAGGGGGGGGGGGCTAGGTAACTTGGTTTATGGGTAACAGAGATTTGATTGCTTATGTTAATTAATTAAAGGCAGGTTGTGTGAGAGAGGGAGGGTTGTTTGGTACTTTGGTTCATGAGTTAATGAAATAAAACTTGATTACATATGTCTATTAATCAAAGGCGGGTTGAGTGTACAAAGTGAGAGGGTGAGGGGGTGGGTAGGCGGCCGAGAGCGAGACGTCATTAAAACAAGAGGAGGGAGGGGTGGGCTCCTTGAAACTTTCAAGGAGGATGAACGAACTTTAATTTCTGGAGGGGGGTGCACAGACACGGGTGAAAGTATATATTTTCTTTTATATATTTTTTCTACTTCGTCCGAAGAGATGCCTGAAAGAAACACTGGGTCTGGCGGTGGTGGATGGGGGTTAACAGAAGGTTGGTATGGTGAACTTTGATATAATGTATTAAATAATAATAATGTAATAATGTATTAAAATATATCAAAGCATTTAGTAAGTTCAATTTATATGACTTCTAACTAGCAATAAATACGTTGTTAAATATTAAGTGCAATGTAAAATGACATGAATCCGCATTAAAAGATATGACAAGTAATCGACATTTTCTATACATAACTCAAGTTTTAAGCAAACAACAACGCTGATGATCAGATCCCAGTTTTTAACGTACCCATGATGGCGCCGGTTGGAGGCGGAGCGACACCTACGGGCAGAGGCGTGTCCCACTTGGATGGGCTGGTTGGTCAGCTGTATGGCCATGTTGTGGTCAGCCCCCAAGTCTAGTGAGGCCAGGACGACTTTGTTGGAGGTCGTGTTGTAGGCGGCCTTATCCTGGGACCTCAGGGACTCCGTGCCCAGGTTGTCGTATTCTGGGGGAGAAAACTAGAGGCGTTACTAGGGTGGGGTGGGATCAGAAACCCCGCCCCACGAAGAGTCTACCGCCCCCCACCCGAACGAAATGGAATTTATAGAGAAAATGTGAACTGTTAACAGTGTCCGTCCCCCCGGAAATTTTAGTTCCCCCCCCCCCCCGAAAATTTCAGCCCCCCCCCCACCCCCCGTTACGTTTGCCTGTCGTCCCTACTGGGACATAGGCCGCTGACAAGAGCTTTCCAGACGTCTCTGTCCCCCCCCCCCCCCATCTAAGAAAAAAGGCTGTAAGAAACACTGGGGGGGGGGGGTTTAAAAGGGGGTGGGGTGACGCGGTCGGTCGGCCCTCGCGACACTTCCCCAAAAGATAAAATTTATGTCGTTGGCCTTAAATTGACACATTACCGACATGAAACTTGCTCTGGAACTGTGCCTCATCCAACCGGAATATAGCAGCAACCGTAGCATCGGCCTGACAGTGATGAAAGGAGGAGTTATAAAACATACAAAAATTCATTATATATATGTATATATATATATATATATATATATATATATATATATATATATATATATATATATATGCATACATAGACAATGTTATACAAACAAATGAATTTGGGATATTTAGGCGGTATATACGTAATAATGTTTTTCGTGCTACAGACCTAAAGTTTTACCTGACGGTACAGAACTGCGTACATCATTTGTTTTACAAATCTTAGGATTTATGCTGGTATTAGCGTGAGAGGTTCTGGTGGTATGAAACTTTTCACGTGGTATGAAACCATATCACGTGGTATGAAACCTATCACGCGGTATGAAACATATCATGTGATATGAAACCTATCACGTGGTATGAAACCTATCACGTGGTATGAAACCTATCACGTGACGTGGTATAAACCTATCACGTGACGTGGTATAAACCTATCACGTGGTATTTAACCTATCACATGGTATGAAACCTATGACGTGGTATTAAACCTATCAAGTGGTACCAACCTGGAGGGTGGGGTTGTCCCTGAGCACCCACACAGCCGCATGCAGCCTGGCGTTCTCGTCCCTGAGCTTGCTGTTCTCTAGCATCGTCTCCTCGGCGTTGTTGTGGTACAGCATACCATTGGGGAACCTCGTCCTCATCAGTTGGTGGGTGTCTTACAGAGAGAGGATACGCTCATTGAAATAAAACTCAGTTGGTGTCTTACAGAGAGAGGATACGCTCATTGAAATAAAACTCAGTTGGTGTCTTACAGAGAGAGGATACGCTCATTGTAATAAAACTAGGTGGGTGTCTTACAGAGAGAGGATACGCTCATTGAAATAAAACTCAGTTGGTGTCTTACAGAGAGAGGATACGCTCATTGTAATAAAACTAGGTGGGTGTCTTACAGAGAGAGGATACGCTCATTGAAATAAAACTCAGTTGGTGTCTTACAGAGAGAGGATACGCTCATTGTAATAAAACTAGGTGGGTGTCTTACAGAGAGAGGATACGCTCATTGAAATAAAACTCAGTTGGTGTCTTACAGAGAGAGGATACGCTCATTGTAATAAAACTAGGTGTGTGTCTTACAGAGAGAGGATACGCTCATTGTAATAAAACTCAGTTGGTGTGTGTCTTACAGAGAGAGGATACGCTCATTGTAATAAAACTCAGTTGGTGTCTTACAGAGAGAGGATACGCTCATTGAAATAAAACTAGGTGTGTGTCTTACAGAGAGAGGATACGCTCATTGTAATAAAACTCAGTTGGTGTCTTACAGAGAGAGGATACGCTCATTGTAATAAAACTAGGTGGGTGTCTTACAGAGAGAGGATACGCTCATTGTAATAAAACTAGGTGGGTGTCTTACAGAGAGAGGATACGCTCATTGTAATAAAACTCAGTTGGTGTCTTACAGAGAGAGGATACGCTCATTGTAATAAAACTCGGTGGGTGTCTTACAGAGAGAGGATACGCTCATTGAAATAAAACTCAGTTGGTGTCTTACAGAGAGAGGTTACGCTCATTGAAATAAAACTCAGTTGGTGTCTTACAGAGAGAGGATACGCTCATTGAAATAAAACCATCAGTTAGTGGGTGTCTTACAGAGTGAGGATACGCTCATTGAAATAAAACTCAGTTGGTAGGTGTCTTACAGAGAGAGGATACGCTCATTGAAATAAAACTCAGTTGGTGGGTGTCTTACAGAGAGAGGATACGCTCATTGAAATAAAACTCAGTTGGTGGGTGTCTTACAGAGAGAGGATACGCTCATTGAAATAAAACCATCAGTTAGTGGGTGTCTTACAGAGAGAGGTTACGCTCATTGAAATAAAACTCAGTTGGTGGGTGTCTTACAGAGAGAGGATACGCTCATTGAAATAAAACTCGGTGGGTGTCTTACAGAGAGAGGATACGCTCATTGAAATAAAACTCAGTTGGTGGGTGTCTTACAGAGAGAGGATACGCTCATTGAAATAAAACTCGGTGGGTGTCTTACAGAGAGAGGATACGCTCATTGAAATAAAACTCAGTTGGTGTGTGTCTTACAGAGAGAGGATACGCTCATTGAAATAAAACCATCAGTTAGTGGGTGTCTTACAGAGAGAGGATACGCTCATTGAAATAAAACCATCAGTTGGTGTGTGTCTTACAGAGAGAGGATACGCTCATTGAAATAAAACTCGGTGGGTGTCTTACAGAGAGAGGATACGCTCATTGAAATAAAACTCAGTTGGTGGGTGTCTTACAGAGAGAGGATACGCTCATTGAAATAAAACTCTCATCAGTTGGTGTGTGTCTTACAGAGAGAAGATACGCTCATTGAAATAAAACTCTCATCAGTTGGTGTGTGTCTTACAGAGAGAAGATACGCTCATTGAAATAAAACTCTCATCAGTTGGTGTGTGTCTTACAGAGAGAGGATACGCTCATTGAAATAAAACTCGGTGGGTGTCTTACAGAGAGAGGATACGCTCATTGAAATAAAACTCAGTTGGTGGGTGTCTAACAGAGAGAGGATACGCTCATTGAAATAAAACTCAGTTGGTGGGTGTCTTACAGAGAGAGGATACGCTCATTGAAATAAAACTCAGTTGGTGGGTGTCTTACAGAGAGAGGATACGCTCATTGAAATAAAACTCGGTGTGTGTCTTACAGAGAGAGGATACGCTCATTGAAATAAAACTCAGTTGGTGGGTGTCTTACAGAGAGAGGATACGCTCATTGAAATAAAACTCTCATCAGTTGGTGTGTGTCTTACAGAGAGAAGATACGCTCATTGAAATAAAACTCAGTTGGTGTCTTACAGAGAGAGGATACGCTCATTGAAATAAAACTCAGTTGGTGGGTGTCTTACAGAGAGAGGATACGCTCATTGAAATAAAACTCAGTTGGTGTCTTACAGAGAGAGGATACGCTCATTGAAATAAAACTCAGTTGGTGGGTGTCTTACAGAGAGAGGATACGCTCATTGAAATAAAACTCAGTTGGTGTCTTACAGAGAGAGGATACGCTCATTGAAATAAAACTCGGTGGGTGGGTGTCTTACAGAGAGAGGATACGCTCATTGAAATAAAACTCAGTTGGTGGGTGTCTTACAGAGAGAGGTTACGCTCATTGAAATAAAACTCGGTGGGTGGGTGTCTTACAGAGAGAGGATACGCTCATTGTAATAAAACTCAGTTGGTGTCTTACAGAGAGAGGATACGCTCATTGAAATAAAACTCGTCATCAGTTGGTGGGTGTCTTACAGAGAGAGGATACGCTCATTGAAATAAAACTCGGTGGGTGGGTGTCTTACAGAGAGAGGATACGCTCATTGTAATAAAACTCGTGGACAAATTATCACACAGCACTATCCTTATGATTTTATTTGATTGACACTTTAAAAAATTTATAAAAAAAAACACATTGTTCATCGGTATGTTATTTTAATAATCAGTCTCCTGGGCTTGAACTAAAATTAAAATAAGTGGCGGAAACCTCCTAAAAACCCGTTATTGACACTGTAGATAAGTCTCAATGGACTGATTCATTCTCGTGTTATTAAACATTGGTTGCCTTTGGTCAGTTTCGTTTTTACTGGCAGTAAATCGCGATCTTATTCTCCACTCGAAATTTATTCTGATCTCCCCTTCAAAAAGACTTAACTCCCCTTTATATTTTTATATATTTGTTTACACCATTTATATATAGCAAACCCCGTGAATTTTTAACCAGATGGACCAATGTTAGGAAAATTAAGCCCTACTTATAATAAATAAGTTTTAATAATAAGATTTACTTAGAGAGTAGTATAGTAGGCTATTGCATATACAAATAGGCAACACCATTTAAAACTGATAGTCTGACATAAATGCAATCAACTTTTCAATGTGTAATTTAATTCCACATCCACTTCCACTAATAATTTTTCTTTCCAACCTAACTCTTTTAACTAGGGTTTCTAAAAAAATTAATATGTTTATTTAAAGTAGATTAAAACAAGTAATTAAAAAAAGTCTAGTGACAATTTTAGCGCAATTTCCTTATGTTATCTAAAAATAGCTCTGTCTCAGCGTAAATCAAGAGCAGGGTTAGTAAAACCATTGGTTAGTTATTAAAACGTTTTTTATTAATTTTTTTCCAGTATTTTACATGTTTTATTTACAATAGAGTAACATGACTAAAAACCATTGCGCGCCCAGCTACCGAACGTGATGTCGCAGCCATTGAACGTGATGGCGCAGCTATTGAACGTGATGACGCGTGTGGTGTGGTTGCATAAAATGCCTACTAATTCGGTCCAAATTTTAATTAATTCAAAAAAAATTTTGTGACCGAACGAAAGGATATTTTTGAAAACTTTCTTATGCAATATTGTTCTAAATTATTGCAGGAATCGATTGGTACATGTTTCAAGTCGCTAAGTGGTCTGATTGCCGAGATATGGGCCAAAAACTGCTTCTTTTTGAGGTTTTTTGGCTTTTCCGGGAAATCCATGATAGAAACCCGGAATTTTTATGGCCTATGTTCATCCTCGTAACTTGCTTAACATAATTGCTTTTGGAACTAGTCATCGATATTGCTTCGTTGAGGAGGAGATACGACTTAAAGCTGCGGACACACATTCATCCATTCATCCATCCATCCAGAAATGACGGGTTAATAAACGCAATTCTCCAGAATGGAAATTGCGCTAAAAAAATAACTAAAATTAATGTTTGACATTTAAAATTCATACCCGGAAAAGAAATGAGATACTCGTTCTCCTGGAGACCGAAGACCAGGTTGATAGCGTTCTGGCACCCCAGGGACGGCTCGCTGCGCACGAGGGTCAGGCAGTCCCAGAGCCGCAGGTTGTCCATGTAAAGATGGTGGTTCTCCTCCCAGATGTTGTACTCCACCCCTCGCCCACTGCGGTGGCCGCCCTTGCCTCGATCGCCCATGACGGTGCCGCCCTCTTGTGCACGGTTCCAGTCCCAGGATCCATTTTGTGGGAAGGCCATGTGGGTTCAACGACCGGACGCCCTCAGCCGAAGTCAAGAGAATCCATTCGTTCTTTGAATAGAGTTTGTTAGGAGATGCCATGCGAAATTTGAATAGTGAGTAAAATGTAATTTAGGTAATGAAATCAAGTACGTAGAACTTCCAAGAGCTGCCACCCCCCCCCCCCCCCCCCCCACCTCTCTTCAGATTAGATGGTAAACTAGTTGAAGTAAGGGGAAGCAAATGAAATAGTGCATAGAGTTCTAGCACAGACCACATTATTAGTCATTATCCCCACATATAGATCTACCATGTTCACAGAATTTGGTAAACTCTACTTCATCTGTCCATTGACCGTTGTGTCCGAAAGGGTGAGAACTTTACTTTCCTTAGATAAACGTAGATCTAAATCTAGATCTAGACAAGTAGGGTCTCTTTAATTTTTAAAATATAAATTGTTTTCAGATAAATTCATCCATCGTGGCTAGTGTAGTTTAATAGTGCGTCAGGAAGGTGCTGGTATCTGTTGATAAAAGAAAATAATAAGGTCGATTAGAAAATAGCTTTCAAAAACCTGTCTCTACAAACCTCCCATTTTGTCTTCTTATTTTGAGCATGAGTTGTCAACAAATGGAAGCACGGAAAGAAATCGGTGCGGAAGTCGCATCCTTTCGAAACTGCTGCGCTAGCGATGGGAATTCCCGAAGTGATGCAGTTTTAAACATAGTGGCTTATAGCCTAGCTACACAATGTTCGCATAAAGTAAAGATGAAATTTGGTCTCTAACTTACACAGGTTCAACAGTATAAGTTAAAACTTCCTCATCGCTTAATCTTGAAATGATAGTTGTTAGGATTTGATTGCGCAATCTTAAAACATCTAATCGTATTTTAATGAAGTTATGTAGTTTGGCATCGGGTGGGGGGGGGGGGGGGGTATGGGAAGGGGAAGTATGTGAACCATAAATGAGGTCGAAGACTTTAAGTACCTCGGCAGCTATATATCAGCAAATGGCAGCATGGAGAAAGAAATTGCCACCAGAATAGCAATGGCAGCACAAGCTTTCAACAGACTCGCTAAGATCTGGAAATCATCCTCACTGCAGCAGAGAACTAAAATAAGGATCTATAAGTCAAATGTACGGTCTGTACTCCTCTATGCTGCAGAGTCATGGAAACTAAACAAGAAAGGAGAGAGCCGACTCAGAGGCTTTGAAAGAAGATCCCTCCAACGCATCCTCAGGATAAAGTGGGACGACAAAGTCCCGAACAAGGAAATATGGCGAAGGACAGGATTAAACGACATTGTCTCAGAAGTTCGAACGAGGAGATGGAGATGGCTGGGCCATGTCCTACGCATGAGCAAAAAAAGACTCCCCAACATGGTGCTGAAGTGGAACCCACCCGGAAAGAGAAATAGAGGAAGACCACTGGGAACATGGAGGAGGGAGATGGAAGAAGAAGTACAGGCTACTGGCAAGACCTGGCATGAACTAAAGTGGCTCGCCCAGGACAGGGTGGAATGGCGGAGATTTGTTGCTGCCCTATACTCCACAGGGAGTGATGAGGATTAAGTAAGTAAATGACCGTAACGTTTTTTTGGACGATATTTACCTCCCCCTTCCCACCGTCACAAAAACCAAACCCCTCCCCTTACATGACGTCACAACTCAGCTTACACCCCCAGCCCCTAAAAATTGCAACTTCATTTTTTTTTAAAACATCGATGTCTTTCAAAAACATTAACTGAGCTTGGTCAACATAAGGTATAGTAGACCATTTAGTTTCCAATTTACATAGACAGCTATCTAAAACGCGAAATAACGGCTAAAATTAAGTATCTTGCATTACTTTAAAATAAAAATGTGACGTCCACTATCTCACCCCACCCCCTCGTCACAGTGTCTCAAAATTACGCCCCCCCCTCCTTCCCTAGTGTTTCTTCCAGACTTTTTTCTCCGGGGGTGCACTTGAAATTTTCGGGGGGGGGGGGGTATATATATATAAATTCCATTTCGTTCGAGGGGGGGGGGGACGGTAGACTTTTTTCGGGGGGGGGGGAGCGGTGCCCCCCCCCTCCCCCCCCCCCCGAAGAGATGCCTGGAAGAAACTCTGTCCTTCCCCCTTGGAGTAACTTTTAAAAAAAAAGATATAAGGGTCTATTGATTTAAGTTAATTCTCTCCCCTACTATCAAGTTTGTGAACTTGAAAAAAAAAATCTGAGGCATAATTTATGTTGGCTATATCTTAAACCTGTGGGCATAAACAATCCAGAGTAATAAATGAACGAACATTTCTAGTGGGACCCACAAGCAGTGACGTAGCGAGGTCGGGTGTCACCCGGTGCGGCACTTAATGGTGTCACCCCCCAGAGGCGCAGCGACCCTTCCCGGGGACAAATTTTCGATCTGCACACCCCCCCCCCCCCCTCAAACTTTCGATTTGCACCACCCCCTCAAACTTTCGATTTGCACTCCCCCCCCCCCCCTCAAACTTTCGATTTGCACCCCCCACTCAGTTCTCTATATATTTTGCTATTTTTTTGCCTTGGTGTCACCCCCCCCCTAATTGGTGTCACCCGGTGCGGTCCGCACCCCCGCTACGCCTCTGCCCACAAGCTAGTGGTGAGGCCAGACTAGTGGGACCCTCAGTCTAGGGCAACCATAAGAACAGTCTGTGCACTAGAACCCACTGGCTTGTGGGGGTCCTGTCTAGAAATTGAGACCCCCCCAGTCGGAAGTGGGGGTGAGGGGGGGGGGGCATGCTCATATCAGAAGAAACAGAACGTGGGTTTGAGGTGATCTGCATGCATTTTTTAAAAATGGAAACATTTTAATTAATTAAGTAGTCCTTTTTATAAGTAAGTAAATTATGTATTTGAAACTAAACTGTTAAAGGGAAGTAATAATTCCAAAACAAACGTCTAGCTATGCAATTTTAATACTTAAGAGTGTGAATCTCTTTCCATGTTGAGTTCTTAATTACAGTAACTCAAAGCACACCCTACAAGTAGGCCTATTGCAAAACACGAATCAACAAATTCAAAAAAATTATATTAAAATTCTTTATTTGTAAAATAGTTTTTATTGCAAGCACATTAAGACTACTCATATGAAATAAAATTGAGTCTTCTATTGTATCTCTAAAACTATTTATTTATCAATTCAACAAAGAATTTTTTTAAACCTCATTGTAAATGAGGGTCACAGACATTCTTAATTTAATGTTCTTATATTCGAACACATCCCAATCAGGCAGGTTCTATTGAGAGAATGTATACAGACAAAAATACCTGGCCATGATATTAATGAACATGAACACTTATAACTAATAATGGATCAACATTTTACAAACATTGTTACATTGTTGTGACTATTTCAGTTGTATCCAAATAAATGTATGGAATGAGAAGTACATTCTTGTTTTTTTTTTAAAAAAAAACACCTAATTCTTTGAACATTTTTTTAGCATATTGACTAAAACATGCCTTAAAAATCTTGAAGATTACCAAAAATTTTGATTAAAAAAGATTACTACTAAAAATATTTTTTTTCTACATTATCTCCCTTGTACACTCCCTTACATTTTTAAAAAAACATGCATCCAGTATCATTAAAGTCATACAGAAAATTGCTGAGTAAATGAAATTTGATACACATTTTGATCACATTTTTCATGAAAACAAATTAAGTATGATACAAAAAAACCTTGAACATAAAGTAACAAATTTACAACTCAAAACATAACTTACACCAATCTTTGTTATACAACTTGTTATAAAGACAGATTAATAACCGAGGTGGTTCATGCTCTGTTCCATATCATCACAGTCTACATATAGCAGTACAATTAATGTTTTATTATACCAACCATATGCAGGCTGAACATAAATTATAATCTATAATCAGATTTTGCCAAAGTCAAAAAAAAAAAAATACATTTCATAATTTGTAATAAAAAAAATGACAGGCAAGAAATCTTTAAAAAAGGATAAAGGAAATATAATTGAAGAATAAATTTAATCTGGATAAGTGAACATGTTTTTTTTAAAAATATATGAGGCTTTTAGCTGTGACACCCTTTACCAGAAAAACCTAAATGTTCAAAAACTAGTGCTGCTGATCTATCTATGCTGAATTTACAATAAGTTATTTATTTTTATATGTAGAAACATGTCACTAATTTACAAAACATTTTTAAGTAAACTCAATTATTATGATAACATATTTGGTATTTCGATAACTGTTAAGCTTCTGGAAAATAAATGAAACACTCAATATATATTTAAAATAATCATAAAATCACCATTTCATAACTTATTGGGCATGCATCATGCTCTTTAAAATCTTAATGACAAAGTCTATAACTTAGGAGTTTAATTGAAGACCTTAGTGCTGAAAGTACCTATGTAACAAAGTAAACATTTTGAAATAACAGTTTACAAATACACTATAGAAGTAAACATTTGATTTGATATGGTTCTGAAGCAGTAACAATAATATTGTTTTATTTGAGTTCAGGCTAACACATATCAAATTGTAAAAAAAAAATGAAACTTATCTGTAAATATTAAATACAGCATTAAATTATTGTGGTGGGGACAATATTTATATATACAATCTGAACAAAGTTAACAAAGTATTTATTGCAAACAAAAAAAAACAAATAAACTTTAAAAAAAAAAAACAATTCAGGAAACATAACTATGAAGAGAGTCAAAATTTAAGTAAGTAATTAAACGTATTATCCTAGTATATGTTAATACTAGAAATGAGCAGACATGTTCAAAACATACACATAAACAATCGGAAAGTCCAAAATCTACAAACACTACACAGCTACTAACCATCAAGTTCTACGCTACAATACTTGTGCACTATTCTGCTACACATTGCCTTGACCTTACAGTTCCAGTTTTTTAAATGCTCAAATCTATTCACAAATTAATACATCTCATCCCTACACAGCAATAAGCTTTTGAAAAGGCAAAATATAAATAAGTATTTATATAATTTTATAAATACTAACATACATCCAGTATGTACGTTTACATGTATATACTTGTACAAAACTCAAAATTAAACATTAAAACAAGTGCGAAAAAGCTAATGAAAGATACTTTAATAAAAAGCCTTCTTCACACGGAACTGAAACTTCCAAATCAACTCTGCATAGCAGGTTGTTCAAATTCTTAGTGTAGCTCACTCACAAAATTAATTGATTAACATTACATATTAATGAACATTACACCATATGATCACAATTTACTTCTTAAACAAACAACTTTAAAACAACCAACAAATAATAATAAATAATGGCAGATGTTTGTAAAATGTTTACAGATGCTTTCTGGTGCACTGTTTTGACTTGTTTAATACATTTGGTCACACATGTTTGCCTAGTCAGAAAGGAAGATTTTTTAAGAGTATTTATTAATAGCAGTGTAATTTTAAAATAAAAACTACAATTTAAAAAGAATTAATATTATCAATTTTTTTGAAAATTGGTACTCAGCTACTTCACTAAAAGTATATTTAATATTCATCAACACTGGGCAACAATAAATTAAAATAACATAAACAACATTGGGAATGGTAACTTTAACTGGCGTAAATTAGCTATTGTGGAAATGTAGGCTTAGCATTTGTGATTTCACCAGATGTTAAGCATCAAGTATCCATCAAGGGAAATAACTGTAGTGAAAGGACCCCTGGTTATTGGAAATGATTTAAGTTTATTGGATAAGCAAAATGATTTCCTGTTTAAAATATTTTTTTAAATGCAGGGGCAGCCTAAGTTATTGAACAATGTATGTTTTAAAAAAATAAATTGATAATTAAACTAAAAATAAATATCTCGACTAGATGTCTTCATTACCATGAACAATAATGCAAAAAGAAAATACATTACAACTTAAATTGTGGCTTAGCTTAACATCACGTTTTTAAGCATTTATAGTGGACTTTTCAATGCAGCATATAATTTCCTTTCAATGGCAGCTGAAAATTAATAACATGTCGTTAAATGCAAAAAAATTAAAAGCTTTCAAACATTTCTAAGCAACATGATATGCCAAGCATATTTCTCTTAATGAGAGATGTAGAATGGGAATGTGGCTATCATGAGTTTCAAAGCAGCACTTACAAACAGTTGTTCATTTAGCAGGATTGTGCACAATATAATCAAAATTACATCAAGGAAATTATGCTTTAGTAGAAACAAATCTTTAATAGTAAATAATCTTGATGGTGAATAGCCACAGTAGAAAATCTAAACAGGTATCCTATTGTGGTTATAGTGTTGACTGAACGTAAACTTCTTTTATTGGAGAGCATTAAAGAGGTTTATATGAACAATTCTAACATTAGTTGTCTTAACAATTATTGTTAAAAAACAAATATTGGAATGTGAATGAGTTCAAATAAAACTATTTGGTGGTACATTACTTTTAAAATACCTAGTCAAATATATATCCCAAATCAGAACTTTTAATAGTGAATTAATTTAAATTGATTTAAATAAACTTACTTCATGAATGTAATGAATGTAAGCATAAGACAATATTGCCTTGGTTTCTAATACATTTTTCAGTTTTTAGTATTTAAATATCAAAGTTTAATGACCGTTTATAAAAAAAATATCAGCACTATGGGTATATTCTTTTTGGTTGCAAATTATAAAAATATTAACATTTTCACCCTTCATCTTATGTGCAAAAATGTCATCAATACTGAATTAACAACAAAAAATATTTGTGGAAAACAAAAATTGTGTAAATAAAATGTGCACATAATTTTAAACACCGAATTACATATTTGTAGTATTGATGTCTCAGATTGGCTAAAATCAACATGAAAAAAACAACTCATTTAGCTACACAGCTAATATATGTACAACAAAATAAATAAATTACAATTTGTATACAAATATTCCTCTTATCGAACCACTCCAATCACATTAAGTTTGATAACAGTTACTTTAAGCATTTAGATAATCCATTTAAAAAAATAAAACTACAACCCTTAATTTAGCACATGAATCACTATAAGAAATACTAATACTGACTTCCTTAAATATTTTAACACAACTCACAATTTGTAGTCGTATGTTAACCCATTATAACTAAACTACAGGGGATGGTACGTGATCACATACATGCACATCTTCAGCATAACACAGCTTAAATTATGCAACGTCTAGTTCAAGTTCTTGTAGTGACTTCAGTTTACTTTGTTTAATAAAGTATAGACTGGGTCTTGCAGAATTTAGTTGAAAAGTATAGACTGGGTCTTGCAGCATTTAGTTGAAAAGTATAGACTGGGTCTTGCAGGATTTAGTTGAAAAGTATAGACTGGGTCCTGCAGCATTTAGTTGAAAAGTATAGACTGGGTCTTGAAGGATTTAGTTGAAAAGTATAGACTGGGTCTTGCAGAATTTAGTTGAAAAGTATAGACTCTGGGTCCTGGTTCCTCAGCTGGGCTATATGTCTCAGGACATCTTTCTTGGTGATGATACCCAGTAGACGACTGGAATAAAATGTGTTCAATAAAATATTATATACATGTATAGTTTCCTAAACAGGTGAGAGTGATTTCCCTTGGGTTTTGTGACTAACTTTTGGTGATTGACATCTACTGAATTAAGTTGTGTGTAAACAATGTGAGAGTGATTTCCCTTGGGTTTTGTGACTAACTTTTGGTGATTGACATCTACTGAATTAAGTTGTGTGTAAACAATGTGAGAGTGATTTCCCTTGGGTTTTGTGACTAACTTTTGGTGATAGACATCTTCTGCATTAAGTTATGTGTAAACAATGTGAGACTGATTTCACCTGGTTTTGGTGATTTAGCTTTCAAATATTAGTTTGTTTCTTTATTAGGTATTTTAGATTTAGATTTTGTAAATTAGAACATAAAAATGTGAGAGGATTGATAGAATACATCAGAATGAGTAAATATGAACAGGACTCACCCGTTGTGTGTGACCAGAGTTTGTCTGAGGCCAAGTTTTCTGAACATCTCTACCACAGTCTCCATGGGAGTCTGATCTGTGATGGTCACTGGGGCCTGCAAGAACATGGCAACATTACACTTTACTTCAGTTGGAAAACAAATAAAGCTGAGTCTTCTTCTTCGTTCTTAATTTTTAGTGTTGGAATGGATCCCCATCCAACACAATTAAGGATTACGTGTCAACTGGTTATGTGCCATTGAGGCCATTGACTCCGATTTCAGCCTGCTTTTCTTTGTAAATTTGCTTCCATAGCCTTTGTCCAACCAAGAACAAACTACAAGGCAGCAGTTGTTTGATTTTGGAGTTATCTCTCCTAGAAGAGCCTCATCTGCCCAAGGGTTGGAACTCTAGACTTTTCGGTTTAGCAAGCAATGAGCTATACTGACCCGACCACGCCAACCCCTAAGCTGAGTCTAATCAAAGAATTTGTATTTAAAACTGTCACGTAAACACATGTATGGGGTGCAGTTTTAACCAAATATCAGTCTTTGACTTACCATGTCTAAAATCTTCCTAAGCTTCAGAGGGGCAGGACCATTAGGGTTCACAGGGACATGCCCAGTGAAGTAGATGACCGAGTTGCTGACTATTCCTTCAGATGTTTTTCTGGCATTGGCTGGTTGTGAATGTTAAAACATTTTTTTTTTATTTTATAAGTGGATACGTTTTTTAAATTCAAACTTATAACAAAGAAATACTGCTTATTGTTATGTACAGGAGAAAAGAAAATTTTATGTAGTAAATGTTAAGTAAAAAAAAATTCTGAAGTATATAAGATTTGAGCTTAAAAATTATTACAAAATAACTAAAACTACAATAACTAGGCGAAATGGCAAAAAGCTAATTTATTAATTAATTTTGAAAGACTGACCAATGGCTAAGTTTAGATCTCTCCTCAAGACAAAGCCCACAAGATACTGGGATTCCTTGGACACAACCACAGGGAAGCCATTGTGCTCTGTGTTTCTCAACAAACTTTCTGCAAAGTAAACAGTCAAATAGTTAGAAAAATGTCATGATTTCTGTTATTTAAATGAAACACATGGTATAAAATGTCATTTTTTCCCTTTTATTTGACTGAAACATTTGGTACAAAATGTCATGATGTATGAGTTATTTAACAGAAACACTTGTTATAAAATGTAATGATTTATGAGTTATTTAACTGAAACACTTGGTATAAAATGTCATGATTTATGAGTTATTTAACTGAAACACTTGGTATACATGTCATAATTTATGAGTTATTTAACTGAAACACTTGGAATAAAAATGATATTTATGAATATTTTAATATTGTAAAGCAGAGATGATAAAAATTACTGTTTCTAATTAGCTAGTATGAAGAATCTAGTATATAAAATTTATATATAGCACAAATTCATATTGCACTGTATTATGAAAATCATCTATCAGTACCACTGAAGCCTACATCTATAGCTGTAGACATCTCTAATGCAGCTTCCTATGAGTGGTAAGAATAGAAATAATTGTTTTACCTGTCTCATCTACTGTCATTGAATCTTGTGTAATAACAGCTAGAGGGGGATCATTACGTCTGAAAGACATAAGCCAGTATTAACATAATGTTTAAATATATATATAAAACAGACTAGTATTTGTTTTAAACTGAAACAATAGTTCAGATGAATGTTAATTAGATAGTTATAGTCGTTAACTATTTTGAAAAATATTTAATTGAATATAGCTACAATTTTAAAAAATAAAATGAACTCTCTAATAATTATGTTTTGGTTGGTCAATTTTTTTTTATAATTATAAACAATTATTTTAAAAATGTCGATTGCATTCATGAAACAATACAATTAATAGCTACAAATACATCAATAAGTAATGTTATTTTTAAAAAAATCTCTAATTGAAGCGGGCTGCAAAGTGTTAATTTAAAAGAATTTGAAAATTAAAAATAAATCTTTGCTAGAGAGAATACAGAGAAGAATTGAAAAATTAATATATATATATAATTGTATATGTTTTTAAAACACCATTTCTGAAATTAAGTTTTTAATATAAATTAAAAATAAGTAAATCATGCATGGATGTGGGGATTTTTATAAAAATGCAACAGTGTCTTTGGTGGTTAGAGTGCTTGAACAATGTAAACTTTGCTTTAAGAAGAGTAACCAAAACTCATTGACTAAAACATAGACCTAGTAGTTATAGAAATAGCTAGGCATGAAATCCCAGAAAGCTAGTAAAAAATTAGATGTTTTAACAGTGATAAAATATTTACACAAAAAATAAGCACTTTTAAAAAAAGAACAAGGAAATGTATATCATGCTCTGAACAAATACACACAATTGACATTCTGAGTCAAGTAAAACAAAAAGTTTCGCCTTAAAAGAAAACATCTTAAAGTTTTACCTGCTTATATTTAGAAATGCTTAATATGATGTTAAAAATATTTCCATTTTTTTAACTTAATGTGACAAAACATACAACTTAAATCATCAGTATAGCAGCTGAAATGCTATCACACATTTTTTAAAATATTAAAACTATTACTTAAAATTTTTCTACATAGGCCTACAAATAAGTTAAGAACAAAGGTTCAAAATACTGAAATAGTTGCCAAGAATTAAAAAAGCTATTGTATTTTAAAAATATAATTGTTCATGTAACAACTATATGTATAAAAATTTAAAAAAAAAATTAATGATCAAAGCAAAAAGCTAAGTTTTAAATGCTTATAATTAAAATTTAAAAAATGCAAATTAAGGCAAATCAGCATTTTAAAAAAGCTAAGTGTTCTCATTTTACACTATGTCTAATATTGACTAATAAATTTTGTTTTGTTAAAAAGTTAAGCTCATATAAACGAAAAAAAAAATCTTCAGACTATAAATTTATTTTTATTTTTTGAAGCTATTACTTTATTAGTCTAATCACCATAAAGTTGGTCGAATTTCGTGTTGATGTACTTAAGGAGTATCATAAATCTTAACTATCTGATGCATGGTCTTCTTCAGTTTTTTTTTTTCTTAAAATTTATTCTCATGATAACATAATTTATCTCGCCCTAAACTTAATAAATATTAATTATTGTTTAAAAACCTGATTGTTTAGGAGTAAAATATCTGGTAACTTGGTGTTTAATGCCTCAGCCTAGTCTAAATAATCATATTTAATTTATCAATGGCTGGTTTTTCTTCATGATTTTGTAGTTGAATGTATAGGTTTTTCTAATGGTGGTTTAAAACACTGTAAATCTGCAAATGTTTTAATTAGTTTAAGACTCTAGTTTTACTATATTTTGTATTATGAAAATGAAACATTTAAATTAACCTAAAGGTCAAAACTAAATAGCTAATGAACACCAATTTTTAAAAGAGATTATCTATGCAGTTTAAATGGTAGGCCTATATTGGGTTATTTCTGATTTTATTTAAACACAACACACTTTTGGACTATATATATAGACTATGTATATACAAGCCTGCATATAATTATAAATACTATAGACTACACTATACAGTTTCTACAAAGCAACAATCATAACAGAACACCCTATTTGCATCAAACGGAGGATAATCAGCTTGACAGATCTTATTTTTTAACATCTTGTATGGATTTAGTTGTAAGCGTTTATAGAAAATTGAACAAGGAATAGGGGTTCAAACACTTACACTCCAGTTCCATAACGCCAGTAGCTACAGAGTTGGGTGTCAAAATGATAGCTCATTAGGAAGGTGGAGAACAGAACACTACAAAGCTTTGGTGTATAATGAGGTGAAGAATGGAACTCTAAACTAGGGAGAGTTCTATTTGTTTAATGGTTTGGATAGCAAAATAGAGGAAGGATGTAAACGCTTCTATATTTCTTTGGGGATTACTAGATGGATTTTTTTTAAAAATTTAAATTTCACCTTGATGAGTTTTAACTCTATGCCAGAAATATTTAACACATTCTAGCAACGTTTTTTTTTTATAAAAATCAACTAATAATGTTGATAAATAATAAATATAAAAGATGAACATAATTGTAAAATCCAAGCAGTTGAAATTCAGTAATTAGAGAAATCAATTAGTGATATATAAAATATAAAAGCAGTGATAAATGGTTCATTAAATATAAAGTTCAAATTGAATTCAAATTTATTTTATAAAGTTTGAAATAATTAAAATAAAATGGAACTAATAACTGAAGCAAGATGCAGAACAGGGTGACTGTATAATAACACTGCAAGGCTAGTTTCAAGTTAGGAAAATGTAAAATCAAATCAACAAGAAAAATGTGTAGGCAAAACCCAGAGATGTCTGAACACTGCCAACCTGAAACTTAAGCTGGAGATGAAAGAATGATTGGCTTGAGTGGACATAATCAGATTACAGCAGATGGTATTGGAAGTATAAAGACAAGGAGCAGAAGATTTTGTAGAATGAAAATGACATGGTACTTGTTAAATATGTAAAAAATATCTTGAAATTGACAAACAAAAATATTTTATAAAATATGAAGAATTTTAAATTTATAATGACAAATATTACGCTAAGGGTGATTTTTGAAGTATCCTCTTAATTACTTGAATGAATTAGAGAATGAATTTGATAAAGACATTTTAAGCCAAAGCACATTTATCAATTAGATGTTTAATAAAAGTAAAAACTAGAAAAAAAAATGATTTCAAATGAAAAGAGCTGCATTCGGTCAAATAGTTTGGACACTTTTGCTTAGCCAGGAAAATAAAAGAAATTAAAAATAATTTTCTCAGCGACTTATTGTTGAGATTAGTTTAATTTTTTTCTTGGTAAAAAAATACAAGTAATTCTTACCGTGGTCTCATGACGTCTGCTGCTATTGTTGTATGGGTGAACTCCTCCTTGTGATCAAGATATGGGTAGCCATTTAGCGATATGTGTGCGTCATAGCTTGTTCTTTGTTAAGAATTTTAAAAATAATTTGTGCTGGATGCTGTATATTCCCTATAGTATACTAAGCATACACCAAAATGGGTTTTTAATAACAGCAAACTGTCATTTGAAGTGATGAATAGAAAAAAAAGTTAAAGTTGACAATTGTACCAACATTTCTTGGAGACTATTATAAACCCATTTTGACAATAATTTTGTGTGTGGGTAAACTTGTTATATGGTGATGTGCTGCTTCCACATACGCTGGACATGAAAGGATACATACTCTCCCTCCCCAGGGCATCACCAACCCACTTGCTGGTCATAGCTGCAGCCATCATAGGGACAATGTACTCCAGACCACCGGTCAGCTCAAACATGATGACCACTAGAGAGACTGGAAACACAGAAAATAATTCAAACATGATGACCACTAGAGAGACTGGAGAAACAGAAAAAAATTCAAACATGATGACCACTAGAGAGACTAGAAAAACAGAAAATAATTCAAACATGATGACCACTAGAGAGACTGGAGAAACAGAAAATAATTCAAACATGATGACCACTAGAGAGACTGGAGAAACAGAAAATAATTCAAACATGATGACCACTAAAGCGACTAGAAAAACAAACAGAAACTAATTTTAAAATGATGACCACTAGAGAGACTGGAAAAACAGAAAATAATTCAAACATGACCACTAGAGAGACTGGAGAAATGGATTTTGAAAAAAATTTTTATAATCAGTGAGGAATTCTTTAAAAGCAAAACAATTTGCAAAAAACTTTAAATCGATATTATTTATATTGTAGACCTAAATAAATTTACTTAACTTCAATTAACAAATGTATTGAAATTGTAAATGAACACTTTAAATATGTAACATAAAAAAATGTAAGTAGTTCTGGCAGATGAAACCGAGTCATCCAAAGAAATCAATTTGATAAAACTGATTTATTAAGTTTTCAAATTAGTTCCATCACATGGTTTAAATCAGGGGTCTCCAAACTACGGCCCGCGGGCCGGATGCGGTCCGCGATGTCCTCTCATCCGGCCCGCGGAGATCTTTTTGTCCACGGAAAAACCGTTTGTTGGTGATGGCTGAGGAACTTTGCACACAAAAATCAAAGACATGCCTGGAAGAAACTGGCCCCCGAACTGAAATTTGATAGTTAATGCGGCCCTCGAACTGAAAAGTTTGGAGACCTCTGGTTTAAATCATAAGAAAAACAGGTCAAAAGCTGCCAGTCATGTAATGAAAGAATCAAACAAGTGCCTAAAGTTACCTGTCATACGTGTGACACCACCCAATGCAGCAGCAGCCCCTACCATGGCGTACAGTCCAGGTGTGATGATGCACTTGTCAGGTGACTCACAGATGTTGGAGAAGAAGACGCTCCCTGAGTTGGTCCTAACAGGTAAAGAGTTATAGACAGTGGAAGAGCAGTTCATAAATATAAAGGCCAGAACAGTCACTAAGCCATTGTGTGTGTTTAAGATAATAACACTAGCAACTTTAACAAATGCAGAAATACTTTGTTTCCTTATATAAAATGTTATATATAGAACATTAGAAATTTCAAAATATTTTAAGTTATTTTAGTAAAGGCCACTTCATCATGTACAACACTGTAAAGACTATGAAAATTCATTTCAATTAACTAATATATCATTTTTGTCTAAACAGATATGAAGGAATCTAAAAATAGTTTATGATATGAGGTCACTCAGTTATTCTTGACAAAAAGAGACTTGAATGTTAATGAAAACTACACAGCCGATGTTATTAAATGATCTTTTTTCAATAAGAATTTACTAAAAAGTTATACTTCAATAATTTTAATTAAACATTTCTATGGGGATCAATGTTTTCTCTAAGCTGTGCAGCCATGTAATAGTTTTGATCAAAATACTAATTAACATCTTAGTAGCTCCCTTGGCCATTTTTGTGTAGATAAGAAATCAACCTACACAACCAGCTGTTCCACACCTATTCCAATGATTCTGCCGATGATGGCACCTACTGCCATACTGGGGATGAACAGACCTGATGGAATCTAAACAAAACATAAAATACATTATTTTTAACAGATGAACTAAAAATAGAAGAGTCTTTCATTGAGAGAATGCACATGTATAATTAGTTGGATATAGTTGAGATGCCCTTAAAATAAACTAGATTGGCCCTAATATCTTAAGAATTTTATTTAATCCTTGTTACTAGTGTAGATTGATTAAAATTTAAAACAAGAAACCTAAGTTAAATTTGCTACAAAAATTTTTTTTAATGAAGTCAAAATATTGCTAAGGATTAAATTAATGAAGAATGTAAACAGAGTTTAGATGTCTAATGATTAATAAATCAACGTAAATAATGTAATAAATTAGTTTTTTTTTTTTTTTTGCTGTTGTTAAAGTGTGTTGTACTTAAAATGATGACAAACAAACCTTGATGCCAAAAGTGAAAATGGTGATAATCATTTTAAAAATAAGTGCCAGAGTCAGTTTCCACACGGCACTGCCTACACCACTAGAAGATAAGGCTGACCACTTGTATGGGTCAGTCATGTTGGCCTTACGAGCATAGTCACTAAAATTTGAAAAACAAAAATATTTTCAGGCATTTTAATTTAAAGAAAAATCAAACAGTAAAATGAAAATATTGCTGAGAAGAAAAAAAAGAAAAATAATTGTTAAGGGATTGTCCATAAACAACTTCATAACTTTATTGACTAATTTTTACCTCCCTCATTCCCCAACAAAATAAAAAGTCAGACCATCACCTAAATTTAGTACTTTTTTTATTTTTTGAAATAGCCTATAATGATCCATCTTAATTACAATTTTAAAGTAGTTTAAAAATGAAAAAAAAAAACTGTTAGAATCCAGCATCTAATAATTTTTTAAATTCAAAAGTGTGGAGTCACTCTTTTGGAACCTCATCAGCTGATGAGAGCTTAAGAGGAACAGGTGTAAAACTGATGCTGTAAACATAAAATAACTCTACATCATATGCCACAGCTGATAAAAACTTAAGAGGAACAGGTGTAAAACTGATGCTGTAAACATACCATAACTCTACATCATCTTCTGGGCCACAGCGGCTCACTAGGAGCCGGATGAGCTCACTTGAATTCATCCGAGTGTAAGGGTTTGGGTAGCTGAGCAGGGCAGTGATGAACACAATACCAACTACCTGTAGAGGAAAATATTTTAACCCTCAATTTACTGTAGGCTACAATACCAACTACCTGTAGAGAAAAGGATTTTAACCCTCAATTTACTGTAGGCTACAATACCAACTACCTGTAGAGAAAAGGATTTTAACCCTCAATTTACTGTAGGCTACAATACCAACTACCTGTAGAGGAAAGTATTTTAACCCTTTATTTACTGTAGGCTACAATACCAACTACCTGTAGAGGAAAGTATTTTAACCCTCAATTTACTGTAGGCTACAATACCAACTACCTATAGAGGAAAGTATTTTAACCCTCAATTTACTGTAGGCTACAATACCAACTACGGGTAGTGAAATAGAGAAAAGTATTTTAACCCTCAATTTACTGTAGGCTACAATATCAACAACCTGTAGAGTAAAATATTTTAACCCTTGATTTACTGTAGATTACAATACCAACTACCTGTAGAGTAAAATATTTTAACCCTCGATTTACTGTAGGCTACAATACCAACTACCTGTAGAGTAAAATATTTTAACCCTTGATTTACTGTAGATTACAATACCAACTACCTGTAGAGTAAAATATTTTAACCCTCAATTTACTGTAGGCTACAATACCAACTACCTGTAGAGGAAAGTATTTTAACCCTCAATTTACTGTAGGCTACCATCTAATCCAATAACTGTTCACTTTAAAATTAACATTACATAAGATTTCTTATATTCAGCTATTACTGTTATATTATACAACATTTTACCCCTTTTATTAACATCTATACTCATTTATGTAAATATCAAGAGTAGATCATAAACATCTTACCTCAAAAATGGGATAGTTTCCAAGTCTGGAATTTTTCCTATATCTGCACCACATTATGTTGAATTTTATGAAAAATTTACCAAAACAACCCTGAAAAAATAAAAAGGAAGTTTTGAGAAATTTATCTAAAACTTCGCTATTATGAATTATCCAGTTCAAAATTTTTTTTATTAAAACTGAGAAAATAATTCATTTGTAACTTAAATTTTATAATGAAAAAAATAACATAACCAAGAATAGACACATATTTCCATCTTTGAAACTGTTTAGCAATTGTTCATTTAATTTAACTAATCTTAATAATTTCAAATTGGATCAATGCTTAACGTCATTAAAACATATTTATTCTTTTTCCATTCTGAGGTTATAATATTTAAATAACTAAAATATTGCAGTGTTATAGGTTTTTCATTACTGGACAAGTTTTAAAAAAAATTGTTTTAATATTCATAGAATAAATTAGTCAAACAAAACTCACCAAATAATAAATTAGTCAAACAAAACTCACCAAATAATTCAGTCAAACAAAACTCACCAAATAATAATTTAGTCAAACAAAACTCACCAAATAATAAATTAGTCTAACAAAGCTCACCAAATAATTTAGTGAAAAACAAATTTCACCCAATAATAAATTAGTCAAACAAACTCACCCCTAAAGCGCCTATGAGTATGAATGGGATCAGCTCTTGCAGGGACCACGGCTCATTATAATCTATAGAAAACATCACCAGGTGGTCGTTACCAAATGGGTTGATGGATCTGAGAACAAAGGCCGCAATGAGGGCACAGAAGAAAGACCTCCAGAGTGTCTTCAATGGGAAGTAGTAGCTCACCTGGAATAGAACAATGGATGTATGTCTATACCATATACAATCATTGCATGGTACTTGGGTCTTTTTAAAGAGAGATATTAGGTAACTGGAAGTAAATTAAAAATTCTTCATATATTTTGATAACGACTAAGTTATCTTGAAACCCATCCCTAGTTTAAGCATAAAGCACTAACCCTAATTTTTTCCATAGCACTAACTCAGAAATTACAATACTACTAAAAAATAAAATCTATTGAAGTCTTATTAAAATACACTGTAGTAAGAATACTCCTTAAAATATTGTTTAGTGTACAGAAACTGCTCATGAATTCTAATTGCAAAAAGAGTTTTACACAAGGGAAACAATACTAGACATATACCAACCTCCTCTAAGCTGAAGAGAACCCCACCTATTGGAGCACCAAAAGCCACACTCACACCTGCAGCAGCGGCTGCTGACAGAATCTGCAAGATAACAATTTAAATAACATAAACATTCCTCTTAAGATGCATTGGGCAGTTGAAGTAGAGTTCACATGTTTCTTCACCTCGCCATATGAAGGAACGTTGTGGCCAGCACTATGCTCACATGGATAATTTAAAAAATAATACAGTTATTCATCATTAATATAAGTTAACAATAATATCAAAACTAAGCCAAATTTAATGTACATTGATTATAACACACCAAGCTTGTCATAAATACAGCAATTTAAATATCAAAGAAACAGAATACATTGTGACTTTAAAACAAGTAATTAAAAAAAGTCTAGTGACAATTTTAGCGCAATTTCCTTATGTTATCTAAAAATAGCTCTGTCATAGCGTAAATCAAGAGCAGGGTTAGTAAAACCATTGGTATTTTACATGTTTTTATTTACAATAGAGTTACATGACTAAAAACCATTGCGCGCCTAGCTACCGAACGTGATGTCGCAGCCACTGAACGTGATGGCGCAGCTATTGAACGTGATGACGCGTGTGGTGTGGTTGGAAAAACATGCCTACTAATTCGGTCCAAATTTTAATTAATTCAAAAAAATGTTTGTGACCGAACGAAAGGATATTTTTGAAAACTTTCTTCGGCAATATTGTTCTAAATTATGGCAGGAATCGATTGGTACATGTTTCAAGTCGCTAAGTGGTCTGGTTGCCGAGATATGGGCCAAAAACTGAATTTTTTTTGAGGTTTTTTGGCTTTTTCAGGAAATCCATGAAAGAAACCCGGAATTTTTATGGCCTATGTTCATCCTCGTAACTTGCTTAACATAATTGCTTTTGTAACTAGTCATTGATATTGCTTCGTTGAGGAGGAGATAAGACTTAAAGCCCGGACACACATTCATACATCCATCCATCCATACATTCCCAGAAATGACGAGTTAATAAACGGAGACTGGAAATTGCGCTAAAAAATCTTAATTTTTTGTAATAAACAGCCACATATTGTTATCATGCTGAAGCAATCCTCCAGAAAGTCTTATAAAAGATAATAAAATAAAATTAATTTACATATTGACCTATGCTTGACAATTTAACTAAGACAATCACATTATTTAATACACTACTGCTGCCAGTAGATGTTATGTAAAGCATTGAGTAACACATAGATCTTTAATATCTAAAAACCAATTTGGATAATAGGCCTACTAAATTTATTTCATTTAGAAAGTATAAGATTTACTAAGAAAAAAAACAACTATATAAACTTACCTCCCTTTTCTTGGCTTCATTTCGACCATACTTTGGGAACAAGTAGGAGAAAATGTTACCACAGCAACATGCCACGTGGACAAATGGACCTTCTTTACCCAGGCTGAGACCTGCTGCCACAGACAGCATCATACCTAGGGACTTGATCAACAATGTCCACTTGCCCAGGTAGCCTCGGATGATGAAGCCACTGAGTATTGTTTTTATCTAAAATGATGAACAAAAGTTATAGTTATACTTTTAATAATAAATCTCAGGCAAAAATATTGTTTTAACGGTAAATGTGTTGAAAAGTTATTGTAATCTGAAATAAATAATTTTAAAATACAGTTTCAATTTGCTTTGTTTTTTTTTAAACACAATTTGTTATAATTAATTAATAGAATCATAGCCTACATTAAATTGTAGCATGAAATAATGAAGAACTTTTACTCAGATATTCAGTTTATAGAAATTTCTGTTTAAGTCATAATTTATACATTATTTCAAACTTTAAAAAGAAAAAATCTTATTAAAATGAACATTAATTATTTTAAATGAGATTACAGTAAATGTAATCAATAAAAACACTTCAGTGTTTCCAATAAAAAATTTGCCATAAAATATTTATAAAAGCTGATTAAATTTATCACTGCCGCCCACCTCAGGAATACCAGAGCCACATGCGTACGGTGCAAACATCCGCACCATCAGGGCCGCCAGCACCCCAAACAACAGCGCCCACAGTATATAAAAGATGTAGCCAATGATGTAGGAGCCAGCTCCACCTGGTCCCCCACCCATCATGCGTCCCCACGAGTACCACTGGTTAAAAAATATTCATTAAAAAATTAGAACAGGAAAAAATAAATTCCATTTCATACACTTTTATAAGGTAATTTTTTTTTTACTGTTTTCAATATCATGTGATGCAAATATATTAAAACATCATAGGCCTATTTAGAAAAGAAATTTTTTTTTTACAAATTGAAGTTTCATTTTCATAGGTTATCAGTAAAGTGACTAAATCTATGCAATTTCAAAAATATTTGAAGGCCTTCCCTTTTTAAAACATAATTATAAAAATAATAGACTATATTATTAATTATTAAAATAACTGATGTAACAAATATTGACCTCTAAAAACCTCTATAATATCTATATTCAAATTGTATTACTATGGCCAACTATTTTATAGTTTAAAATTTAAATCTGTTACAATAATTTCGTTATTATACCATAAAGCCTAACACACATTCTGCACAAATTGAAAACAATGTTTTATATAAATCTAGATAATTTTTTTGTTTTACACATTAAAAGAGTGATTCAATAGGTCAAAGTCACCTGATCACAACCGTCATAATCGTTAAAGGAGGTCGAGTTGAGGCTGGGTCCACTCCAGCAGCACTGCTCCCTGTTGAACCAGAAGGCCTCCAGACACACGCCTTCCTTCAGGTCGGACATCCAGGAGGTGCCAATATCAATCAGGCCGGCACAGGTTCCTGGGGGGCGGGAGAAGAATGGTTGGGGTGTCGTCAAATATAATCTCTATAGTTTGATTTTATTTGGACTGAGGCAGACTAGACATTAATGAAAACTTTGTAGGCGTACAAATAGGAAATGTTTTTCAGGTATTTCTCAAGAGGGGGGTGGGGGTGGGGGAGCACGACCACACGACCCCCCACCCCCCCCCCCCCCCCACCGAACAAAAATTGGAAAATACAATAATTCATAAAGAAAATAAACGCTTTACTCAGTGTGTGCCCCCCCCCCTCAACAAAAATGTCTGAAAGAAACCCTACATTTATTTTAAAAAGCCAAGCACTGACTATTGTAAAAAAATGTGGAGTTTCTAGCAGTGTTTCTTCCAGACTTTTTTCTCCGGGGAGGGCACTTGAAATTTTTACGGGGTGGGGGGGGGCGGTAGACTTTCTTCGGGGGGGGGGGGGCGGACACTGAAAAGTATATATTTTCTATATAAATTATATAAATTTCATTTCGTTCTGGGGGGGGGGGGGGGCGGTAAAAAATTTTCGGGGGGGCTTCGACCCCCCCCCCCCCGCCCCCATTACCCAACTAACCACAACTCTACCAAAACCTCTACACTAATCCTATTCACGTAGTTGAGTATCCTACGCCTGAAGAATTCTTCCCATAAAACCAGTCAAAACTAATTTTTACGAAAACAACAACACAAAAGGGCTTAGGTCTTTATTCAAAGCAACAAAAAGCTGAGATTAATGGAGGCTGCCTATTGGACACAGAGTAGCTTCCCCTTTTCCACTTTGATTAAAGCTACAAAACATGGGCCGAGAGTTTGTGTTGTTTTAGTGGTGAGTAGAATATTGGATGAGGGTTACACAAATCTGGCTAACGGATACCAGACAGCGAGCAGAAATTATCTTAAACCTACATTGAAATAAAAAAACAAGGGTTTCTTTCTGACATGGTCGATATGCACCAAAGGGAAGTCGGTTAGAGTTTATTTTAGGCATCTCTCAGGTGGGGGGGGGGGGTGCGACCTGGAACAATTTTTAAAATTAAAATATTTAAGCAGTGTGCCCTTCCCCCTTCGTAAATTCAAGTGCCCCTGGAGGGAGAAAAAAATGCCTAAAAGAAACACTGGAGTGGGTGCATTATGTTATAATTTTTAAAATTATAAGCAAGTACTGCCAATTTCTTTTGTATTCAAGCAATCCCAGAATATATATATGCCTTCACGCCTTAATGACAAAAAAATATGTTCTGATGTTTGTGAAATTTAGATACAGATGCAACATAATCCAAGATCCTCAACTTATTTCCAACAATTCAACTACCTCACCTACACGGATAATTAGCGGTGGCAGGACATCCCCCCCCCACAACAAATTACCCCGTCATTACCCCGGATAATTACCCCTTCCCCGGTTATATAGAAGTAGAGATAGGTATAGGTAAAGTTATGCCTAAGGTCAGGGATGTTGATAGGGTTGAGTTTAAGGTTAGGGTTAATGTTAGAGATAGGGATAAAGTTAGGGATGTTGATGGGGATATGAATATACCGTATCCCACCTCACCCCCAACTAAAGCATCACCCGTTCGCCTACAAAAATCAACAACAACTGCCCTGCTCTATACTCTCCTCCTCCACCGGCAGAGAAAGAGCTATTCATCAAACTTAGCTACATCAAAAAAACAAAAAAAAAAGTTTATTTTTCACATCTCGGCAACCACGGAAAAAATCAATATCAAGAAACTCCAAAGTTATTGCAGAGACAACCGTGCTGGGCGTGGTGAAATTATTAGGCATCGGTCGTCTTCCCCCACCCCCTCCAATCTAGACGCACGAGTGCTTGTTGTATTGATTTTCTGTTCAATTAAAATCCGGGCAACTCGTTTAAAATTATTACATTTTATAATGAGATAGATACTAAAACATAACGGTTGGGATTAGACAATCAAGAAGCCTCATTTGCCCGAGCGTTTCGAACTCGAGACTTTTCGGTTTAGCAATCATGAGCTTTACCGAAACCCTAACAGTTGGCTCAACTAATCGTAGGGCTGGTTACTATAAATATATGGACCTATTCAGGGGCGTAGCGAGGGGGGGGGGGGCGGGGGGTGCGGACCGCACCGGGTGACACCATTTAGGGGGGTGACACCAAGGCAAAAAATAGCAAAATATATAGAGAAAAACTTGAGGGGGGATGTAAATCGAAAGTTTGCGTGGGGGGGGGGGGGGTGCAAATCGAAAACTTGAGGGGGGTGCAAATCGAAAGTTTGAGGGGGGGGGGTGCAAATCGAAAACTTGAAAGTTTGTCCCCGGGAAGGGTCGCCTCTGGGGGGGTGACACCATTAAGTGCCGCACCGCGTGACACCCGACCTCGCTACGCCACTGGACCTATTCAATAAACTCAACACGAGCTGATGTTCATGTTTGACTTCTTTCAAGGACTCAATACTAAAGTTAAGTGAAATATATCTCTAAATGTAGAGCTTCGGGGCTATTACATTCTTTGTATAAGCTCATTGGAGATGACGTAAATGTTTTGCTTCTAAGTAAAAATAAAAAAGTTATTTATAAACGTGTGTGTATTGGGCCGGGGGGGGGGGGGTGTAAGGGATGGCAATCAACAAGAATAATTGAAGTTTTTACACGGGGCATAGAATTATTTGAAGTCAATGTTAATGTAAATTGGACCTGCGGTTATAAGGAAAATCTCTTCACAATGGACCTGTGTCGGAAAAAAACCGAGCTTTAGTTTATTTGTGTTTGGTGTTATGGCGGTGGTTATTTTGCATTAGTTTTCTTTTGTTAGACGGTGTTTTGTGTACTGATTGTTTTCGTACAGTAGTTGGTTCACACTGGACGGTGTTTAGCACAGTGAATGTTTTCGTACAGTAGTTGGTTCACACGTTGTGTTTTCTGGACGATATTTAATGCAGTGGTTGCTTTTTTTTGTACGGTATTTAGTGCATTCAAACAACTATGAGACCAAACTACACATACAGGCTTAGATAACCCTTGTTTTCAATTTAGCACTTAAATGACTTGTACTTTTCCGTACAGCTTGAAGCTAATAAAACAACAGATACTGTTATATTTAAATAAGGCTTTAGGCCCAGAAATATAATTGCTAATCGTTGATGTCGACTTGTTGACATAGAAAATGTGAAAAATGTGAAGCATCAGACATTGAAATAAAAGACCCACCTGCCGCCACCCCCCCCCCCCAGGACACAGACCCAGCCCAACCAGACATTGAAATAAAAGACCCACCTGCCGCCACCCCCACCAGTAGGACACAGACCCAGCCCGACCAGGCGTCATGGGCGCCCTTGACCTGCTCCCAGCATCCCTCTTGGCGTTTCTTGACAATGTGCCGGTGCCGCATCCGGTCCCTGGCAACGTCTCGGAGCCAGTCGATGGTGTGAAAGTCATCATACTGACCGATGCCGGGCGGGAGGTCATCCAGCGTTTCCATGATGTTACTGGACCCTGTGGATGTAAACATTACACGTGGATGACTAAAGTAGAGTGCTAAATGATAGGTACCACAAGACGTAACCTTGACCTCACGATGTAACATTGGCACCAAGGACGTAACATTGTTTCTACAGACGTAACATTGGCCCGGAGGCGTAAACTTGGCCCCAAGGCGTAACCTTAGTCCCAAGGGCGTAACCTTAGTTCCAAGGATGTAACTTTGGTTCCAAGGACGTAACATTGGCTTGGTCCCGAGGCTTAACCTTGGCCTCACGATGTGACCTTGGCCCCAGGAACGTAACCCTGCCCCAAGACGTAACCTTAGCCCCAATGATGTAACCTAATACCAAAATACGTAACCTTGGTACCTTGGTAACGTAACCTTGACCCCATGACGTAAGCTTGTCCTCATGATGTAACCTTTAACTCATTTCGTAACACTGGCCTCAATATGTAACCTCGGCCATTTTCCCCATTGCTTAACCTAACCCTAAGGGTAATCTCGCTCCGATATAACCTTTCTCCAGATATAACCTTTCTCCAGATATAACCTTGCCCCAAAATATAAGTCGTTCATGGTATGGAGGCCTACCTGGTACAGACTTAAACTTTCCTCAAGATCAAAATGTAAACTTGCCCAAATACTTATATATTCAAAGTTATTATATTGTGATTGCCATATACAATGAAAACAGATTATAGTTGAGCAAAAAAAACAAAACAACAGAAAGCGTATAGATATATTAAGGGTTCAAAGCCTCGTTCGGAACCCACCTGACCAACAAGAACCATAATGGAAGGACAGGTCAGAAGACGCTGAAAGGTCAGAGGTCGACCAGTGACGTCGTATGTCAAGTCTGCCCTGGGAATTCATCGATGAAGTGGAATGGAATACCGAAACCAATCAATCATACCCACACATTGATCCCACCCACAGACACGGTGGAGAAAATTGATAGAATATCAAACATTGGGTGTTTATTTATAGAAATGCTTTACTGGAAAGTGGACCATGCGAGAAATTGTGGGGGTTATCGATGCGATTGGTTTTTGTTGAAATCGGTCGGGCTGTCTCAATGGCTATGAAGGATGTATTGTGGGTATCTGTATAAGGGGGTAGTACTTAGTAGATGTGAGGTGGCGTGAGAAATAAAAAGTGTGTGGGTGTGTGGGAATGGGGGGGGGGTGGGAAAAAACAATAATCTAGCTTAATTTATTTTCATTTTGCAGCTATTTATATGTTGCCTACATGTAAGTAAATAGTCTTTTTACTTTCTCGTATATACGAAGTATAGAGAAAGTATTGTAATCGTGCAAAAAAAAAAAAATCGAGATTTTTGCAAATCTCGACGTTTTACATCTCACTGATACGGAAAAACATAATTTTGCAATCTTGTCCGTATGTCTGTGTGTCTGTGTGTGTGTGTCCGTGTGTAAACACGATAACTTGAGTACCGTTACAGCTAGGTTGATGAAATTTCATATACAAGTATTTTATCAAAATCGTAGATCCGTATCAACTTTTGAGCGATTTCGGATAACCGGAAGTGGTACTTTTTCTACTTTGAATTTTTCAAAAGCCTATAACTTGAGTACTATTTCAGATAGATAAATGAAATTTGATATGTAAGTAAAAGATCTAATTCTCTACCATCTGTCAAATTTTGAGAATTTTTCGTTGACCGAAAGTACTTATTTACGCTACTTCCGATTTCTCAAAAAACTAATGTAAATTTTAAAAGTACTAATAATATTGCGCACTATTATGCGCTTTTTTATTCGCGTTCACTTGGTGTGCAATTAATTTGTCTACGAGATTTTATTCTATTTTTAAAACTTTAAGTATTTAAAATGGATTAAAAATCATGTCTATAGCCCGAGTTTCCATCCCCTGTTATTTTATATAAGAATATTCGAGAAAGTTTAGGGGAGATCACTCCCGGTTTATTTAACTTAAAAACATAAAAAATATATGCCAAGTTTTGAAATAGTGCCTTTTTTAGTTTTACGGTTTAGGCCCAAAATGTTATGGGTAATAAATAGGCTAAGGTAGTTTTAAAGTAATACAAAGGACATGGATCAAACATTATGGACATGCATATGTGTAAAAAAAAAAACGTTCGTCCAATATTTCTGCCTGGGAATTCTGGCACTCTCATAGAAATATGTGACCAATAACGGACTCACGGACCCAGCGATAGGGCCCCTGAAGGGTCAACCAAATCTCACCTTTACACTGAGAAGATTAGGATCCTTTCACAATTAAACGCGTTCGGACCAAGTGACGCAATATTCGACGTGTTAAGGGTGTTATAATCATCCACGCTCATATTATTATAGCATATTATAAACAGTTGCATCAGATATTCTATTGGCTCAGCTCTAGAAATAAAGCCAGCAAGACATTAATCCATATCAATTACTACCTTGTGGATTACTCCCAGTACAAACCTGTTGATTAGAAACTGACCTGAATCCTAAAACTAAACCTAACCCGAAGGTAATGTTAGGGTTCGGGATAGGGCTAATGTTAGGGTTCGGGTTAGGTCTAATGTTAGGGTTCGGGATAGGTCTAATGTTAGGGTTCGGGCTAGGTCTAATGTTAGGGTTCGGGATAGGGCTAATGTTAGGGTTCGGGTTAGGTCTAATGTTAGGGTTCGGGATAGGTCTAATGTTAGGGTTCGGGCTAGGTCTAATGTTAGGGTTCGGGATAGGGCTAATGTAAGGGTTCGGGCTAGAGCTAATGTTAGGATTTGGGCTAGGGCTAATGTTAGGGTTCGGGCTAGGTCTAATGTTAGGGTTCGGGCTTGGGCTAATGTTAGGGTTCGGGATAGGGCTAATGTTAGGGTTCGAGCTAGGGCTAATGTTAGGATTCGGGCTAGGGCTAATGTTAGGGTTCGGGCTAGGTCTAATGTTAGGGTTCGGGCTAGGGCTAATGTTAGGATTCGGGCTAGGGCTAATGTTAGGGTTCGGGCTAGGTCTAATGTTAGGGTTCGGGCTAGGGCTAATGTTAGGGTTCGAACCTCCAGGTTCGAAAAGGTAACTTACTTATTTTTAAAGTTTTAAGGTAGATCATAATAGTATTCTTGTTAACATAAATAAAATCGACCCCCTTTCCTCCAATTTTGACCTTACAGAGGTTTTGCTGGTGATATATTCAAATATACCCATGATACACAATATAAAAAAGCCGGAGCTACAAAAACACTATTTAAAAAACCCTTCACACCTAACTAACGGCTGTTTTCTGAGTATAACAATCCCTAAGTCAACAACAGTGGTCACCCTGTTGACCGACAGAACACTGAGCCTGCTTGACCTATGAACTTCCATGGCATTATGCGAGTTATTTAAAGTCCCAGAAGACTTGTCGCTCCCCATTACTGCAATGTTCGGGACAAAATGAATGGGTAGGGGCCTATACTTTACGGGTGTTGGTAAAAAATGTAGTCTGGACGGATTGGCTTATTTATCATTGTTAAAGATTATTTTAATGAATAATCTTAAGTGTCGTTGATGATCCATAATCGGATCTGACCTTTCGGTGTGTGTGTTGGGGGGGGGGGGGGAAGGGTGGGGGGGGGGGAAGGGGGTGTTACAATGTAAAAAAAACAATCTAGCTTAATTTTTAAATAATTTTGCAGCATTTTATATGTTAAAACATACATATAATAAACCGGGAGTGATCTCCCCTAAACTTTCTCGAATATTCTTATATAAAATAACAGGGGATGGGAACTCGGGCTATAGACATGATTTTAAATCCATTTTAAATACTTAAAGTTTTAAAAATAGAATAAAATCTCGTAGACAAATTAATTGCACACCAAGTGAACGCCAAATAAAAAAGCGCATAATAGTGCGCAATATTATTAGTACTTTTAAAATTTACATTAGTTTTTTGAGAAATCGGAAGTAGCATAAATTACTACTTCCAGTCAACGGAAATTACTCAAAATTTTACAGAAGGTAGAGAATTAGATCTTTTACTTACATGTGAAATTTCATTTATCTATCTGAAATAGTACTCAAGTTATAGGCTTTTGAAAAATTCAAAGTAGAAAAAGTACCACTTCCGGTTATCGGAAATCACTCAAAAGTTGAACAGGATCTACGATTTTGATAAAATACTTATATATGAAATTTCATCAACCTAGCTGTAACGGTACTCAAGTTATCGTGTTTACACACATAGACACACAGACAGACAGACAGACATACGGACAAGATTGCAAAATTATGTTTTTCCGTATCAGTGAGATGTAAAACGTCGAGATCTGTAAAAATCTCGATTTTTTTTTTGCACGATTACAATACTTTCTCTATACTTCGTATATACGAGAAAGTAAAAATGGATAGTCTTTTTTTTTAAACTTAACAGCATATATTTATATATGAAAATATAAGCCGATTTTTGAAATAGTCCATTTATGATGTGATTTTTTATTTTACGGTAGGATCTCTTTAGGCCCGTGAATATTTCTATGGTAGAGGTATGGGATAAATTTCCCATAAGCCACTTCCTTGATTTGATCAAGATCGTTCTTTAATATGAAAGAAAAGAAAATGTTAAAAAAAAAACTACCTGAAACAACAATCGAGGACTCAACATCCTCCGTTTTCGCCGTTTTGGTAGTTTCATTTCCGTTGGCCGTGATGACGTCATCGAACTCAGAATCATCCAGGCGCGCGAATTTTTTAAACTTGTTTTTCAAGTTGGGCAGAACCTGCAAGTACTCCTGATCCACGATACTAGCCATCGTACAACTAACCTCCTCGCTGATTGGTCGACAGAATCAAAACACGGGCCGCTAGAGCCAATCACAGAGGCGGACACATAAATGTTGGAAACCGCGGCGGATGTCCATGCAAGTGACCGGTCCGTCCATCATATATTAAAACTTGGTTGGGTTTAACGAACGAGTTAAAGACTTTAAATCCTGACTAATAGAATCGGAACTGATATCTTAAAATCCTGTATAATAGAATTGGAAGAAATAGCTTAAAATCCTGAAGAATAGAATTGGAACTAATGACTTCAAATCCTGAAGAATAGCATCGGAAATTGTGAAAATCATGTAGAGAAGAATCGAACCACACTTCACCACTGCACATTTTAAGTCAGAACTGATTTATATCATACAGAACGGTTGTGTACACAAACTTAGATACTACCAACATCAGCGTGTGAAATCATTGCACAAGAAACCTTGCAATAAAGGCACAACACATTTTGCAATCACTTGAATACCAACTCTTGCCAATTAGAAACAACAAAGTGACAATTGGATGCACAACTGATTACTGGATGGTGAGATATCCAAGAATTAGTATCAGACAAGGGAGGTTACAAGGTCATATTTGGTTCGGGTTATTAAAACATTTGAACAACATGAAATCACCAAACACATGGATAAGCGAAAATATCTGGTTGAGCGAATACAGTTAAGAGTTAAAACGGAATAATAGATGTCCAAGTTAAATATGAATGAAGGGTTATGTTACATTGTGAAAAAATTATCACAAGTATAAATCTAATTCTGCCTAATATACTTGTACAACCGAGTTGTTTTTTTTTCTTGCATTACAACAAAAATCAGATTAAAAAGTAAAAAATTTAGATAAAGTTTGTTGAAGTACTGTACGTTATAACAGTTTTGTTTGTGTTTGTCTGGTGGTGGGCGTGGCTGTCTTATGGTCTAATTACCGTAACATACAAGAGAGGCGAGAAACATTCCACACAGAGACGATGGTACAGTCTACAATCTACATAGTGAATTTAACCTCACACGGAAAATTGTTACAAAAAAGACTGAAGGTTAGTGTAGAACCAAGTATACTCAATTGTAGGCTATGGGAAGTAAAGGTGTGTGTATAGCTCAGGGGAAAAGGAGAGATTCTTAAAAGGAGAGATTCTGAAAAGGAGAGATTCTGAAAAGGAGAGATTCTGAAAAGGAGAGATTCTGAAAAGGAGAGGTTCTGAAAAGGAGAGGTTCTGAAAAGGAGAGGTTCTGAAAAGGAGAGGTTCTGAAAAGGAGAGGTTCTGAAAAGGAGAGGTTCTGAAAAGGAGAGGTTCTGAAAAGGAAAGGTTCTGAAAAGTAGAGATTCTAAAAAGTAGAGATTCTGAAAAGTACAGATTCTGAAAAGTACAGATTCTGAAAAGTACAGATTCTGAAAAGTAGAGGCTGTGAAAAATAGAGTATAGCTTTAAAAATATAGGCTATCTAAGTACATGGAACGAAAAAATTTGATTAATTAAAATTATAGGTCAAGATAAAAAAAAACAAATTCTGGAAATTAGGCCTAAGTCTGTGAACATCTCTAAAAGTATGTGAAAAGTCAGTTTTTAGTAGATCAAAGATATACAGCACGAGACGCGTAGGCGAACCAAACAAGGTTAATAAACAAGCCAAGTCTAATGCCATCCCAGTATCAAAGCTCTACTGGCGCCTGATATCGATTGGACACGGAATATTTGGGACTACTGGACAAGTCAAATAATTTTCTCCCAACAAGTAATGTGCTTGTTCTTGGTAGAAAATTTGATAACGTTGCCTTACTACATCTTGTGCACAAAATACGACACTCTAAAGGGATCAAACTCAAGCCAATAAACAAAGACAGCGATTTGATTAACATTAAAACCCGACAGCAATTAAATCATTGGTAGCTATTTTGTGAAATTTAAGAGATTTGTGAGATTTAAAATACGAAAAATCTACAAACAAATCTATAAAAACTTGCCGAAAATAATGAATACTTTAATAGTTTTCAAATTACGTTTTAATTGAAAAGTTACCAACATTACCACCAAACCACACTAGAATATCCAATTCAATCTCAAGTTTAAAATTTTTAAAAAGTTAAGCTCGGGATAAAAATAAAAACCACACGAAACAAAATTCAAGTTAATTTCCATGTTGTCAGTCAATGTTAAGTTTGTCGTACAGATAAATGCTTGGAAGAAAGCTGGCCAGGGGGAAGCTTCAAGCTTACAGGTAAACAATCAAGTTTGGCTTGTGTTGACAGAGGGAGGGGGAGGGAGGGGTTAACAGCGGAGGATACTACAAAACAGGATGAAAATGGACCACATTTAAGAGGGGATGGGGGAGGAGGGGGGAGTGACATAAAGTAGGTCAGAGGTGACAGACTGTGGACAACAAGCCAGGTCCGTCCAGATCAAATGTGAACATCGTTAAGATAAGTCTCTCCTAATATGAGAACATTAAACAACATCACTAGGGGAGATAAGCCATTTTCACACGGGGATTATCGTCGTGAGTAAATTAAACATTGATCCGATGTCTCGTGGGGGTTTTAACGACGATAGGTCAATTTATATAGGACAGACATTGTACGTTTTGATTTCTAAGATAACTGGTGTAGATTAAAATGGTCAATTTATAGGACAGACTTTGTACTTTTTGATATCTAGGATAACTGGTGTTGATTAAAATGGTCAATTTATATAGGACAGACATTGTACGTTTTGATTTCTAAGATAACTGGTGTAGATTAAAATGGTCAATTTATAGGACAGACTTTGTACTTTTTGATATCTAGGATAACTGGTGTTGATTAAAATGGTCAATTTATATAGGACAGACTTTGTACTTTAATGGTATTTAGATAACTACATGTTGGTTATAGTGGTCAATTTGTGGGACAGACTATATACCTTTTGTTATCTAGACAATAAGTGTTGATTACAGTGGTCAATTTATATATTGGACAAACTTTGTACTTTTGGGTATCTAGATAAGTGTTGATTAAAGTGGTCAATTTAAATAGGACAGACATTGTACTCTATGGTATCTAGATAACCACGTCTAGATTAAAGTGGTCATTTTATAAAGGACAGACTTTGTAGTTGATTAATTACTAAAAGTCTCGTATTGATTAAAGAAAATATGTAGGACAAAATGTGTACTTTATTTTAAAACAAATAGTGTTAGTACTTTTTAATGTAAAATACCTTACAAAATAAATAATAGCTCTGTGATAAAGGCCAATTTTAACAGTTTTTACGGCAAAACTCGCTGGAACTTTATATCTGAACTTGCAGTGATTAGCCTTAGACGGAACCGGAACTTGGTTTAAACTTAGACAAACTTATTCTGAGAGGCGGAAGTATCTTTAACATGCGGGTATAGTACCCTTTTAAACCTGATAGTCCACTAGACAGGTGAAGAAGAGTTCATCTGATTCAGTGACCTCTACATCTGAAGGAATAATGTGGTCATCGATATGCTCAGTTGCCTTTATTTTTTCTAACGTGAGTTAGGTTCCCAGGGACTCTAAGACGTGTTACAGACTTGAACCCAAGATTCGAACTCGAGACTTTCCCCCACATGTGGGTACGGCTAACCATTTTTATGCTGCTGATTCAGACGGGCTCCATCATACTATCACATGGTTTCTACACACTAGAAAGAAGCCCAAACCCTAAACATAACCTGTACCAGAAACTTCATGTTTTTAAATATGTAACGTTTCCAGAGGAATCCTAACCAAGACGAGTTAGGATTTAAGCGGAGTTAGATCAAGATGTAAGATCCACTAGCGAGTAGACCCTCCCAAGAAGAATAGCGATGTTTCATCTACATAAAAAACACGCCAGACTTATAAAGCGCACCAAACTCTGCGGGTTTTTCCGTTCTGGGTGCGGTGTGTACAGAATCAATACGGCAATATGGCAAGACGGGCCGACAGCACGAATAAGTTGTACGGGAATTAAAGACGGACTCCAGGGAACCGAGGAACTAAAGGAATTTAGATATCGCACTCGTGTTAGGGAACCAAGGGATTGGTTTAGAGATGGCATAGAAACTCATAGACTGCTCCGGTCTTCGGGAACTGAGGAATTCCGCATCGGTCTCAGGGAACCGAGGAATTCCGCATCGGTCTCAGGGAACCGAGGAATTCCGCACTGGTTATAGGGCAGCAGAGGAACTAGTAGGTCGCAATGTTTATCGGGAACAGAAGAGATCGTATACCGCACTGGTCTCATGGAACCAAGGAACTCGTGGACTGTTTAAAGAACTAATGTTTTGATAAAGATATAGCACTCAGATTACACCGATTTCATGGAACTAATGAACTCCGCTCTAATTTCAGTGAACCGAGGTATTGATATAGATCTAGCACAGGATCTCATAGATTGGATGGCAATGGTATACTGCTCCCAAACTGGGCTGAGAAGGAAAGTTGAACAAAGAACAAAGATGAAATCAATTTAACTACTAAAAAAAAATACTCCTAACCCAATTACGAGCCACCCCGCCAGCGATCGTCCCTCCCTTGCTTTACCCCCCCCCCCCCACCACATGATCATCAGCGAGGCTGTGCTGAAATTTAAACAAATCGACGACAGAGGGCGCGATGTGTCAGATTGATCTGTGAACTAATTATCTCGGCATGTCTCCCACCCCGCCCTGCCATGTTTGGCAAATCTCAGTGTTCGCAAACACTGCGGCCCGCGGTCCTCTTACGGACAGTTTCATAATATTCCTGTGTTTTGTAAAAAATATATGAGCAGTTCCCCATATAACTTATTTATTCATTTCAGTTTTCGTTTCTCAACAGCGTCATCAAAGTAATCGTTAGATTTAACGTCTGATGTTAGCGTAACGGAACATAAATTAAAAGGCAGTTCAGTGGAAGACATATTTTAAAGCAAGAATAAAATAACTTTTACAAAATATTTTCCGGTGAGTAAAGTTCCCTTTCGGACCTGACGGAAAATAAAACTCAAATTAAAGTATTTTAAAAACAAAATTAATGTTCAGCGTAGAGTTAGGACCAGATTCATTTTTTGGATTGAATACACCCCTATTATGAAACACAACTTTTTAACTCCTGTAATTAAAATGTAAGCCAGCAAAAACAACAAGCAAATTAATAATTTTTAAAAATGTCAGTGTTGGGTGTATGCCTGTTAATTAAAAAAAATATAAGGCAAGTCGAAATAGATAA